TTAGTCTTACCTGAGGGGTCACAAGACCCGATTTTGCTCGCAATAGAGCTTGCTTCGAAGTCCTGCCGACGATGGCGGCCATTTTTGTTCTTTACCTCGAGGCAGAGAGACCGTCTAGTAACTTTACCCTGTAACGAAGGAAGCTGAAATACGTATGTTATGAACCAGGGTAAAAGTGTTATGCGCATTGATTCTGAGCAATTTCCGGGTATAAAAGTACCGGAAGAGAGATCCCGGCAAGTGCTGTGTTTACAGGTAACGATACACGTTGATAACAATGTGTAATTACATATGTCAGTGTGATATAACTTTAAAAAATATGTTTTCATGGAGAGTGTCACATTTTGTGTTAGTAACCAAAGACGTATATACGTCTTTGTAGTAACTGACGAGCAAGGACTTTGTGAATTAACAACCAGTCTTATGTCTAACAACCTGTCGATGTTATCTTGACGTAATATTTCAATATAAAAACTCCTATGTTCAAGCGTGCGGTTGGTGATAACTTACACAGTACCTCTCACAAATGACTCACAGCTGCATCCAGAAGGAAGACCGTTATTTGATCAAAAAAATAATTGAGAACGGAAAGATAAATTGCTAAATCGATTTGGATACAACGGCCCACAGGATCTTCCTGAACTTTTTTCGAAATATCTTGGGTATCATGATTTGCTTTTTGGATGCCAGTCATCCTCTTGATAACGTACAAGTTATCCAGAGAGTAGTGCACTTCACCGGGTGCACTTTTTCAGATTAATTAGCCTACTGAGGCTCGAACGCCATTCGGCGGATTACTGACTTTGTAAATTTATGATGTAATTAGCGGATGCTTTCCCTTGGACCCACAAGCACCATCACAGTTAATGAGTGCTCGTTTAACTTGTCATTAGCACAGAAGTGAGGCGAGAAATGAAATCAAACCGTTGTGCTTGCAACATGTATTTACGCAAGGAATCACTATTTCCTTAGTTGCACAATAAGTAGTTTCATGTTTCGAGTACATTCTGAATATACAGAGTCCGTTCTCTGCACCCTTCAATAACACCCTGTTCATAAGGATTTTTAAGAGGTACGATGGGTTAGCTTAGTGGTTAAAGCGTTCGCTCATCACGTCGAAGACCCGGGTTCGATTCCCCATGTGTGGCGTTCCCCGCCGTAATATTGCTGAAAGGGTTGTTGGCAGCACTGGTACTACAGATGTGTACCCCAGGTACGTTTCTGTATACAGAAATGTACCCTAGCCAAAATCAGAATACAGAACGTACCCTTGGATGATTCCATTCTGCATTGTGGAGTTTTCTTCATCTGAACGGTCATACTGTTGTATTAGATGCATTTGATATCGTTATATAAGAGTATACACAGTAACGAATATGTCACAGTGCACAACATACACCACTCGCAATCAGCTGAACGGGAACAACTAAATTTACATACAGTTTCGGTGTTGGGTTGCGGAATATGGACTCCTCCGTCGTTTAGGGTACCGGGTACGTTTCTGTAGTTTGTCTTTGTTTAGGGTACATGTCTGTATACAGAAACGTACTTGGGGTACATATCTGTAGTACCTGTGCCGACAACGACCCCTTCAGCTGTATTTACAATATGTGTTCACAACGAGGCGGAAGATCGAGAAATGAAAACAAACCTTTGTGCTTGCGCTTCCGCCTCTCTGTGCCACATCTTTCCCATTCATTTTTTTTTTCGCCATTGTTTCTTGGACTGTACTGACAAGTCCCGGGTGGGGCAACATGTGTTTTAATTGGATATAATAGGATTGCACTGCCCTAATTTAAGGTCTAACCCAAAATAAGAATCAGAAAGGGTACCTCACCCTAAGCCCTAACCCCTTAGGATGGTAGACTGGCAGTGACGGGAGACTGAGCAATTACCGAGATATAGCGAGACAGCACTGGAGCGCAGTAGTGCTCTAGCACGATAATTGCTCCGCAGCGAGACATGAAGGCTGCACCCGGTAAAGTGCACTCTAGCTGTTATTCATTTTATGAGTACGACAAATAGGTTTTGGTACAGATCTCTGTGAAAAGAGATTGCCCAGTTTCCGGTGAGTCGAGTCTGGACCAGATAAGCCTGTGATTGTAATCTTCAGCATTGATCTTCACAGTTGGGTGCAAAAACATGCATGTCCCAATTTAGCAGGCCTGACCACCCAATCCCATTGATCTTCTGTTGTGAAAAGTATAAGCAGCCAAAATATTTGAAATCAAACCACTTCATCCTGCTCACTTGATGTTATTGTGTAAAGAATAAAAATGAAAATAATGAATTAAACAAAGATACCCTGACAAATCTGCATGCTTTGTGTCTTCGTGTCCCCTGCTTTTACCATATTGATTTATTACAAAAGAAACCTGTGCAGATTCGGGTTAGAATCGATGTACAGTAACCCATCGGGTGGTCAGGCTCGCTGACTTGGTTGACACTTGTCATCGTATCCCAATTGTGTAGATCGATGCTCATGCTGTTGATCACTGGATTGTCTGGTCCAGGCTCAATTATTTGCAGACTGCCGGTATATAGCTGGAATATTGCTGAGTGTGGCGTAAAACAAATCTCACTCACTCACTCACTGTTACGAAAGATGTCCAAAGATAGTTAGATTGTGTCCTGACCTGCAACATTAGGATGTGTGCATAGGCTGCATTTAATATTGAAAACTGCAGAATAAGGAAGTATGAAATGCAAATGGTGCTACAAGTACGAATGTGTGTATATATACATGTGAATATTTCATCAATTTTCAAAATTCAGGGAAATTCTGTGATGTATAAGGATGTCTCCTGTAGCATGGGAATCTATGGTCACCTTCAAACTAGAAACTTTTACACTAAAGTCATGACATGAACTTTTACTTCCATGTGTTATTTCAAAGTCTATATATTCATGATTCATAGTTTGTGTATATTCATGTACTTTCATATCTGTATTTGTGCATCACTTATGTGAAAAGGTTAATGAATGTTAGGAGAATATGAAACTGCGAACTTGTCTTTGTTTGGATTTTGATCTGTTACATATTGTATATTTTTTGGCAAAACTAGTATGTCTGTTTTGGTGCTGGTGCCCTTAGACAATGTTAAACTGGTGTCAAAGCGAAGTAACTCCTCAGCAATCTATTAACTCTGACGTCATTGCTAGGTAACCTCATTCTCTGACATCCTAGCACGTATTTGAGTGAGTGCTAAATACAGGAAATAGCGTACATGTTTGATATCCAACGAATCCACAGTATGATGCATGTCACAAATAACCAATTATTAATATACAATTTATTGTTTAAATTTTGCACATGTTGTTTTGATAGTATTGGTGTTATAAACATACAATTTATAACTTGAATGTTCCAGTTTTTCGACTTATCCTATCTCACGCAAGGTACTTATCCCATGTTAGGACAGTGGACAGCTAATTACCTTGTAGATAAACAACAAGATAGCATGAGTATTATGAATATATAACTTTTTGTTAAAATTTTCAATTTTTTTTGCACACGTTTTGATAAATAACACCCTAATTGATGTGATCACTAATAATGAATTCATGGAGATATACAGTTTGATCCACCGAATACATGAGTGAATCGTAACAGCCAAAGTACATGTTAGGCGTGACGTTCTTGCATACATATTGCAGTACAAGGCCTTCGGTTCGGTCTGTTCCGGTTCAGTACAAGAGAATTTACTTCTTCACTTCCGTCCAGCAAAGAAATGCATAGTTTTTGACAAAATGATTCAATTTCTAGACATTTTAGAAAGGATTTAAAAAGGTTGATATAAATGTTGGTACGAAAAATGAAAATACAGAATGTTTGGATTGCGTTACGGTATACCTAACTGCTTCACCCCTGGTACATGTATATACGTTATTTTCTGTTTACAACAAAACCCAGCACTCATCTTCTTTTCTTCATGTCTAAACACATGCTGATAAAATATAATCCCCACAAATCTGAAATAAACCAGTGTACCTGCAAATTGTTTCTGGTTCTTACAAAATGAATCCTCCTCGACCAACATCATGAATAGTAAAAAGGCCTACTTTATACCACAGTGTCATGCATTGATCTTGACTACATATTGATCTACTCCGTGGTGTAGTGGTTAGAGCGTCCGTCGGGATAGTGGAAGGTCGCGGGTTAAATCCCCGACCACGTCATACCAAAAGACGTTAAAATATGGTACTTGTTGGTCCCTGCCTGGCATTCAGCATTAATGGGTACAACAAGGACTGGTTGGCTCGGATTCAGTACAATGTGTCTGAGTGGGGTATTCATGCTTCACTGTGGCATGGTATCTCAGTGGGCTAAGCACTATAAAACCAGCTTTAGTCTGGGCTAGTACTAGGGGTGTCACGATACACCAATCTCACGATACGATACGTATCACGATTTTAAGGTCACGATACGATACATAATTTTCGCGCCTTTTCATAGCATTGCCTTACCGGTAACTTACGGGCTCGCTGATTGGTCCATCAAAATAGTCTAGCCAATCACAAAAGCTGTTAGTTTCCAACCAATTTTTTGAGTAAAGCTAGCTACATCTATTTATCGGAGCGATCTCGTATAATTTTACTATCAAGACTTTGAAGGAGATGGATATAGCATAAAAAATTGAATCGATAAAGTTTTAAAATAGGAATAGATACTCGCATGCATGTATCGCGTATCGTATCGTCAGTAAAAATGTATCGATGCATCGATACATTCGCGTATCGCGACACCCCTAGCTAGTACAAGCAGCTGTATATACACGTACACACGCATGCACGTCTTCATATGAGAGACATATTCTCAAGCACGATGTTAAACCCAATTTCACCTCACCTCACATATTGATCTTACCAGCTATCTACACTGGGACTATGAAATTTGTCTCGTGTTCAAGCTGGGTATATAGTTCCTGAGTTGTAAGATGAAACTGGATTGGTATTGATTTTAGGTTTTACTGGTTAATGTGATAGTTTATTAATGAGGTTGTTGTGACTATGTACAGTATAGGTCTTGGTTTCAACCTGATTGTCTACTCAAGGACTTTCATTCTAGGCATATAGCAGAGAATTGGCAAGGAATTCCATGTAAGTACACTTGGTAGGCATGGATAAATCATATTAAATCACTACTTTTTTAACAAATTGGGATTCCAATCATGTTTGTTGTTCATGGTTACTTCTTTAGTGGTTGAGTATGGCAGATACTGGTACATGAAGCAAGGGGGTACATAAAGCAAGGGGGTACATGAAGGAAGGGGGTACATAAAGCAAGGGGTACATGAAGGAAGAGGGTACATGAAGGAAGGGGTACATAAAGCAAGGGGTACATGAAGGAAGGGGAACACATAAAGCAAGGGGTACATGAAGGAAGGGGTACATAAAGCAGGGGTACATGAAGGAAGGGGGTACATGAAGGAAGAGGGTACATGAAGGAAGGGGTACATAAAGCAAGGGGTACATGAAGGAAGGGGGTACATGAAGGAAGGGGTACATAAAGCAAGGGGTACACGAAGGAAGGGGGGTACATGAAGGAAGGGGGTACATGAGGCAAGGGGGTACATGAAGGAAAGGGTACATAAAGCAAGGGGGTACATGAAGGAAGGGGATACATGAGGCAATAAGTATACAATGCAAAGGGGGTACATGAAGGAAGGGGGTACATAAAGCAAGGGTAAATGAGGCAAAGGGGTACATGAGACATGGGGATTCATCACATAATTGTATTATATGCACCCCCTCTACGCAGCTGTATTTTATGGAAAAGTGTGAGCACTGTACACAAGAAAATATGGTATACAATATCTCCTGAGAGTAAGTTTGAAGATATGCTAGAACATGAACCAAGATTAAGGTGGATGAGTCGTTGCAACCCAATATACTGATACTTGTCAATGGTCAAAATATAATCAAGAGGGGCCTTGACAGAACCAGAATTTCAAAAGTTAAAAATTTGGTGACCCTTAGCTTAAAACACCACAGGAAATGTCACTGATCCTTTATAATTCTAAGCAACAACAATGTAAATACACCATGCAGTTTGTTCAGCATCCAGTCTGGAGCAAGGTACCAAAAGATGGAATGGTTAAATGTAACATTCTCCGAAAAAACACAAACACAGATTGTGCTGTTGTTTTCTGTGGAAAAACTTTCCTTTCATAATGTATTCACCACTTTAGAATTGTCTCCAGGCAGTAAATCATGTTTGTGGGATTTTTTTTAATTATTATTAATTTTGGGGGAAGTAAAGTACAAACCAATAACACATTTATCAATGTGTAATTGTTTATTCAATCAAGCTTGCGGCCATCATGTCGACTTTCTCTATCAGAGTGACCGATGCCTGTCGGTGACGGGAAAAAACAATGGTGTCTGAAAGCTTATTTTATTCATACCACCTAAAAAAAGAAAGGGGTCAGCACCAGAATTCAAGGGTCGGTGGGTTAAGATTTTTTTTGGCCTTATCCACTTGGCGTGAAGAGGTTTAACAACACTTGTCTTGATGTCAACATTAATTGTCGATGTGGGGTCGTCATTCATTTCCGTTTGCTTATTGCTCCTCGATTTGGCAAACAACTTGACACAAGTATAATCCCACCTCTCTCTGTGACTGTTTTGGTAAACACAATTATGGGGGCTAGCTTTGATCATTGCATGTCTATTGGTTGTGAAAACTTTGTGATGGATACTATAACTCAGGTGTTTGAAATGCACGAAAAAAACAGCTGCGCTAACAGGTCTTTTGTGAACTTGCCGCAAAAATTGCACCTCGTGAAAATATATACAATCACAGTATTTTATTCACAGATTTAACGTAGAAGGTCATCATGGGGCTGCTGACAGACCCCAAACAGAGACAGCGACTGGTGGCCATCATCTCCAAGTACAACCAGAAGCTGAGCATCCTCCTGTACATTGTGGGTCTGGCCTGGTTCTTCCTTCTTGCCTACCAGCCCCTCAATGCCAGCACCTATTTCTCTGAGAACGCTCTCCTACCTGGTCTTGTGGAGAATGAGTTCTACAATGAGGCAGAGCTCAGCAACTTCAATAAACAGCTGATGGAAGAGCTGAAGAAGGATGACAAGTTAGTGATGATTGATTCCTATGTTGTGAGATTGTCAGTGATGATTTGTCCTTTTGTGAGGGATATGTCAGTGGTGATTGGTTCTTTTGTGAGGGATATGTCAGTGATGATTGGTCCTTTTGTGAGGGATATGTCAGTGGTGATTGGTTCTTTTGTGAGGGATATGTCAGTGGTGATTGGTTCTTTTGTGTGAGGTAAGGCAGTAGTGATTGGTTGGTGTGTGTAAGGCAAGTCAGTGGTGATTGGTTGCTGTGTGTGAGGTAAGCCAGTGGCGATTGGTTGCTGTGTGAGGTAAGTCAGTGGTGATTGGTTGTTGTGTGTGAGGTAAGCCAGTGGTGATTGGTTGCTGTGTGTGAGGTAAGCCAGTGGTGATTGGTTGCTGTGTGTGAGGTAAGTCAGTGGTGATTGGTTGCTGTGTGTGAGGTAAGTCAGTGGTGATTGGTTGCTGTGTGTGAGGTAAGTCAGTGGTGATTGGTTGTTGTGTGTGAGGTAAGTCAGTGGTGATTGGTTGCTGTGTGTGAGGTAAGCCAGTGGTGATTGGTTGGTGTGTGTCAGGTAAGCCAGTGGTGATTGGTAGCTGTGTGTGAGGTAAGTCAGTGGTGATTGGTTGTTGTGTGTGAGGTAAGTCAGTGGTGATTGGTTGCTGTGTGTGAGGTAAGTCAGTGGTGATTGGTTGCTGTGTGTGAGGTAAGTCAGTGGTGATTGGTTGTTGTGTGTGAGGTAAGTCAGTGGTGATTGGTTGCTGTGTGTGAGGTAAGCCAGTGGTGATTGGTTGGTGTGTGTCAGGTAAGCCAGTGGTGATTGGTAGCTGTGTGTGAGGTAAGTCAGTGGTGATTGGTTGTTGTGTGTGAGGTAAGTCAGTGGTGATTGGTTGCTGTGTGTGAGGTAAGCCAGTGGTGATTGGTTGCTGTTGTGAAGTGTGTGAGGTAAGTCAGTGGTGATTGGTTGTTGTGTGTGAGGTAAGCCAGTGGTGATTGGTTGCTGTGTGTGAGGTAAGCCAGTGGTGATTGGTTGCTGTGTGTGAGGTAAGTCAGTGGTGATTGGTTGCTGTGTGTGAGGTAAGTCAGTGGTGATTGGTTGCTGTGTGTGAGGTAAGTCAGTGGTGATTGGTTGTTGTGTGTGAGGTAAGTCAGTGGTGATTGGTTGCTGTGTGTGAGGTAAGCCAGTGGTGATTGGTTGGTGTGTGTCAGGTAAGCCTTTGGTGATTGGTAGCTGTGTGTGAGGTAAGCCAGTGGTGATTGGTTGCTGTGTGTGAGGTAAGCCTGTGTTGATTGGTTGCTGTGTGTGAGGTAAGCCAGTGGTGATTGGTTGTTGTGTATGAGATTACTCAGTGGTGATTTGTTCTTGTGTGAAGATTAGTCATGTTGGTGATTGCTTCTTATGTGGAGATCTCTACATTTGGCCTTGGAGTCAGTACCTTATCACAATCCAAAAGATGATTGGGATGTTCAGAAAGGAAGGAATTATGCTATTGTCATATTTGTCATCTCATTTTGCAGGACAACTCCTAAAGATTGGGTCTATGAGCAGTTCCAGAGTTTTGGTCTGGATGTCTACTCACAGAACTTTTCCCTGAAATACCCGTTTGGACAAGTTGATAAAGTAAGTAGCGATGCTCACCTTGCCCTTCATCACTTCTCAATGTATAGCCAACTTGCAGAATCTCTCTGTACACTGGGCGGGGGAGTAGTCTAGTGCATAAAGCATTTCTTTGTCATGCTGAACATCTGGGTATGATTCCCCATATGGGTACAATGTGTGGTGTCCCCCGCCATGGTATTGTTAGAATATTGCTAAAAACTCACTCACTCACTCACTCACTCACTCACTCACTCACTCACTCACTCACTCACTCACTCACTCACTCACTTTTTTCTCAGTGAGATATGGGAGCGGTGCTTAAGACCCAGGTTCTGCACGGGGATACAATGTGTGGAGCCTTTTCTGGTGTTGTGATATTGCTGGAATATTGCTAAGAGTTGCGTAAAATCATATACACTCAATGAGATTTTATTGTACTTACTTCTAGAACATTTGTTGAGTTACCAAGGATGTTAGATTTTAGTATTTATGCAAAAATTATTAAGTTTTATTTATTCAGTTTTAAGGGTTTTTTAATGTAGTTGACAACATATCCAGGTGAACTACAGTATCAGTTCACTGACAAAATTGATCAACTTGATTTGTTTACATGTAATTCTTTTTCAGAAGAAGTCCTCCTTGGGGTACATATAAGCATTTAAATGTCCATTTTAAATCCTACGACAGTTGTAACTATATTTTGCAATAAAATATTTGCAAAACAAAAAACTCGTTTTGTCTTGTGAGACCACCCCTACAGGGCCCTACCGGACCCCCTACAGCCAAGAGCAGGTAACTCTTGCCGTCTACCTCGTACCTCACTTTTCATGCTGTCGTTCTGTTGAATAGACGTGCGTGGTGTTCGTTTCGAGTTTGCTCTCCTACTGATACGATGAGTGTAAAAGAGTCTCAATCTGTATGTATGGTTCCTTTCAAAATTGATCAACTTGATTTGTTTACATGTAAATTTCAGTAGCCAGCCAAAAATCAGACTATACCCAGATAGCATTCGGATGTTGGCCCAACGTTGTCAATGTTGGCAAAGCCATTGCCAACATTGGGCCAATGTCTGAATGCTGTCTGGGTAGGTGATAGAGGTGTATGTATTCAGAAGTTATAGGAATCATGTATTTGATAAAATTATATATATTTTATCTGCCACCATTTACCGGAATATATATGTTGTGTTGCCACTTTTTAAATAAATATGTGTGTGTGGAGGGGTGCGTGTGTAAAATAGTTTCAACTATTTGCTTCCAGGAGATCCCAGGGAGGAATGTCTATGCTATCCTACGTGCTCGTCGCTCATCTAGCACCGAGTCTGTTGTGATATCAGCACCTCTTCGTCCCTGGCTTGCGGAGGATGAACAGACCAGCGGCGGCATTGCCATCATGATGGCATTGGCAAGACACTTCAGAAGTACGTAAAATATGGGAAGGGGAACTTTATCTTACTCTACAGCTCCGTGCTCTAGGGGATAGAAGGTCTGTCTAGAGAGCAAACGCTCACAGAAAGAAGGTACTTACTTGTACCCTGTCTGCTGCTTGGCATTAGGGGAGAAATCAATGTACTATGCTTGAGTGGAGTATCCCTTCCATGATATTGCTGGAATATTGCCACTCACTCACTCACTCACCCACCCTGCCACTCTCTCTCATATTGCTATGATGTAAAGCAGCCTACACGTCAAACTAAAGTTTCACAACACATGTTGTTAAAATGTTAAAAGTTGTCGAACTCGCGTTTTCACACGTCAAACACATGTTGTCAAACTTTGGTGTCATTTTGAGCGCCATGTCTCTCTCGGTTCGGTTATGTGACAATTTCGTTGACTGCGATTGGTTGTTTCTGAACAAACAACACCGAAAGTTTGATGGAAAAGTTGGTGAGAATAGATCCTATTTCTCGACAACAGTTTGACAACTCTGAAATTTGTGTTGGTGTCGGTTGTTGGAATGTTCACACTCTCAAAATCGAGTTGTCGTGTCAAACTTTAGTTTGGCGTGTGAAGGCCGCTTAACAGTGTCCCAACTGCTCCCTCTTTCCCATGCTGATGCTGATGCTGATGTTGCAGACAAGCCCTACATTGCCAAGGACATCATCTTTCTGATGCCGGAGTATGACGAAGTGGGAATGCAGGCATGGCTTGATGGTTACCATGGGACCACATCAAATTGTAAGTTATATCCTGATGTGCTTAAAGTTATATCCTGATGTGCTTTAAGTTATATCCTGATGTGCTTTAAGTTATGTATCTTTATATTCTTTGAGTCTATCAGCCAAAACACCTCTAATTTCTTCATGAAACTCCAAGGCATCTTCACTGACATACAAACTGACTATGACCTTCTTTGGTTGATATATCTACAGATTCGACAAGGTCCATGAATATCAGACAGTATGTGTTATTTCGTACTGTGGGAAAACCATTGTGGCTACTCTAAATTTAGAATTTGAAATCTAAGGCTGTTTCCAGCTCTTAATTCTATTTGGGATGGTTAAATCTGGAAGTAGCCTTGCTCTACAGTGTAAACTCGTCATGTTTATTCCAGTGATTCAATCATCAGTCACTGATAATGTTATTTTTGGTACAGTTATCTTCCCTGGCCGACTGCCTGGGCGTAGTGGTCAGATTCAGGCCGCTCTGAACCTGGAGATTCCCCCCCGAGAAGACAGCCTATCTCAACATTAAACTGGAGGGCATCAACGGGCAACTTCCAAACCTAGACTTTGTCAACCTCGTTGTCCGCCTCTGCCGAAAGGAAAGGGTCAAGGTCACTCTGAACAAGATGGTGAGATATTGCTGTTTATTACCCACGTGGTCAATGTATGGGTAGTTGCATGCTAATCTCGTACGTCACACGAGTGTCGTATCGCGTTGACCTATGTCGTAACGACTTGACCTGAGATTCTAACGATTTGATTGGATAACCGATGACCTCTCAGTTAGGTCACGTTGTGACGGAACTACTTGTTCATTCATAACAAACACGTGAATTCATTCATTCTACAACTTAGATGCATTGTGGGAATGTAAACATTGCAAACGTTGCTGTGTCGCTGTTTACAGTCCGTTTGAGTCAGAAACGGACCAATGAATTGCAAATTTTATCATTGTACAAAATTGCCACATAAATATAAATAGTACACATGTTTATCATTTACTAATACCCAACAGCTTTCTTATGTTTGAAAATTTTCCGGACTCCACAAAAAAAGTTGTTTAACAATCTATCATTAAAATATTGACACAGTTTACTATTTGTTACGAGGGAAGAGTGCAGAGAAAGGGGACAGCCAGGTGTTCGAGAACAGATAGAGACGGCACAGCACAGGTTAATGAATAAATAACTTTGTCTGTGAATGTGCTTCTCAAACACCTGGCTGTCCCTTTCTCTGCACTCCTCCCTTGTAACAAACAGATATTTGTGTCAATATTTTAATGATAGTTTTCTATTTTGGGGACAAAAATTCTGCAAATAAGTCACAGAGTGGGTATGATGTTTCAATTATGATCAGCGTTTCATTGAGTATTTTATGTTTATTAGTTTTCGAGTTGAATTGCAATTCATCGGTCTGCTTTTGTGCCAAACGGACTATAATTGTGAGTCGAACCGAGACATTATATCCATCGAAAAACATAAACGTAATGTTTCCACCAGTGATGTTAGCCAAGTGAAGCAGTTGCAAACCAAGAAACGCAGTGCTACGGGGTAGTTTACTGAAGGAGGCTGTACGAGATGCGATGACAACTGACATGCATCATGACATCGGTTACCCAGGGGACAGTCGAGAATGGCGTAGTGACGTCAATACAGTTTGACGTCATGCAAAAGTGTACGTCAGAACAAAATTCTTCCACAACCTCTTTATGAAACCGGTTTCGGTTTGAAACCACAACAATACCAAAACTACGCTATTTTGTCATTCTTTTTTATATATTCCTCCTTGGGGTACTTATAAGCATTTAAATGTCCATTTAAAATCCCTACGACAGTTGTAACAATATTTGAATAAAAATATTTACAAAACAAAAACTACGTTTTGTCTTGTGAGACCACCCTTATAGGGCCTTCCGGCCCCCTACAGCCAAGAGCAGGTAACTCTAGACCGTAACCTCGTACCTCACTTTCAATGCTGTCGTTTACCGGCAAGACGTGGGTCCATTTCAAGAAGGTTACTTTCCCTACGCAAAATTATGAGTGTCTCAGAAACAGCAACTGTATGTATGGTTCTCTTTTTTCCCTGCATGGGCGATTTGGAGGCTTGTTCTGAACTTTTTCATTCATAATTTCTAGTTGTAACTTGGTACCTGTCGCGTCGCTCTCGCTGGTGCGTGTCAAGATGGCGGACAGGTCCCTTCGCTAGCCTCCCTGTTCATTGGTTTCCCCGTGTGGTTTTTCAATGTTACAGGCGGTTATAGTAATTTTTATTTATATGTTGTTACATGTAGGGCGTTATTTCCGCTGCTAGCATTTTCTATCTTACGCTAAAAGTCGTAATTGTTAGTTATGTTGCAGTGCGTATTGATGGTTATTGTCAACTGCATGCTACGTTTGTCGCATTAGTTGTGTCGCCCATGCGTGTTTTTTCATATATGTATGTGTGTCTGGGGTTGATTGCTGCACAGGTTTTTTACTTGTTGCAGTTTAAATCCTGTACTTCGTGCCTCGCTGCCATTCCCGTCAGGGATACACACGAGGTGTGTTTAAGATGTCTCATACAGACTGATCATGAAGAAGAGGGGTGTCCGGGCGTGTAATGCGATTTTCACGCCTCAAACCATTAAGGCAAGGCGGGTGGACCGGCTGTTTTACAGCAACCTGCTTCGGGCGGGGGGTGATATCTGGGCTCAGGATCCCCCGTCCAAGCGTTCACATAGCAAAAAAAAGGGGTCTTCGGGAGCCGCTTCCCATACGGAGCCGGCTCCCAAAAGAGCTAAGGTTACCAAGGAGGCTTCGTCTGAAAAAACTAATGCTCCTTCTATATCTCAACCTGCCCCTGTCTCTGTTGCCGACACCTCCCCTGTTGTATCGGCACGCGTTGTACCTGTTGCCTCTTTAACTGCTTTGTTTCAGGAACAAATGTCGTCAGTGAAATCCCTGATCGATACGGCGTTGGCTGGGTTCCGTACCTTCAAAGACTCTAAGCCTTTGTTGGAGCAGCCCTCCGGTCCTCGCCAACGGCCTTCCCTGCCCGCTTCCGCTTATCCTTCTGCCCCGGCGAAGGAAGCTGCAAAGTGGACTGCCCCTTTGCAGTCCAAGCGGGGCAGGCGTGCAAGAGGCAAGGGCAGGCCTGCTCAAGCGCAGCAGCCTTTTCGGGGCAGGGGGAAGCCAGCCCCGGCTTCCCGCTGATTCCTTCCCCAGAGCCCTCATTGCCCCCCACTCACGCGAGCGGAGACTTGCCGACTGTGGGGTGCACTGCCTCATGCCACACGTCCCTGTCGGTGGCCGGCAGCCACCTCAAATCCCTGGGTCCTGTCCACGCTCAGGGATGGCCATTTGCCACAGTGGAGGCGAGATCCTCCGTCCTTCTCCGGGGTTCGGCACACGCCTGTGCCGACCTCCTGCGACAGGGCGGACGCGCTCCGTGCCGGAGTTCAGTCCTTACTGAACAAGGCAGCCATCGAGGTGGTTCCTGTGGGTCAGCAAGAAGAGGGGTTTTATTCCACCTACTTCCTAGTGACCAAAAAGGACGGAGGGTTCAGACCCATTCAGATGCACTCTCACGGCGTATACTATCCCCACACAAGTGGATGCTCGACCGGGAGATATTCGGGATTATCTCCCAGTTGTTCGGGTCGTTCCAGGTGGATCTGTGTTTTGCTCTCGGATTCGATCCGAGCTGCTAGCCAACGACGCCTTTCAGCCTCGATTGGACGGACAGGGTACTGTGGGCGTTCCCCCCTTTCCCCCCGATACCACTGATTTCCAGGGTCCTGTCACAGCTGACAGCACAACCAGCTCGGCTACTTGTGCTTCTGGCACCCCTTTGGTCGGCACAAAGTTGGTTTCCGGTAATTCTCAGGTTTCTGGCTCAGCCTCCTGTTCTATTACCTTTTCGACCGGACCTCCTATCCCAGAACGGAGCACCCCACCCAAATCCCAGGATTCAGTGGGTGGCCTGGCCGCTGTCAGGGATCGCCTCCATGCAAGCGGAATTCCTGCACCAGTTGCAGACACAATTCTGGCTTCGCGGAGGGATTCGACAAACGTTCAATATGAGGATAGATGGGCCTGTTATTCGTAACCAATTGTTTTGTTGTTATGGCGGGGTTCAGGCTGGTCTTCCGGCGACCAAGCAAACCATTTCTCGGTGGCTTGTCTCTGCCATACATATGAGCTATACTCAAACAGGGCGTATCCCGCCTGTAGGGTTGAAAGCTCATTCGGTTAGGGCAGTTGCTACATCGAAAGCTTACGCTGCAGCCCTGCCCATTGCGGAGATCTGCTCCGCGGCTATTTGGAGCCGTCCGAGTACATTCATCCATCATTACCAACTTAACAGACTCTCCAGTGAGCGTGCTCGGTTCGGTCAGTCAGTTCTCTCCAGTGGGCATGGTTCCACCTCTCTAGCCGATTGAGCTTTCGAGGATTTTATTATGTGAACCATTCTATGCCGATTTTTTAACACTGGTGTTGGGTTTTAAAAATCTTGTTTACATATCCCCTTGGTGACGGGTTTTATGTGGTGATGGTTTTTATTCCCAAGTCTTTTGCATTCTGCTCTAGACTTACTGGCCTTGGAAACTTTGCTGAATATATATATTAAGGCATTTCGTTTCTGGCGGCTTATTGCGGGACCCCTTATCTTCGCTTCTGAGTGATTACGGGAGGGAGGGAGGGTTTATCTCGTTTGTTTGCATTAGCGAGGTTTCACTGGGCAATTAGCATATGTTCGACCCTGACCCTGGCTCATGCCCCCACCTGATTGGCTATGGTGGACATGTGACCGGGTAAGTGAGCTTTTTCTGCTATATTTAGCTTGGGAAATTCCACTTCTTGTCGGGGGTGTTTTCTGCAGACAGAATGCCACCCTTAGCTCTGCCTCTTTAGGAGTCTGTCTTATGCTTATAAGTACCCCAAGGAGGAATATATGAAAAGAATCGAACTAACCTGTAGAGGTTTCAGATTCTTTGAATATATTCCTCCTTGGGTACTTCACCTACCTCCCCACATTCTGTCTGACGTCGTTCAGCATGGAAAGTGAGGTACGAGGTTACGGTCTAGAGTTACCTGCTCTTGGCTGTAGGGGGCCGGAAGGCCCTGTAAGGGTGGTCTCACAAGACAAAACGTAGTTTTTGTTTTGTAAATATTTTTATTCAAATATTCTTACAACTGTCGTAGGGATTTTAAATGGACATTTAAATGCTTATTAGTACCCCAAGGAGGAATATATTCAAAGAATCTGAAACCTCTACAGGTTAGTTCGAATTTAATGCATGTAAGACGTGGGTAATAAATATAATACCGAATCCCAAATGGGACTCAACCCAACAAAAGTACGAGAATCTGTACTTTACTGAGAAACAGAGATTATTAACCGAGTGTGTTAATAATCTCTTCATCATATAATGTCATTCTTAAAATTACCCTAAAAAAAAAAGCAAATCGTCCGTGAATTTATATGAAGAGTATCAAGCATTCACGTAAGAATACTTAGCGGTACACCAAGGTGAAGGTCGTTCATGACGGCGGCTAATTGTTGTGACTAGTTGCTAATACAGTGCAAACAAAACTCATGCTTAAAATGAGATCTTTCTGTCTAAAAGGAACAACAAAACCGGGCAGGGTTTTCCTGGCAGTGTTTCTATTTTCATTGCGGGTAATCACCTCATCAATATCAATTTCTGATACCTGACGGAATCGATTTGTCGTCTGCATTGTGATCGATAGATCAAAATCCTTGGTTGGTACCTTTCTTAGACGATTGCCTTTCAGTCGTGCCTAATAATCCGTACCTTTAATTTGAACGGAGTTCTTCGTTTCATGTTTTCCAAAGTCAATTACTGCAGTAACGACTCCAGAACCTCAGTCATCAATTCTCAAGAATCACCAATTTTGAGAATGGGGGCAGCCATGTTTGTTTACTAACAATGTAAACTCGTGACAACGTCATCAATGAAATGTTTAAATGTTTTAGGATTTGCATGGCGTGTATGGAGTTTTGTGAAAGTAGTTCGTGGATTGACGTAATTTGCATAGTTATCAGATTTGGATACCAAGTTTATCAGATTGCTTTATTGCACCAATAACAACCTCGTTTCGATACAGATTCTTGTACCATTGTCAAGCATTACGGTACAAGAATCTGTATCGAAACGTCGCACTCACAAAATAAAGAAGTTGTTATCCATAAAAACTTGTTCCATATTGTACGTCTCAACTTCTAAAATGCCACTCAAACAAATAACAACCTCCATTAGATGATAAAGTGTAATCCCAAATATTACATTTGAACCCTTTCTAAATGGCATTGTGTATTCACATCCGGTGTCGTCTGTGATCTGTACCCATCATGCCACATTAATGTTGTAAGATAACTTTTCTCAAGGATTCTTATTCTAAGTTCACTCACTCACTCTTATATCATACAATTCAACTTGGACAGGATGATTATATCTACGACCCCGAGACGTTTGAGGGCTACACCCATGCTCTAAAGACCATGTTGAACATGATGTGGTATCAGGCGCCTGGCTCCCCTACAGGCAACCATGGACTGTTCCACAGATTCCACATTGAGGCTCTGACCTTGAGTGGTGAACCTGAGAAGCGGGGAAGAAATGTTGGACTGGACAAATCAGGAAGGTGAGAGGGAATTTTAGAGATAAAATAAACAGACTTTGTGTATCATGACAAATTACCTGCCTGTCCTTTCTGTTAATATGATCCTAATGCTGTCCATTTTGTCAGTTCTTGTTGAAAATACTAACTTCACAGCAGGGTTGTACACAAAGCAGAAGGGTTGGAGGGGTAGCGCAGTGGTTCGCTAATCATGCCCAGGTTCGATTTCCCAAATGCACACAAGATGCTAAGCTTATTTTGGTTGTCCCATGATGTGATATTGCTTGAATATTGCTAAAAGCGGCGTAAAGCCACTCACTCACCAACTCACGATCCATGAAGATCTTGGTTAGAATTGGTCCCAAATCAATGCTCGTGCTGTTGATCACTGGATTTTCAGGTCCAGGCTTCATTATTTACAGGTCACCACCTTATAGCTGGAATATTGCCGAGTGTGGTGGAAAACTAAGCTCACTCATTCACTCACTCACTCACTCACTCACTCACTAAATAATATTTTGCATCCATGGGAACGCACAATATTCAATATATTGAAGTTATAATATGTATGAAATATGTAATTAACAAGCCAATGCATCTTCTTTGGTACACAACTAGGTGGTGGGGTAGCCAAGAGGTTAAAGCGTTCCCTTTCGCTGAAGTCCCGGGTTTGATACTGAGCACGTGTATGATGTGTGAAGCCCTTCTCTAATGCCCCCCTGTCGTGATATTGCTGGAATATTGCTAAAAGTGGCACTCACTCACTCGGTACACAACCAAAATGTTACACTTGAGTTACACAGAAAAGGTTGTTAATTGTTTTTGTTTTTCCATATATGATGACAACAGTTTTGTCTTATTTTTAGGAATCCATCATGATGAGTAAAGAACACACCATCATGATGAGTAAAGAAAACAAGTAAAAAACTTCTGTTCACTTGAAGAAATACATCACAATATTTATTGTTGAACATTTCTCAGGAATGACAGAAACTGCATTCAAACCATATTTCGTAATTTGACAGGATTGTTGAGGGTGTGTTCCGCAGTCTGAACAACCTCCTTGAACGCTTCCACCAGTCCTTCTTCTTCTACATCCTGTCCGGCACGCAGAGATACATCTCTATCGGTATTTATATGCCTCCATTTGCTCTCATGGTGGCTGCTGGGCTGATCAAGGTGGGTGTGATGTGGTCCATGTTATACTGATAGGTGACTAATGGAGCACTCCACAACATAGGGGTCATCTCAAGCATGACAAAGTGATTAATGTATCTGGGTTCTGCTGTACAAAGGGATCATAGTGCTGAGGTGATACTTTAGCATAGGATTACAACAGTAGCAGCACTAAGGTTGTTGTATCTCTCATAGCTAAACATACACGAACAACAGTTGTTGCGCTAAGGTTGTATTTCCCATAGCTAAACATACACGAACAACAGTTGTTGCGCTAAGGTTGTATTTCCCATAGCTAAACATACACGAACAACAGTTGTTGCGCTGAGGTTGTTGTATTTCCCATAGCTAAACATACACGAACAACAGTTGTTGCGCTAAGGTTGTATTTCCCATAGCTAAACATACACGAACAACAGTTGTTGGGCTGAGGTTGTTGTATTTCCCATAGCTAAACATACACGAACAACAGTTGTTGCGCTAAGGTTGTTGTATCTTCCATAGCTAAACATACACGAACAACAGTTGTTGCCCTAAGGTTGTATTTCCCATAGCTAAACATACACGAACAACATTTGTTGCGCTAAGGTTGTTATATCTTCCATAGCTAAGCATACACGACCAGCAGTTGTTGTGCCAAGGTTGTTGTATCTCCTAGGACATTATATTTTATCAAATCATTTTTTTATTTGTAATGTTTTTTTAGTTCAAAGGATTACTTTATTTACACATTCACTGACTGTGATTTGTATTTTCTGACTGACATTAGATTACAAATTATTGGGAAGATATTAAAGTGCAAAATTTAGGCTTATATTGGGCCAGTAAGTTTCGCAAGCGCTACTTCTGGTACTAAGCTGGTTCCTGGCTCCCTTTGCAAAAGCTAATTCGCAATAATATGTGAGACTGGACCCAGATTACTTCCGCTACCAGATTTCCAGTGACAACGTATATTCAAGAACCAGCTCCAAATTCTGCGACCTCCAAATATGACTTTACTAGACCGGACACATGTACAACCATACTTGGCTGTCACAGCTGTTGACAGTCATAAGAGTTGGCTAATTTGGGGATGGTTAGATAGGAAAAATTGTTTTATTCCTGCAAGGGTTATCGGTTCCTTACTGTCAACTGACAACCATTCAAAAAGGGATGAAACGTTTGTCATCGGAAGTAGTAAGGTCTCACAAAGTGTGTTGACCTACTTAGGGCCCTATTCTTTACTTGTTTGGGTCTGCAGATTGCCAGAAGCATCAAACCAGATAGTGAAAGAGCTATGATTACAATATTACACTAATTCTAGGCCCTAGCATTGTGGATTGGTGCCGACTCCTCTCAGAAGAAAACCGAGGAAGATTCAGGAGCTGTTAAGGATGAAGACAAGGATGGAGAGAAGGATGGAGACAAGGATGAAGACAAGGATGGAGAGAAGGATGGAGACAAGGATGAAGACAAGGATGGAGAGAAGGATGAAGACAAGGATGGAGAGAAGAGTGGAGAAGAGAAAGCAGAGAAGAAAAAGGAAGGGCAGAAAGATTCAGAGCAGAAGAGGAAGGAAAAGAGTGAGAAACTGGAGAAAGAAAAGAGGAAGTTGGATGAAGATGAGGAAGAAGACGATGGAGACATAGGCGATGAAGCTGAAGTGAGCCTTGAGTTTTATTTTGTTTCAAGTAACAAGCTGTGATCACAGATATTGTCTGATATGATCTTCACTAAAGAATATGCAGCAAGTTATCAGATTTAATTATAATCCAATTGTTTTCATTACAAGTATTCTTTAAGCAGTATGTTGGAATGTTAGCATTTGAAAGTTCTCTATTTCTTATATTATTTTATGTTTACAGAGGCTCGAAAGCAATTTGAAGTTTGACATTATTTTCTAGTATGACCTTGAACATTAGGCTGACATTCCCATATCAAACATCCCAGCAGCTTTCTGCTCTGACCATTGCAACCCATACACGTTCTGTGGGGTGGTGGGGTAGCCAAGTGGTTAAAGCGTTTACTCATCATGCCGAAGACCAGGTTCGATTCCCCACATGGGTACAATGTATGAAGCCCATTTCTGGTGTCCCCGCTGGAATTTTCCTAAAAGCATCATAAAACCATACTCACTCTCTCATAACATTCTGAAAGTCACTATAACTGTCTCTCCGACGATTCCAATAGCGCCATCTTGGTTACAGATTCCCCAGCAGGTCGGACTCCGTAGCCTGCTTCCTGTTGCCTCCATCTGTATGCTGCTCGGCTTCCTGGCGTACTCCGGACCAAACGTCATGTCTCAGTTCTCCACACCGTTCCGGCTCCGTGTGCAGGACTCCCTGATGTTTGGTCTGCTGGCTCTCTTCTGTGCCTCTCTGCTGTATCCCAGGATGATCAAGAAGTGAGTAACGTTGTATACTACTCAAAACAAGTTAAGGATTATTATTCTTTCTAGCTACTATATCATGAGTATTTATGGTAATATGAAAGGATTGGGTGATCTTATTCTTTTTTCATAGAGATCGTCCTTGGGGTACATATATGCATTTTCTGCGGCGGAAAATGTCATGTGACAGTTGTATCATTGTTTTAATAGAATATTGTACAATAAATAAGAAAGCCTTTTTATTTACTATACGGCCCTCACCACGAGGCGAGGTGTGTCAGCGCATAGCGCTACTGCTACCCCAAGCTGCGGTGCCAACTAGCTGTCAGGACTCGTCTGAGTTCCACCTGCCGGGTGAGGCGTTTGCTCCTCGGCACCCTTCACAGACGCAGCTCCGCTTTCTTCCCTCACTGATTCAGGATGTTGTGGACCCATTGCTAGCTGGATCTAGGCTGCGGTTCGATTTGCCAGAACTTGTGAAGCGGTATCAGCTGGGCAATGAGTCCCTCTTCCTGGTTCCGGTGATGGACGCGTGTCTTCCTCGATCGCCCTCGGGGGATGCTCGGCTTCCTTGGGTTCAGCTCTGGCTGCCAAACAAGGGCATTTGGTTCCACCTTTTGCCCGGGCGCCCCTCTGCAGCAAGCATACTGAACCTATGAGGTGTATCGGAATGCTATGCAACAGATTTGGGTAGTGGTCCATGGGGCGTACCTCTCCTCAATTCTGAGGTCGGCCCTGGAAGCGGAGGCAGGCACGGGTGACGTATCACCTCATGTTGTGTCCTCCTTCGTAACTTACCAAGGTACAGGCCCACCTGGCGAGCTATTCTTCCAGGGCACAGCCTACGCCCAAGTCTGCAGGTTGGCTTTGACCGCTTGGCGGGAGTAGGAGGAGGAGCCGTCCCGCCAAGGGTAAGGGTAAGGAGCAGGCTTCTTCGTCTGGCTCCCAGCAGCCTTTTTGCAGTCGCGAGGGTCTGCCTCGACCTCCCGTTAAACGTGCAGGCTGCTCCAGCGGATATGTCCCAGCCAGTTCAGCTGCAGGGGACTACTCACGCTCTCTTACCACATATCCCAGTGGGAGGCCGCCTCTCTCTCTTCCTTCCGGAGTGGGAGAAGGCTACACACAACTCTTGGGTGCTGTCCACCGTACGTGTCGGCCATCTTCTGCTGTGGAAGCAAGGCCCGCCAGAGTTCACCGGCATAAGGCGCACTTTGGTGCTGTCATGTCCGGTCAGGGCGGGTATCTTGCGAGACAAGGTTCAGGCTTTACTGGACAAGTCCAAATAGAGCGCATACCACCGGGCGAGGAACAGGCGGGGTTTTATTCCACGTACTTCCTCATACCAAAGAAAGACGATGGGTTCCATCCCATTCTCAACTTTAAGGGGTTGAATCGCATGCTAGAGGTTCCATCCTTCAAGATGGAGACACTTCGCTCGATGATCTCATGTGTTCAGCCTGGCGATTGGCTTACGTCGATCGATCTCAAGGATACATATCTACATGTGCCTATTCATCCCACGTTCAAGCAGTACCTCCAGTTCTCTTACAACAGGATGTATTATCAGTTCAGGGTGCTCCCCTTCAAAATATCTACTGCCCCCAGGGTGTTCACCAAGCTCATGTTAGTGCCGGCTACTCTCGCACGGTCACACGGAAGGCATTGTCACCCTTACCTGGACTACTGGTTGCTGCGCGCACTAACTCAGCCAGAGAGTCCAGATTCTACTCACAAGGTGATAGACATTCTAGTTCGACTGGGGTGGATCATAAACCTCAAGAAATCCGACCTGGTACCCACCCAGGACTTGTTTTTTCTCGGGGCACGGTTCACAACTCAACAGGGTCTTGTCTGTTTCTCGCCCGACCGAGTCGACAGAGTACAGGAGATGTCTTCTGGTGTCTTCGTTCCTCTCCCAGCCCCAGGCGCCGGCAAGGACTTAGCTCCGTCTACTGGGTCATATGGCGGCAACTATCTCTGTAGTGTGGCGGGCGCGGTTGAGAATGCACCCTATACAGCAAGCTTTGGCGAGTCTGTGAGCTCACTCAGAGGATCTGGAGAAGTGTCTCACAGATCCCAGGTGGTTGTCTCCTCACCTTCAGTAGTGGACCGATGTCGGGAATCTCTCCAAAGGGGTCCCTTTGGACATCCCGACGCCAGCTCTTACAGTTCTTAAAGATCGATCGCGCTTTTCATGTGACAGCTCCGAACACAACTGATCCCATGATCAAGCGGGTTTTTGCCGTTCTGTTCTCTCCGGTGGACAGTGTCCTACCACCCTGACCGAGTGAGTCTTGGTTATTTGGTTTTAGGACGCTGTGTTCAATTGTTGTTATAATTGACATATCTGCTGTTGATTTTTCGACAACTTTCAATTGCTCAATTGAGATATTCGGTTGTGAGTTGTGGTTTCCCCCTTACGGTGCTCTCTAGAGTTTTCACTAAGTGGGCAGGGTTTTATTTACACACTGGGTTTTAATGCTTGACATGTTGAGGTCGGTCCTCAGTACGTTTACTCCCTGTCGGGTCACCTCCCATAATGCCTCTCGAGGAAGCTTCGGGACAGGTGACAGGTGAGTATTGTGGCGTAAGTAACTTTTCGTAATTACGAGATCGCAATTTATTTGTACTGTGACAGAATTCCCTCCTCCCTAGCCTCCGGTCTTTGGGAGTCTGTGTTAATGTATATATGTACCCCAAGGACGATCTCTATGAAAAAGAATTAGATAAACCTGTAGAGGTTTCCAATTCTTTGAGGAGAATCGTCCTTGGGGTAGGGCCGCCCACCTCCCCGCAATTCTGTTCACTGATTTGTTCAGCAGAAGGAATGATGATACGGGCCTGGGTGCTTACCTGGTTGCCCACGCATGCGTGGTAGGGAGGTAACTCCACGTGGTGGGGGCCGTATAGTAAATAAAAAGGCTTTTTTATTTATTGTACAATATTTTATTACAACTGTCACATGACATTTTCAGCTGCAGAAAATGCATATATGTACCCCAAGGACGATTCTCTTCAAAGAATTGGAAACCTCTACAGGTTTATCTAAATTTTGAGGAAGTGTGATGTTTATATTATCGTCAAGCACCTGGATTCAATTAGATTACTTTTATTGTTACCATAAACATTTTGTTGTCACAACTGTAAGACCACAGGGTACCATGGTTAAGTTCATGACAAAATATTGAGTGTATCAATTAGCCATTTTGAGCTCAGGGCATCAGTGAACCACTTTGAGCTCGGGGCATCAATGAACCACTGAGATCAGGGCATAGATGAGCCAGTTTGAGATCAGCGCATCAATGAGCCAGTTTGAGCTCAGGGCATCAATGAGCCAGTTTGAGCTCAGGGCATCAATGAACCACTTTGAGCTCAGGGCATCGATGAACCACTTTGAGCTCATTGCATCAATGAGCCAGTTTGAGCTCAGGGCATCAATGAACCACTGAGATCAGGGCATCAATGAACCACTTTGAGCTCAGGGCATCAATGAGCTAGTTGGAGCTCAGGGCATCAATGAACCACTTTGAGCTCGGGGCATCGATGAGCCAGTTTGAGCTCAGGACATCGATGAGCCAGTTTGAGATCAGGGCATCAATGAGCCAGTTTGAGCTCAGGGCATCAATGAACCACTTTGAGCTCAGGGCATCAATGAACCACTTTGGGCTCAGGGCATCAATGAGCCACTTTGAGCTCAGGACATCAATGAACCACTTTGAGCTCAGGGCATCAATGAGCCAGTTTGAGCTCAGGGCATCAATGAACCACTTTGAGCTCAGGGCATCGATGAACCACTTTGAGCTCATTGCATCAATGAGCCAGTTTGAGCTCAGGGCATCAATGAACCACTGAGATCAGGGCATCAATGAACCACTTTGAGCTCAGGGCATCAATGAGCTAGTTGGAGCTCAGGACATCAATGAACCACTTTGAGCTCAGGGCATCAATGAGCCAGTTTGAGCTCAGGGCATCGATGAGCCAGTTTGAGATCAGGGGATTGATGAGACAGTTTGAGATCAGGGCATCGATGAGCCAGTTTGAGATCAGGGCATCGATGAGACAGTTTGAGATCAGGGCATCAATGAGCCAGTTTGAGATCAGGGCATCAATGAGCCAGTTTCAGCTCAGGGCATCGATGAGCCAGCTTCAGCTCAGGGCATCAATGAGCCAGTTTTAGATCAGGGCAACATTTGGGTGTGTGTGTCCTTTTGTACCCAACAGTATGGATTGTTGCTCAGCCACTGGTTTATCTGGTTCACACTGAAGTATTTACAGGCTGGTGGAATTAAACACCAAACAAATCACAGCTATAGTTTGGACCCGTTTTTTTGTAAATATCTCTTCATCCAATGACCCAATCGATCTCAAACTGTGCAAGTGGATGTTTTGTCAGACAACCTAATCACATTGTAAATCACCGATTTGATGCATTTCTATTAAAGAATCTGTTTATGTAACTGTCAACAAAATAAACAGCAGAACGCAGACTGCTTGCAGAGGGAGGGAGCCAATGACCTGTAACAGCGTCACATGCATTTCATGCCAAACTATAGTATCAGTGAAAGTGGTGTTTTTGAATCCTTGACCCATGTGCCCTTGGTCCATTTCTGCTAAGCAATCTGACCTCTTACCACTGACCTAAGTCTGTCAAAAGCACAGGAGTTTGATCACCTACAGAGGAATATGCTATGATACAAACTAATACATGTTGATAAACGTTAATCTTCCCCTACAGGTGGGGTAGCACAGTGGTTAAAGTGTTTGCTCGTCACACCGAAGACCCAGGGTCGATTCCCCACATGGGCACAATGCGTGAAGCCCATTTCTGGTATCCCCCGCCGTGATATTGCTGGAATATTGCTAAAAGCGATGTAAAACAATACTCACTCACTCACTCACTCACTCACTCACTCACTCATTCTTCCCCTCTAGGAAGTACAACGAGTCTGACAAGTTCCAAGTGGACTGGCAGACCCTGAAGAGTGTCAGCCTCATCCTGCTGTCCCTCATCCTGTTTGCCATCGCCCTCATGAACATCTCCCTCGCCTTCTTCCTCACCGCCACAATGATGCCTGTCTGCACATTTGTCGTCCCCACATCAAGCAGGTTAGTGACTGGGTGTCCAGAGAGCTCCATATTGGCATAAAATAATAAAATATATTATCATTAGGCCAGACCAATTTTAGTTCTTGTTTTACGGATCTGCTGGTCATATTTTTTCAAGAATAAGATACAAATTAAAATTAATTTCCCCCCCTCAAAAAATAAAATCCTAATGTTTTTATTGGCCAAAAATATAAACTTACAAAAAGACATATTTTTAGAGAAAGGAATATTACTTTGACTGGTGATTTTTTATTATATTTTTTCCCTCCTGCCTTGAGGTTTTCTGAGGACAAAAATCTGTAAAACAATAAATAAAATTGGTCTGGCCTTACTCAATAAAATTTGAGTTGCTTGTGTACAAATATGATATATTTCAGAAGTCTTATAGTGTAACAGTACTCTGCATAACTACCTAGTGTATTCAGTGATACAACGAAGATGTTTATAACAAACTGACGCATATAACAATAATTTTTTGCGATAATCTTTTTCGGAATGCTACGATCAGCAGTGGCTATATATAATGCTAGTTTTCATGATATACGGTCCAGGACTCCTGGTAACCTGCATGTCTACATCTGCACTATAAAGAGATTTCCTTTTCATTGAGACTGATAATACACTTTTCAGTTTATGATCCCCTATGATCCCCAAGATCTTTTAATGATTCATAATACTCTTTGAGTACGTTCATATGCTCACTTCCCACTCTTGTTATCCCACTGTTATTTGACTTAATCATCAAACTGACTTCAAACTGTGCTGAAATGTTTACCAATTATGACTTTAACCAAACTATGGACACTCTAATAAATGGTGATCAGATGGCCACAATGACTGAGAATGTCTTCACCGAGACCGAAGATGGATAAAAAGTATTGTTCTTGCGCACATTTTCGAAAGGGCACACCTAAGCATCTTTTAGAGTTTTGTTTTCTTTGTTTGATTGTCTTGTTCACTTATTTGATAGTGCATGTAAATAACATAATGGGCATTGATAAACACATTTGGAAAAGGATGACGTGCATCAAACCAGCAGTGAGTCTGACCATCCAATCCTATTCGCGTCTTGAAGAGAAGCATAGCTGCCTCTTTTGACAAGCATTGGCTGCTGAAACCAAATTCTAAAACAGGGCCCCGTTCCTCAAAGTGATCGTAGCGCTAAGATGATTGTAACTCCCATACTTTAACATAGGCTTACGACTGTCGTAGCGCTACAATCGCTTTGAGGAACGGGGCCCAGGTCTTCACAGGGAAGCGAATATGCTTTTCGTAAGAGGCGACTAACAGGATCGGGGGTCAGGCTCGCTGACTTGGTTGACACATGTCATTGATTCCCAATTGTGCAGATCGGTGCTAATGTTGTTGATCACTCGATTGTTTGGCCCACACTCGATTATTTACAGACCGACGCCATATAGCTGGAATATTGCTGAGTGCAGCGTAAAACTAAACTCACTCACTCACTCACTCTTCACAGGGGATCTTTCTGAGGCCCCCATTTCTGACCTGTTGTGCCTGTGGAGAATGATTTGATGGAGTCAGATGTATCTTCTTGTTCCAGGATTATGACATGGCTTCAGAAGCTGCTCCTGCTGCTAGTGTCACCCCGCATCGTTCCTCTTCATCAGCGCCATCATCTACACCATTGTACTCGGGGACAAGTACAATGGCTACCTGGACCTGCTGATGTCGTCGTGGATGTACGTGAAGCAGAGTGTGTTGATGAGGCTGCTGGACCAGTGTTTCTTTGGAAGCTGGACCTACACAGTGATGAGTCTTATCATCTTCCCCAGCTGGCTGATGTTCTGGGGGGTGCCTCACTGCGAGCCCTAGGGGTGCAAGGAGTGTCTGTGTAGTCGTCGTTTATTTATGAGGGAGCAGGTCAAAAGTTGAATGTCAAATAAAAATCTGAATTCCTTTAGTTCAGGAGAGAAAGTTAGCAAGAGATGTAGGTCTCAGATGATTTGGTGAAACCATCAGCATGGGTAAGGTGCTGACAAACAAAACACATAATTCTGGGAACCTACCATTCAAACAGGGATTCGACAGTGATTCAAATCCACAATGAGGGTTTCTGGTCCTCTCAAGGGACAATGAGTTACGGTTAATGAAATAACAGTTGTCGACATGTCATTTAAAGCTCTGTCAAACTATTTTAAGGAACTTCAGGAATCAAGGATATTATTCTGCATTGTACTTTTGAAACATTCCCTGAATTCATCTAGAATGAGTGTACAGGTATGATAATTTCATGAATATGAATGTTACGAGTGAAAACTGCTGGAATATTGTTTTCATTTTTTTAACAAAAGGTTAATCATAAATTATTTCATATGAATGAAATTGTCACCTTTAAATCATTTCATTATACTGAATATTTGCTGTTAAGATCAACAATGTGTTCAAGAGGGTCTTAAAAGCAGATAATAATTCATATTTATGGGCCTATCTTTATCTTTAACTTTTGAAATCCACGGATTATTTGTATTTGTAGTGTATTCACTGTAATTATCTCCCTTTGCTCCCAAACTGACAAATGGGTTAGCTTATTGAAATCAGTCACAAGGTAAAAATATTGACTGAATTTTAACAGTAGAAACTAAACCTTTTTCAACAATAGTGAGGCAGTCATTTTGTGTTTTCTGTGAAAAATCTCCACTCCACTCATATTACTAAAAACGATTATGGATTTTCACTTTCCCCTGCCCACTTCAATCGTATACATGCAGCATGATCCCCTGCCCATAATATATGACAAGTCTCTAAAGATTGTTCTATTTCATAACTGTTTCAATTTAAACAAACTCATATTTTCCATGCCTCCAAACTCTCACCCCTCACACACTCATCCACACACCACACACCCCCGGCACATACACATACATGTACTTAAGCTTATTTTGCCTAGTCATTTTCTCCTGGCCTTGACTAGCACCAGAATTAATCGCACCAACCCCCTTGTTGGGTGTGTGTGTGTGTGTGTTTTGTAACCTAGTGGTTAAAGCATCCGCTCGTCATGCCAAAGACCCGGGTTTGATTCCCCACATGGGTACAATGTGTGAAGCCCATTTCTGGTGTATCCCGCCGTGATATTGCTGGAATATTGCTAAAAGCGGCGTAAAACCAAACTCACACACACACGCACAATAATGAATGACTAGTCCCTTATTGTTCCAGGTGCTTAGGGATGACTTATTTGAGCAGAGCGTTCAATATGGTGATTGCGGTACTTGTACATGATTGTATATAAATCATCTTGGTCTCTGCAAGATGTGAGTGGTGAGAAGTTGTCACTCAATCTCAATCAAAATAATAGCATGGTGGTTCTTCACAGTTAGGCTCACTGTGGTCATGGGTCAAGCAATACAGTAATGTCACCCCTTGCATTTACTCTGTGAACATTGATATAAGTCTGTGTTGTGCGTAATATTCCTTCATGAATAACCATTGTACGAAACAACCCTGTAAGATTGTAAGTCTTAAAGTATGGGAATTATCATCGACTTGGCACAAGGTCCCTTTCAAATCTTTGAAGGACATTTAGCTCCCTAAGTACAGCGGCGTCTTGGTATCAGAGATATCGCTGATCTCAGGATAGTCCCTGGTTGTTGTAGTGGTCACAAGATTTCTGCTCGACATCTCGCTAGAAGCTAGCTCTTTGAAACTCGTGGAGCAGCTGACAATCATGTGGTTGACGCTGTGAGCAGGCTGTGTTAATCATGAGTCCAATTCTAATGTACCATTTCCTTGCTCATGGCTGAACAAAGCATTACATCTGTTGATCACTGTGTTCCAATTTCTTTCTCATGTATAACCCAAGCTGCCTCATGAGGTGCTGGAGGATTCGCACTCACACACACGTCTCATCCTACAGGGTAGCTATACACTGCTTGGTGGACACGGTGAGCAGTGTTGGCCCAGTCAGCCCTGTATGTTTAGATTTGTGTAGGAGTTTCAACTGCAAGTTGATCAAGAGAAATTCCTAAGTCATAATTCAACGACTTTCACCCGAACTAGAATCTGAATTGTTTTGGGTTTTTAAAAGTCTAAGTGAATGTGTGAAATATAGACGATCAAAAATATGAGCTTCTCAAGTTATTTGGGTTGATATTGTGGTACATTTACAAATATTGCCCTGCCAATCAAAATCTGCCATTATACATGAATGTGTTTCTCTATCTGATTGTCTACAAATTGTTTCAATGACAGCTTACCAACCGTGATAATGCTTGTTTAGTATTAATGACCAAAGGATCATTGCCACTTTGGAATCTCCACAGACGAAGGGTGATAGGAGTAGCCCAGTGGTTCAAGTGTTCACTCGTCACGCCGAAGACCCGAGTTTGATTCTCCACATGGGTACAATGTGTGAAGCCCAGTTCTGGTGTCCCCCGCTGTGATATTGCTGGAAAATTGCAAAAGGCGGCGTAAAACTAAACTCACCCACTCACTCACTCCAAAGAATGGGATCCGGTGGTCAGACCCGCTGACTTGGTTGACACATTTGATTGTATCCACATTGTGTAGATCGATGCTCATGCTGTTGATCACTGGCTTGTCTGGTCCAGACTTGATTATTTACAGACTGACGCCATATAGCTGGAAGATTGCTGAGTGTGGCGTTAAACAACAAACAAAGAACAACCAACCACTCCATCGAAGAATGAAGGAGCTCCAGTTTGCTATCTGTGCTGTATGCTGATGAGTTTGATAATGACATGATCAGGTCCCTAAATGACATGACATGATCAGGTCCACTCAGTGTGTTTGCTTGTACAAGAGCATGTGTGTTATTTGTGGATCAAATGACTTATTAGAATGGAACATTGTGCTATTGAATGTTGTTTCTGCATGTGATTTCACGTTAGGCAAGGACAAATTATTTCCATATTTCACTGACCATCTATCCTAAATTTTCTGTAAGTGATTTAAATTTATCTAATTCTGATTTAATTCTGTTGGATTTAAAACAGATATTAATCTTTTACTTTATTGTGGACATTTTTGTTTCAAGTGGGTTACAAATTAACATTAAAGGTCACATGCAACCAAAAAATCAAACATAATTAAAACACAATTATCACTTATTCATGACATATAATATACATTGCTGGTTACGAAAAAATATATAAACAAAATTATAAGCGTACAATCGCAAATCGAAAGTGCAAAATTGTGTACTTCGGTTTACTTCCCAAGAAACGAAGCAGCCGAGATACCGAACCCAGTCAGAGCGGGTGGGTGTGCACTCAAGTGTAACGGCTGGTTCATTTGCAGATGCCTTCACGGCTAATTGTGTGTATATATATATATAGGTGTTGGGTTTTGTAAATACATGCTCATTTTTTGTGTATAACACCTGCCTGTCTGTGTAATTACATTATGTGACAGAGACCGAACTCGGGCCATAAATCAATGCATTTTGTTTATGGTGTATAGCCTGATTGGTGTTAAGTTCAAATTGCATGTGGTCAGTGATAGCAGCTGTGTGTTGAATATTGTCATTAGCAGACAGGCAGGCAGACACACAGGTGTCAATAAAACAAGACATTGAGTTTTTTCTGTGACAACAACATATCTATATCACAGTTAGAAATTCTGTCAACGCTAAATAATGACATTGCTTTTAAGTATCGAACTGAGAAAGTGTCTCGCTAAGAAGAACGTGTGGTGAAGTAGACAAATGAAATTATATAAACAGTTAATTTACTGTCATAACATATAAAAAGCTCGCGCCTGTGAGATATCAACAAAACATTAGAAAAATAGCTCACACCAAAGCCTTCACCGAGTATTCACCCGACAACCCGCTTCCAAGCTGCGCGAACCTATTTACTTGCGCACGTGCTATGAGCGCAGCCCAGCTGTTGAAACCTGTTTTCCCCAGAAAAGTCTGGGGAAAATTAGTGAAACGATTGAACTCCGATTTCGCGCGGGTTTTTTTCATCGCGTCTTGGGAAAATTAGTGAAACGATTGAACTCCGATTTCGCGCGGGTTTTTTTCATCGCGTTATTTTTCAACTTTATAAGTTGAATTTGCATTTTTGACGATTTGTTTCGGTATGTCCATACCGACAAGTATCAGAATCTGCAAAGTTGTGTTTTACGTTGCATGTGACCTTTAAGATAATAGTGCTGTTTGCCTGTAGACATATGGACCATGTGGATATTGAAACCCTAAAGAACAAGACAAGGGCTGGGATGAGTCTTAATTTATTACCTGGGTAACTGACCCTTCTATTACATGACCCTAACCAGTACCCTCTATAGTCTCAAGAATATCTTGGCTACAGAATGTTTGACTGTTCGACCGGAGCCTGGTATTTGGACAGTGATCAAGTCATGTATACACATAGGTTCACTGAAGCATGGCCTTGTTTAAACATAAAATTTCAGTATCAATGCATACATTAGTTACCTGTAGTTAAAGTTATTTCATTTCACAATATATCATGTGATAAACTAGGGATCCTGTTGGTACCCAGGTCCACAGTTCCCACCTGATGAGAAACCCGTCCCAGCCCTGAACAAGACATAATATTCTGGCTTTAAGAACAAGAAAAAAATAATGTTACTGAAAACCGATGGTGGAGATTTATGGTTCTTCTCAGAACGAAGAATGATTTTGATTTTTTTCTGGAACGTTCAGTCATGTGATCGTTTCTCGGCTTATCTATGTTCATGCACATTTTACTTGTATGTGTTACACGTAAAACTGATACTGTGTGTTTGTATGGTAGTTTTGTTGAATGTCTTTTGGTGTACGTGAATCACATTCCCACTCAACTATGCATATCCCTGTTATTCTATTTCTAGAATAAATATTTTACTGGACGACTTTACTTATGTTTTGATAGACCTATATCCACAAGAGCAACTATTACTGATGCTGTTGTATACATGTCACCTCCAGATTGTGAAAATCCGGGATAGAATTGGTCTCCAGGAGGTGAGGTGAGGTGAGGTGAAATTGGGTTTAACGTCGTGCTTGAGAATATTTCGCGCATATGACGTGCATGCGTGTGTATGTGCGGCTGCTTGTACTAGCCCAGACTCAAGCTGGTTTTATAGTGCTAGCCCACTGAGATACCACGCTGCAGTGAAGCATGAGTACCCCACTCAGACACATTATACTGACTCCGAGCCGACTAGTCCTTGTTGTACCCATTAATGCCGAACGCCAGGCAGGGACCAGGCAGGGACCAACAAAATAAAGAAATCAAAATAATAGTCAAATCCAGAAAGTACAGAGACACTAAAGGACAATCACAGTAGGTGCCTCATTCGTTAACAAATATTTACTGGACATGTTGAAGTTCTTGTTGTTTACCACTACACCACCTGTTGAAAGGGCAAAAAGAAGCCCTTAGATGTTAAAAAACAAACATGGGCCATTACTTTGTTACAAATTGTAAGACAGTTTCCATTTTCGAACTCCATCAAGGCATTCATGTCCTAAAAACACATTCCAAATTTGTTTTCCCTATCTATAACAGTTATGCACAAAAGGACGAATGGAGTTCAAACCAATATCCCCCTCCCACTTCGTGGAGGGGGATAATGATGTGTAATAAAATAATGATGAGAATAGATAATTTGTATTGCATATCCATGCTCAGTATCATGCTCTAAGCACACCCAGGGCAGTTCAGTCAAAAGCAAGACGAAATTGACAGTCTTGAGAGCAGTTCTGAAGGTGGAACAGGTTAGAGAAGTAAGAGTTCATGGGCAAGACCGTTCCATTGTAATGAAGCTGCAAAAGAAAAGCATCTGTGTCCAGATGCTGGGAGGAAGACTCCTGAGCACTCTATGTGTCCAGATGCTGGGACTCGGAAGGAAGACTCCTATGTGTCCAGATGCTGGGACTCGGAAGGAAGACTCCTATGTGTCCAGATGCTGGGACTCGGAAGGAAGACTCCTATGTGTCCAGATGCTGGGACTCGGAAGGAAGACTCCTATGTGTCCAGATGCTGGGACTCGGAAGGAAGACTCCTATGGACCGTAACCCTGGAGAAAGTCTGACAAGTATGGTGGAGCCGTTGGTAAACTATCAAAGTCCATTATTTACAGAACTGAACAACAAATATGATTTCCCACTCAGTTTATTGCAGGTAACAGTGACTTCTAAACTTTTTTGAACAGGCAGTAACAGGAAGCCTCTTTGGCTCTTTACAATAACATCACATCTGCACTTTATAATTACATGAAACTGCCAACGGTGAGATTCTGTAAGCTATCATGTGTACATGGGGCCAGGATGATACACAAATTCATATCTTGATACAATATGTATCATGATACAGTAAGAATGACACAAACTGATAATTTCATGAGTGAAACTACCGCAGTAAATGTAATCAAATTTCCTGCAGACAGCCACGTTGCGGTTTATCAATAACTAAGCAACTCCACAAATCAATACGTCAACCGACAACACCTTAGTCATATTGGCAGCTGATGAATCGTCCCATCCCTACCACATCGTCCCACACCAGTTGCAAAGGTCTTCATCGGCTAGAATCAGTCATTACTGCATCCATTCTGTATGTCATGTACATCACATCCTGCATTTTGGTTTTTAAATTTTAATATTTTTAATTTTCAAACTAGCAATCTCACAGACTTTTGATGATGTCCCTGCAATCACAAACTGACATGAACGAGACAGTTAACACGAGAGACAAGCCATGGATACATCTGGAATTAGTCTGTTATGCTTGAAGCTGAAAAACAAGCCGCATTATTCTAAACCTCTACCCAATGATAAATGCCATATCTTCCAATGCCCTACACCACCTACATAAATGCAACTGACAGTCACAAATGACTGCTTGCCTTCTTGGAGGACAGTTGACTTGAAAAACTAGTTGATGGTTGATTTGATCAACTGTAGTTGTCAACCGCTGGTTGGATGATTTAGTTGATGGATGTTGTGATAACAAAAGCTTTGGTTAGATCAACTAGCTGATGGTTGATATCAACAAAAGTTGTCAATTGTTAATTCATTTAATCAACTTAAGTGGTTTTAGCCCTTTCGGTGGATTTCATAAAAAATATACAACAAAATATATCTAGTATTCCATCAAATAGCACTGATTGTATTAAATAAAACATTCAGATATCTGCTCCTAATAATCTAAAACCATTACAAAATCTTTTCTCAAATTATCACAATGTTTACAGAATGAATATTCTGAATGAGGAAATGTGCACAGTTAGATTGAGCTGGTGAAAGAAGGTAAGAAACAAAGAAGTATTTTAAGTTAGTATGTGATCTCTGGCGTAAATTGATAAGAGTAGTGCGTAGAATAAGGTGAAACTTAACAAATGTGCAAAGACATTCTACCCTGTAGGAGTACTTCAAAGGTTACATGGATAAGGACAGTCTGGTTTGACCTCAGTGGAGGTCATAGCTATGGGAGGTAACTGTAGTCACTTCCTGTGAGATTTGAAGAAGTTGATAAGCCCATTAGTGGAGGAATCATGAGTGTTCACTGGGTTAGGGCCTCTCAGTTCTGGCTGGATCACCTTGGCAAGCTGCTTGCCCAGCTCAACGCTGAAACAGTGAGGGAGTGAGTTTAGTTTTATGCTCTTTTCGCAATATTCCAACAATAGCACAGTGGGGGACACCAGAAATGGGCTTCACACATTGTACCCATGTGGAGAATCGAACCCAGGTCTTCAGCGTGACTAGCGAACACTTTAACCACTTGCCTACCCCACCGCACCTAACTCTGAAACAAGGTCAAATTAACTAGAAGTCATGGGGACACTGCATCACAATGCTGACATTTTGGTTTCATGCTTTACACTGATTTCCTTGATATTTACTTTAGACAGAGAATCTTGGGCAAGCTCTGATAAAACCGAAAATAATTCCAAAAAATGAGTATTTACTATTTCATTATAATTATTTCCGGTTTTATCAGAGCTTTCCCTAAGATTCTAAAGGTATCAGCTTTCACTGATTTCCTGTCTAGTAAGTAAATACTCTATTAGACAGGAAATCAGTGTAAAGCATGAAACCAAGATGTCAGCATCGTGATGCAGTCCCTTACCAGTTGTACAAATGTTGAAGATGTGAGATTAGCAAGCCTACCTGAACATTAAACCCCATACCACCAGGAGGATTGGCATCTCTGCTTTCATGTGTTCCCTTATTCATTTCCATGATAATATTTCCGGTTTTATCACAATTTTCCCACAATTCTCAAGGCATCATGCTTTTCACTGATTTCCTGTGTAAAGTGCAATTAACTCATCTCACTGGAATTATTTCCAGTTTTATCAGAACTTGCCCAAGATTCTCAAGACATCAAACTGCCAATTGTTCCAATGCTCCGAAGACTCTGGATATAGGTATTTTGTCAACACTTACCCCCACTGATCAAAAGAGTTGATATCCCAGATGACACCTTGGGTGAAGATCTTCATTTCATACATGGCTGAAAAACAGAGATAATACCCATTCTTTAATCAAATGTTGTTTCAAAAACATTTAAAGTACAAGTTTGTGGAATTCAAATCATGCTTAATTTATAAGGTTTAGTAAAGAAATCTTACAGACTTTTTTTGAAAGTTTGCTTGAAGGACGGAACAAAATTCACTCACCCCCTCATATTAACAAGTGGTGTTGTGCCGGGAAGGCTAAACTTTATTTTTTAGATGTCCCGGGAAGGCTAAAATTGTATATTTCGGATTTCCCGGGAGAGCTAATTTCCAAGGGAGTAGGGGAGCACCGCCAAAGCTAAAGATACGGTGCCGGGAAGCATAATCCATGTCGGGAGTAAATAGATATCTTTTCAAAACATTGTTATAGTATTCGATTCGTTTATTACCATTATCTGTACACTGGTTAATAATATTTTATAAATTGCATAATGAAGAATAGACGTGAAAATGTGTAAATAACTTTATTTATATTTTTATATGTGCCCAAATTAAAGAGTGTCCCTGTTAATCCTGGTTTCTTTGTAATTTGTCAGAGCCTCCGAGTGAGGCCAGCCGTGTTCATTCAGCCATAACATTGCATTGCAAGTACCGTGAAGGCTACGTTACGCTCATTGAACTGAGAAGCGTCACGATTTTAGCCTTCCCGGCCATGAACCTAACAAGTAGCAGTGCATATAAGCTGCGAAATGAGACACTGATCGAGAACTTAATTCTATTTTTTCTGTTATCCCTAATAATTTAACTGACTGACTGAGTTTGGTTTTACGCCGCTTTTAGCAATATTCCAGCAACATCATGGCAGGGGACACCAGAAATGGGCTTCACACATTGTACCCATGTGGGGATTCAAACCCGGGTCTTCGGCGTGACGAGCCAATGCTTTAACCACTAGGCTACTAATAATTTAAAAAAAAAAAAAAAGTTTTCATATCTCACATGAAATACATCTCGCTTAGTTAAAAAAAGGACAGTATACTTGGCTACTGTTTCCAAAGGTAGTTATATCATATTATCATATATTATTTTTGGAGCTGGCGACTTGTTACTCAGGTTTAAATGTCAAAGCAAAAGAAACATTTGTACAGGAAACATAACAATAATTGCAGAATAAGGTAATAATTACTGCAAATAATTTAAGGGTGCTAGTAAACATATTGCATGATGAGTACAAAATGTTATCTGTAGGCCTTCAGGACAAGTTGGCTTGCGGAGACTGTTCGAGCCCTAGCAGCTGTGTACGTACCTATGAGAACTCCAAGCATGAAGGGTGTGAGTTTCTGGAAGATGAAGGAATTGCTGGGACGATTGCCTTCAAACACCTGCAAAATATGGACACCATAGGCAATATCCATCTTGTATTCTTTGAGGGCAGCTAGGACCCTTTCTATAAAATATCTTTGCAGCAGCACAGGTACTGACAAATTTAAGAAAACAATTGAGGCGAATTGGGAATCCAACCAAAGCCAGTTGTTGAGTCTGAGACACATGTGTCAGTGTCAGTGTCCCAGCTGTAACAGGCCCAACAAGTGTTTGCCACTGATATGGCAGTGTGCCCCGCCGCTAAAGAATGGAATATAACACATCTACTACTGGGTTTTTTGGGTCACATGCAAGAAGCCTGAAATGACTGGTGTCTGCATAATCACCCAATGTAGGCTGTCAACATAATTGAAGACATCGGGTGCAACGTTTTATGAGATATCGCGTTAACAAGAGTTTGAAACGTGGTCAAAGTGTCATGGTGACCTTGAAGATAAGGTGTCTGCGTAATCCCCCAATGTAGGCTGTCACCAAATTTGAAGACATTGGGTACAACAGTTCATGAGATATCACGTTAACAAGAGTTTGAAAAGTGTTCAAATTGTCACGGTGACCTTGAAAATAAGGTCAAGGTGACCAAAACTGACTGCTGTTTGTGTAATCCCCCAATGTAGGCTGTCACCACATTTGAAGACATTGGGTACAACAGTTCATGAGATACCGCGTTAACAAGGGTTTCAAAAGTGGTCAAAGGGTTTCAAAAGTAAAGTGTCGGGTGACTGGTGTCTGGGTAATCCCCCACTGTAGGCTGTCACCACATTTGAAGACATTGGGTACAACAGTTCATGAGATACCGCGTTAACAAGGGTTTCAAAAGTGGTCAAAGTGTCGTGGTGACTGGTGTCTGGGTAATCCCCCACTGTAGGCTGTCACCACATTTGAAGACATTGGGTACAACAGTTCATGAGATACCGCGTTAACAAGGGTTTCAAAAGTGGTCAAAGTGTCGTGGTGACTGGTGTCTGGGTAATCCCCCACTGTAGGCTGTCACCACATTTGAAGACATTGGGTACAACAGTTCATGAGATACCGCGTTAACAAGGGTTTCAAAAGTGGTCAAAGTGTCGTGGTGACTGGTGTCTGGGTAATCCCCCACTGTAGGCTGTCACCACATTTGAAGACATTGGGTACAACAGTTCATGAGATACCGCGTTAACAAGGGTTTCAAAAGTGGTCAACAAAGGGTGACTTGTCTGGGTAATCCCCTGGACTGTAGGCTGTCACCACATTTGAAGTCAAAGTTCATGAGATACCCCTTAACAAGTGGTTTCAAAAGTGGTCAAAGGTGTCTGGTGTCTGGGTAATCCCCACTGTAGGCTGTCACCACATTTGAAGACATTGGGTACAACAGTTCATGAGATACCTGGTGTCTGCGTTAACAAGGGTTTCAAAAGTGGTCAAAGTGTCAAAGTGTCGTGGTGACTGGTGTCTGGGTAATCCCCCACTGTAGGCTGTCACCACATTTGAAGACATTGGGTACAACAGTTCATGAGATACCCCGTTAACAAGGGTTTCAAAAGTGGTCAAAGTGTCGTGGTGACCTTGAAAATACGGTCAAGGTCACCAAAATCGAATGATGTCTGGGTAATCCCCCAATGTAGGCCGTCACCAAATTTGAAGACATTGGGTACAACAGTTCATGAGATATCACGTTAACAAGAATCGGGACGTACATACGGACGGACGCCGCTGAATACATAGTTCCCCGTTCCGCGTTGCGGCGGGGGACAACAATGCATGTATGCACACAGACAGACAGACAGACAGGAGGGAAGTTGACTATTTCTGTTGACTATACATCATGTGCTTGGGGGGGGGGGGGGGAATCATATTTTTTCATACAAGTGGCAAAAACACCATAATGATTCAATGAAGCTGAGGATGGGGCAGTACCTTATGGGGCAGGATGTGAGCAATCTTTTCAGCCGCCATGCCAGACGTCTTCAGTTCAGCCTCCGCCTCTTCTCGGGTCTTGCCTTTCATTAAAGCCTCTGTCTGTGCCAGGAAGTTGGCTTGCAGGATCTGGAACACACGTGTTGTCCATGGAATAAATATTCATAGGTACTTTGCTGGAAAGGTAACACTTTAACTTCTGTCACTTCAACACTGCACTCAGCAATATTCCAGCTATATGATGGTGGTCTGTAAATAATCAAGTTTGGACCTGACAATCCACTGTTGTAACAATACCTGCTAGAGTACATTGTGTATGATGTCATGTGTTATGCAGTCATCTATGGTTTTGTTGTCTATCATGGCAGCCATTACAAGAAGTTTCAGTTTAATGAGTGAGTGAGTTTAGTTTACGCCGCTTTTAGCAATATGCCAGCAATATCACGGCGGGGGACACCAGAAATGGGCTTCACACATTGTACCCATGTAGGGAATCGAACCCTGGTCTTCGGCGTGGCAAGCCAATGCTTTAACCACTAGGCTACCCCACCCCCCCAGTTTCAGTTTAAACATATTTCTTCACAAGATTGAAAAACACGATATTTCTACTCCTTTTACATGAGGCAAATTGTTTCTGAAGATTACAAATTTCTTTCACTGCATATGGGGTTACAGAGTGAGGTCAAATCTAACCATCCGTTGGTCAGCATGTTGTTCAGACCCAAGCAGCACTCACCTCTTGGTGGAGGCCGTCCTGTATCGGATTGTGGGTCTCCACCGGCATCAGGAAGTCGCAGGGAATCAGGCGGGTTCCTGGGGATCACAGGATCATATGATACACTGAACAGGATGATGTGATCATTGATGATATCATGTTACCATTTAACAATGTCTTGTAATGTCAGACCAGTAAATCTTCACATCAATCAAGGTAATTAAATCTGACTGCACATAATTATTCTTAGTAATGCAATGTAACAGGGTGTTACGTGATGGAGAAATGTGTGTTGAATTCTCACAAATGCATAGACTGGACGCAGAAACATATGTATTTATTGCATTCCCAGAGTATCCTACAGATTTGTTACAGTATAGTACATACAGGTTTGTTACAGTGTAGTACATACAGGTTTGTTACAGTGTAGTACATAATGGTGTTACAGTGTAGTACATAATGGTGTTACAGTGTAGTACATACAGGTGTTAAAATATAGTACATACAGGTGTTACAGTAAAGTAAATACTGGTGTTACTGTATAGTACATACAGGTGTTACAGCATAGTACATACAGGTGTTACAGTGTAGTACATACTGGTGTTACAGTGTAGTACATACAGGTGTTACAGTGTAGTACATACTGGTGTTACAGTGTAGTACATACAGGTGTTACAGTGTAGTACATACAGGTGTTACAGTGTAGTACATACAGGTGTTACAGTGTAGTACATACAGGTGTTACAGTGTAGTACATACAGGTGTTACAGTATAGTACATACAGGTGTTACAGTGTTACAGTGTAGTACATACTGGTGTTACAGTATAGTACATACAGGTGTTACAGTGTAGTACATACAGGTGTTACAGTGTAGTACATACAGGTGTTACAGTGTAGTACATACAGGTGTTACAGTATAGTACATACAGGTGTTACAGTGTAGTACATACAGGTGTTACAGTGTAGTACATACAGGTGTTACAGTGTAGTACATACAGGTGTTACAGTGTAGTACATACAGGTGTTACAGTGTAGTACATACAGGTGTTACAGTGTAGTACATACAGGTGTTACAGTACAGGTACATACAGGTGTTACAGTGTAGTACATACAGGTGTTACAGTGTAGTACATACAGGTGTTACAGTGTAGTACATACAGGTGTTACAGTGTAGTACATACAGGTGTTACAGTATAGTACATACAGGTGTTACAGTGTAGTACATACAGGTGTTACAGTGTAGTACATACAGGTGTTACAGTGTAGTACATACAGGTGTTACAGTGTAGTACATACAGGTGTTACAGTGTAGTACATACAGGTGTTACAGTGTAGTACATACAGGTGTTACAGTGTAGTACATACAGGTGTTACAGTGTAGTACATACAGGTGTTACAGTGTAGTACATACAGGTGTTACAGTGTAGTACATACAGGTGTTACAGTGTAGTACATACAGGTGTTACAGTGTACACAGTGTAGTACATACAGGTGTTACAGTGTAGTACATACAGGTGTTACAGTGTAGTACATACAGGTGTTACAGTATACAGTGTAGTACATACAGGTGTTACAGTGTAGTACATACAGGTGTTACAGTGTAGTACATTGTTACAGTGTGGTGTTACAGTATAGTACATACAGGTACATACAGGTGTTACAGTGTAGTACATACAGGTGTTACAGTGTAGTACATACAGGTGTTACAGTGTAGTACATACAGGTGTTACAGTGTAGTACATACAGGTGTTACAGTGTAGTACATACAGGTGTTACAGTGTAGTACATACAGGTGTTACAGTGTAGTACATACAGGTGTTACAGTGTAGTACATACAGGTGTTACAGTGTAGTACATACAGGTGTTACAGTGTAGTACATACAGGTGTTACAGTGTAGTACATACAGGTGTTACAGTGTAGTACATACAGGTGTTACAGTGTAGTACATACAGGTGTTACAGTGTAGTACATACAGGTGTTACAGTGTAGTACATACAGGTGTTACAGTGTAGTACATACAGGTGTTACAGTGTAGTACATACAGGTGTTACAGTGTAGTACATACAGGTGTTACAGTGTAGTACATACAGGTGTTACAGTGTGTTACAGTGTAGTACATATACAGGTGTTTACAGTGTAGTACATACTGGTGTTACAGTGTAGTACATAATGGTGTTACAGTGTAGTACATACAGGTGTTACAGTGTAGTACATACAGGTGTTACAGTGTAGTACATACAGGTGTTACAGTGTAGTACATACAGGTGTTACAGTGTAGTACATACAGGTGTTACAGTGTAGTACATACAGGTGTTACAGTATAGTACATACAGGTGTTACAGTGTAGTACATACAGGTGTTACAGTATAGTACATACAGGTGTTACAGTGTAGTACATACAGGTGTTACAGTATAGTACATACAGGTGTTACAGTGTAGTACATACAGGTGTTACAGTGTAGTACATACAGGTGTTACAGTGTAGTACATACAGGTGTTACAGTATAGTACATACAGGTGTTACAGTGTAGTACATACAGGTGTTACAGTGTAGTACATACAGGTGTTACAGTGTAGTACATACAGGTGTTACAGTGTAGTAGTACATACAGGTGTTACAGTGTAGTACATACAGGTGTTACAGTGTAGTACATACAGGTGTTACAGTGTAGTACATACAGGTGTTACAGTGTAGTACATACTGGTGTTACAGTGTATAGTACATACAGGTGTTACAGTGTAGTACATACAGGTGTTACAGTGTAGTACATACAGGTGTTACAGTGTAGTACATACAGGTGTTACAGTGTAGTACATACAGGTGTTACAGTACATAGTACATACAGGTGTTACAGTGTAGTACATACAGGTGTTACAGTATAGTACATACAGGTGTTACAGTGTAGTACATACAGGTGTTACAGTGTAGTACATACAGGTGTTACAGTGTAGTACATACAGGTGTTACAGTGTAGTACATACAGGTGTTACATACAGGTGTTACAGTACAGTACATACAGGTGTTACAGTGTAGTACATACAGGTGTTACAGTGTAGTACATACAGGTGTGTTACAGGTGTAGTACATACAGGTGTTACAGTGTAGTACATACAGGTGTTACAGTGTAGTACATACAGGTGTTACAGTGTAGTACATACAGGTGTTACAGTGTAGTACATACAGGTGTTACAGTATAGTACATACAGGTGTTACAGTGTAGTACATACAGGTGTTACAGTGTAGTACATACAGGTGTTACAGTGTAGTACATACAGGTGTTACAGTGTAGTACATACAGGTGTTACAGTGTAGTACATACAGGTGTTACAGTGTAGGTACAGGTGTTACAGTATATACATACAGGTGTTACAGTGTAGTACATACAGGTGTTACAGTGTAGTACATACAGGTGTTACAGTGTAGTACATACAGGTGTTACAGTGTAGTACATACAGGTGTTACAGTGTAGTACATACAGGTGTTACAGTGTAGTACATACAGGTGTTACAGTGTAGTACATACAGGTGTTACAGTGTAGTACATACAGGTGTTACAGTATAGTACATACAGGTGTTACAGTATAGTACATACAGGTGTTACAGTGTAGTACATACAGGTGTTACAGTGTAGTACATACAGGTGTTACAGTGTAGTACATACAGGTGTTACAGTATAGTACATACAGGTGTTACAGTGTAGTACATACAGGTGTTACAGTGTAGTACATACAGGTGTTACAGTGTAGTACATACAGGTGTTACAGTGTATAGTACATACAGGTGTTACAGTGTAGTACATACAGGTGTTACAGTATAGTACATACAGGTGTTACAGTGTAGTACATACAGGTGTTACAGTATAGTACATACAGGTGTTACAGTGTAGTACATACAGGTGTTACAGTATAGTACATACAGGTGTTACAGTATAGTACATACAGGTGTTACAGTATAGTACATACAGGTGTTACAGTATAGTACATACAGGTGTTACAGTATAGTACATACAGGTTGTTACAGTATAGTACATACAGGTGTTACAGTGTATAGTGTTACATACAGGTGTTACAGTATAGTACATACAGGTGTTACAGTGTAGTACATACAGGTGTTACAGTATAGTACATACAGGTGTTACAGTATAGTACATACAGGTGTTACAGTATAGTACATACAGGTGTTACAGTATAGTACATACAGGTGTTACAGTATAGTACATACAGGTGTTACAGTATAGTACAGACAGGTGTTACAGTATAGTACATACAGGTGTTACAGTATAGTACATACAGGTGTTACAGTGTAGTAGAGACAGGTGTTACAGTGTAGTACAGATAGGTGTAACAGTGCAGGTGTTACAGTAGAGTACATACAGGTGTTACAGTGCAGGTGTTACAGTGTAGTACATACAGGTGTTACAGTGTAGGTGTTACAGTGTAGTACATACAGGTGTTACAGTATAGTACAGATAGGTGTTACAGTGTAGTAGAGACAGGTGTTACAGTGTAGTACAGATAGGTGTTACAGTGCAGGTGTTACAGTATAGTACATACAGGTGTTACAGTATAGTATGTAGAGGTGTCACAGTGCAGGTGTATACCTTGATGGATGAGTTGATAGAATGCATGCTGTCCATTTGTTCCTGGTTCTCCCCACACAATTGGGCCGGTGGTGTAGTCCACACGCTTTCCACTCCGTGTCACGTACTTGCCGTTGCTCTCCATGTCACCCTGCTGGAAATATGCTGCAAACCGGTGCATGTACTGAAACACCACATGTACAACACAGTGAGTGAGTGTCTTCTATCAACAACCGGTGCATGTACTGCAACACCAGATGTACAACAATCTTACAACGTACAATACAGTGAGTGAGTGCCTTCTACCAACAACCGGTGCATGTACTGCAACACCAGATGTACAACACAGTGAGTGAGTGTCTTCTACCAACAACCAGTGCATGCACTGCAACACCAGATGTACAACACAGTGAGTGAGTGACTTCTACCAACAACCGGTGCATGTACTGCAACACCAGATGTACAACACAGTGAGTGAGTGACTTCTACCAACAACCGGTGCATGCACTGCAACACCAGATGTGCAACACAGTGAGTGAGTGACTTCTACCAACAACCGGTGCATGTACTGCAACACCAGAAGAACTACGCTATTACAACGTACAACACAGTGAGTGAGTGACTTCTACCAACAACCGGTTCATGTACTGCAACACCAGATGTACAACACAGTCAATGAGTGGTGAGTCATTGAGTGAGTGAGTTAGTATGGTTTAACACCGCTTTTAGCAATATCCCAGCAATATCACGGCGGGGGACACCAGAAATGGGCTTCACACATTGTACCCATATGGGGAATCGAACCAGTGTCATCGGCATGACAAGCGAACGCTTTAACCACTAGGCTACTCCACCTCCACTCTTCCTAAAAGACCAAAGATGGCATCTGATGAACCCACCTGGTCATATGGCAGCAGGGCAATGGATTCCGACTTGTAGAAGTTGCTGTACCAAACGCCAAGGAGTGCCAGGATAACTGGAATCTGAAATGGACATCAGACAGTGACCAACCCTAACCCTAACAATTGATCTAAATTGTGAGATGGAAGATATCAACGCCACTTGAAGCCATAACAGATACATCATTATTTAACCAAAATCAATTCACTTGCGAGATGCAATGTTCTACAGACATTAACTGGAATCTGAAATAGACGTCACCACAGCTTGAAGCCAAAATAAATACATGATCAATATTCACCAAATTAATTCAGTTGTGAGACAAACACATATTCTTTAGATATCAACTTTTCTAAAGAGAAAGTCTTTATCTTTAAAGTTGCATATGTAGGCAAGTGACTTTAAGTTAAATATCTTACAAAACAAAGGGTTCAGAGGACAGCCAATTACACATTACAATTACAATGCTTCCTGTCTCAGAAAGATCTTGTTATTCAAGATTCTAGAATATCAGTATCACCTTCAATATCTTGGATTAGAGAAGGTCTTGCCATCGGTTCTTCGTCATATATCAAATATTTACTTCAATAACTGACTGACTGACTGAGTTTGGTTTTACACTGCTTTTAGCAATATTCCAGCAATATCACGATGGGGACACCAGAAATGGGCTTCACACATTGTACCCATGTGGGGATTCAAACCCGGGTCATCGGCGTGACGAGGCAAAGCCTTAACCACTAGGCTACCCCACTGCCCCTTTACTTCAATAAACATCCTTTCAGTGCAAAACTCATCAGATGAAATCAATTATAGCCACAGCGGCAATATTGCAGCCATATCGTGACTAGTTGTTTTAGAAAGTGGTCACATATAACAAATGTTATGTCAAAATTGTTACTGATATTCGAAAATGTTGAATTACTTATCCATTATCTACTAACATTCTGCAAACAAAATAGGTGTCCAACTGTCAATGGGAATTCATGGCTTTAGTACAAGACTCGACATCAAACCTGTGACAAATTTGCAGGTAGTTTGAAATCTGTACCATCAAACTCACATTTTGCTCTAGAGGTGCAGAAGTGAAATGTTGATCCATGAAATGACCTCCTTCCAACAGTTGTTCAAAGTTATCCATGCCTGTAGGGTACAAACACAAAATTAATTCTTAAATATTAATTGATTAATATTCTCTATTCAGTAACATTGTCTTCCTATCTTATCCAGACACAGGGATGGCCCAATGGGGAAAGAGACATTATCCAGAGTTGTCTCCCTTTGGTATGCCAGTAACCTGGGTTCTGATCAAATTATGTTTCCAGGTTTGTAAGTGCAATGCTCGGGGGTCTCACATCTAAGACCTGCATCACATTAGGCTTTGATATAGGGGCGGTGGGCTAGCCTAGTCTTTAAAGTTTTCGCTTATAACGCCAAAGACCCAGGTTCAATTCCCCACATTGGCAGAATGTGTGAAGCCCATTTCTGGTGTCCCCTGACGTGATATTGCTGGAATATTGCTAAATGTTCACTCACTCATTCACTCATCACTGTTACAGTGATGAGGATAGTTACTCATGTTACATCACTGGTTTGGTTGGTCCAGATTTATTACTTAAAATCTTTAATTCTTCCATTTATATAATTTCCATTCTCTGATAAATATCCTTCACCCACTGATCACCATAGTTTTGCGGGATGCATATGAAGTGATGCACCAGCTCAATCTTTCTTGGAACAAAGATGTGGATGTTCCATTTCATAACGTCAAATTATAAATAGTTTGAAAACATTTAAAGCTATTTTACATGGTTTTGCCCAAAACACGGCTTGCTGTTGTCAAAATGTGCAGACTGAACCATCTTCAAACTTTAAAGTATCCAATAATGAACAGCTCACCTATAGACAGAGCAATGGAGAGTCCAATGGCTGACCACAAAGAGTAACGTCCACCAACCCACTGAAAGGAAGTTGAGTCCAGTCTAGCAGTGATATTTGGTAACATAGACAAAGGTACACAAGATAAACAACTGTTGGTGTAGAATGTGTGACAGGGCTCCAGATAACTTTTGGGGGTGTGAGTGTACTTACACATCATATTGCAAGTGGAGGTGTACTGATAATTTTGAAGGAGTACTGACATGTTTTTGTGTGAGCGAGTTGATAAGATAAACAACTGTTGGTGTAGAATGTGTGAGTTGGATGCACTTCTAAGATGAGGTTATCTGTAGTATTGTATGAAAAAATAGCCTGTTGGGGTTTTTTCTTCTTCAAACCAAGCATGACAGCTATCAGGTATTGACAAATACTTTAAACTAGAGGTGAGGTGAGGTGAGGTGAGGTGAAATTGGGTTAACGTCGCGCTTGAGAATATTTCGTTCATATGACGACGTTTTAAACTAGATCTCCACTGGAAGTGAAGTATTGTTTGGCGATGCCATGTTACCGAGTAGTTCTGTTTCTATGAACAAGCCTTGTTTTTGGAGAAATGTATGCTAACCATGCACAAAAACATGACATATGTGACTCACAATACAAAAGTACAACAAGCATTGTCACTAAGGTGACATAATCCCCCGCCACAAATTATCAAATCAAACTTAAAAAGTAATGAAAGTTTAAGATGAACTTAACTGTCAACAAAAACATGACCAGTCAACCTCTCTTGATATCTTGCTCTTTAGTTGTTCAAACACACAAATATTTCAATACTGACTTTGACCTTGATATGAATGTCATAGTGTATGAAATATGCAAAAAAATGGTACTAAAGAAATTGCTTATTGAAAAACATTCAAGGGAAGTCTTGAAAGTCTATGAAGAAAATCCAGTGAATTCAGGTTAACATGCTGAAATCTTCAGAGTATCGCAGTGACCTTGAAAATTATGTGAAGGACACCAAAATTGACTGGGCCCTGCGCCTTCATGGGTAAACTTAAAGGGGAACTGTACACGAATAAATCACATTTATTCTTATGTGAATCAAAGTGAACTGTTTTAATTAGTTAATACCAATGTTTGAAAATATACACTTATTTTTCTTACAATGTAAGTATAACCCACAAAATAAGTGCTGATATGTTACGCCAATATGAGGCCTTTGTTTGCAGAGCTAAAACAGGCCAGAGTTACCGCCCTTTGATTATGACGTAATTGGTGCCACTTGATTTTAAACTGGTCTCCTGTCTAGTCCCAAGATAAATTATACTGAAATTAATCACGTGAAAAAAGTTTGTGAAAATTCGAAAGAAGCATAAGAATAGACAATGTAAGCAGCAGGACAGATTGATCGTGTGTATTTTCATTCATAACCTCACCTCAGTAAAAATACCAAATGTGTATAACAATGTTGACGTCCGTGATGACATCACTATCGGGGAGGCGACTTTTTTCAAAATGGCGTTCACTGACACGAGTCACGAAGTTTTCGAAGACATTTTCGTTGTTTCAAGCAACGTATATGCATAAATGTGACATGTAAGTAGTCCGAAAATTTTGTCAGTCTCCTAGTTGTTATTTTCTTTTTGTTTTCATTGTGACCAAGGGAAATAGTCAGAAATTAAAGAGAGGTACCGTCATCGTTGCAGCGTGAGTTGGCGTCAATCATGGCGTCCACGCTTTCAGAAACTGTAATATATGTTGTGATGAATCTAGAAAATCACAAGAATACACCTATTTTATTTAACTATCGCTTGCTCACGATACCTTTCCATGTATGTTCTAAATCTAATGACCAGGCAACAAGTCGGGCTGACGGATACACAGTGTAAAATCTGAGATTGGCTTTGTTTACATTTCATACATGTGGTCCTTTCCCAGCTGCATCTGATATATTTCGCTGATTTCACTGAAACACTTCAATTGGTGACAAAGTCCACTTGCCAGTTTATTTTGAACTGTATGTGGAATTCAGGGATTCGATGTCAGGGAGATGATGTTGAACTATACAATTTTATTGATTTTATGGGCTAAACATAACCAACATACATGTGACGTGATTTTATAAACACTCTGTAATATGGCTTTGGTGTTTTGCGTATTTTCTTTAACATTCTCAGCGATTCTCGGTTCATCGACAATGCTTCAGAACGAGCATTGGTGATTTGATCATACAACAACAAAACTACCGCTGATCACAATGATACATCTTTTTCTTTTATTGAGTTCTCCCAGTAAAATTTGACATTTGAATTAAGACATACTATAAATTACGCGAAAACGCAGTAAATGGTGATTTAGTAATGTGTCAAAACTGGCGAGATTTCACGATGCATGTAATTTTCAGTATATTTGGATAATAAAGCGGATGATACATCTATCATAGAAAAACGAATTTCAAACAGAGTTCAAAACTGCAAATTGCATTTTTCATGCGTGATGTATTTGGATATGGTATCGATATCAAAGTGAAGGTGGAAGAGGAGGGACATATTGTGCGATTTAAGTAGGAATTTTAGTAACAAGCGTAGAATGCCGCACATTCACAGATGGCAAGCTAGATGTAGTGCACGTTTAATTTTTGTGAAAAACGATACTGTTGAAAAGGCTGACCGACTCAGGTTGAATGTTATACAATTTGGTTACGTGGTAACACATTTAGTACAATGTATACTTTTTCAAAACAGCAACGCGTCATTACAGTGTAGAACTGACCACATAGCCAGCTGGCGGGCTGGGCAACAGGTGGATTAAAACAGTAGCCTGCGCGATCGAGACACAAGAACCACACCTATACCTGCACCACGTGAAATGGGTCTAATAAGGTCTAACGACGTCATTCGTTTATCGTTTGGGCACCAATGACGTCATTTCCAAGGGACATAAGCCATGGTGTGTTTATTGTGGACATAGAATTCTCGGTAAATGTTGAAAATATGAATTGATATAACGCAAAAAATAAATTAGTTACTTCTGATATATGTACGTGTTTGGATATAAAACTACTTGATAAACACTTTTTATGATGAAAAAGTGCAAGACAAAAAGGTTAATTTTCGTGTACACTTGCCCTTTAAGCTTGGTGTCAAATATGAAGAAAGTCCAGTGAATCGTTCTTGAGATATCTTGCTGACTATCTCAGCATGCAATTTTACATGCTGAAATCTTCAAAGTGTCTTTGTGACCTTGAAAATTAAGTGAAGGTCACCAAAATCGACTGGGCTTTGCGCCTTCCCTAGATAACGTTTGGTGTTGAATATGCAGAAAATCCAGTGAATGGTTCTTGAGGTATCTTGCTGATAAGCATAACATGCAGGTTAATATGCTGAAATCTTCAAAGTGTCACGATGACCTTGAAAATTAAGTGAAGGTCACCAAAATTGACTGGGCCCTGCGCCTTCCCTAGATAACGCTTGGTGTTGAATATGAAAAAAAATCTATCAAACGGTTCTTGAGATATCTCACTGACAAGAGTAAAACGTTAAAGTCCCCTTGTGACCTTGAAATGAAGGTCAAAGTCACCAAACCTGACTGGGACCTTTCTTCTACTATAATGAACCTAGGTACCAAATATGAAAAGAATCTAGTCAACAGTTCTTAAGATATTCCAATTCGTACGGACAGACGGAGCCTAATACTATATCTCCAGCTTCGCGCTAAAAGCGCGGCGGGGGATAATTAGCTACGGCCATAACAAACTCAAAAGGACCAAGTTTAGTTAGTTATAACCATAGTATGTGATTTGCATTTTGATTAAACATACAGCAAGAGGTCGCGGCAAAATATAACTCAGTTTGGTATATCCGTCAGCTCTTTATAAGAGTGTTAGCTATAGACATAGTTTACTGTATATTTTCATACTTACGTCCCAGAATTCAAACATGTTCTTCTCATCAATTCCGAAATCCTTCACTTTGGGCTAAAATAAAATCATGAACAGTTTGAATATGTGACAACCAAAATGTTACATAGGTCACTTAAGATATGATACATTTACCAATAAGCTAGATTGGATGCAAAATGTTCCACATATTTGCATGTGTATGTTAGAAGTTCATAATGCCAGTCGATAAACAATATGATGTACAATTGCTTCATTGATATGACATTTGGGGTGCAACAACACAAATATCACGTTTTAGCATATTTATGGTAGATTACCTCATACGGATGGGAAAGCCGCAATAACTCGGTGCGCCTAGTGGCTGCAAGAGTTGTATGCTCCCCAGGGAGTTGAGATTGATAATAAGATGTGCCTTTGAGATTGACATCCAATGATCGAGGGAAAAACTACCAGCGTCTTGAGCATGCACTATGTGCACTATATAAATATCCAATTATAATAAAATAATTACATAAAACTTCTCGACTTTAAATATTATAGATCAATTTCTGAAGGAAAAGTCATTTATAGACAGGTGTGTAGCAGCTACTTTAAGTAGTGAATTTGAAATGCTAATTACAACTCAGTTTTCAAATTTAGCTGACACAAAACACTGGGGGGTCATTGAACTGACTGACTGACTGATTTTGGTTTTACGCCGCTTTTAGCAATATTCCAGCAAACATCACGGCGGGGGACACCAGAAATGGGCTTCACACATTGTATCCATGTGGGGATTCGAACCAGGGTCTTCGGCGTGACGAGCCAACGCTTTAACCATTAGGCTACCCCGGGGGGTCATTGAAAGAGTAGCAAGAAATCTATTTTAACAAGCATGTCATCTAGTATCGATACAGAAGACAGAATATTGTGCATCATATTGTATCATGAAAACTCACAATGGGCTGATACATCAATATTAGTATTTAAAAACAAATTCAATTCTCTCTTTTAATGTGTCACTACTTGGCAAATATGGATATGAAGTAGTATCAAAGTATCAGCCTCAAATTTGGTATTTTGTACGTACGAAATTCTGTAAAATCACAACTTGACAAGTTTTGCTAAATTTAGGACCTATTAAGGGCATATAACTGGCAACTAGCGCCTTTTAAAGGCTTCAATGAATTTAGGGCTTTTTTTGGTTAAAATGTTCACCTTCCAGGCTTTAAAAGGCTATGTGAACCTTTAATCTAACGCTGGCATGGTCACTAGTCCTATCAATTGTGGCTTTTACTTATTGCAAGGAAAAATTCTTACCCCATTTGTAGAGAGGGCTACGAAGTGTTTAGACACAGCTTTTTCCTGGAAACAAAATAAGCAAATTCTTTTAAGATAGAGAAGTAGATTACAATCCTGCATATAATCCACCATTCTTTTAACGCGACTCTTGAGAAGCAGCAATATTACAGCTACATGATCTCAGTCTGTAAATAGTCGACACTGGACCAGACAGTCCAGTGATCAACTATTTGAGCATCAATCTACGCAATTGGGATACGATGACATGTGTCAACTAAATCAGCGTGCCTGACCACCTGATCCCGTTAGTCGCCTCTTACGACAAGCATGGGTTACTGAAGACCAGTTTGAAGCCAGATCTTCACAGGTCTATTGAAATCATGTGAGCACTGGCTTATAACGAAGCACAATCAGCAAACATCTTTTACAACCAGCTGGCGACAAATCCTAACCCAGAGTCTCAAGAGTGTGACTATGGTGTCCTCCCATTACGCAGACAGGCAGTTCGCAGACGCCTTAAAACAACAAGATTTATGGTTCGATGCACAGGTTAGCTACTGCCTGTTACCTACTCATTATAATGGAATAGTCCAAATAAAAACACAAGAAAAATATAACTGGAGCTATAATATTTACTTTGAAAGATGGCTGAAAAGACAATAATTTTAATTTTGATTGCTGCAATATAAAAACAGTTGATTTTCATAAACATTTGGGTTTAACCTTCTCGTCTAATGGGAGTCAGTGGCATCATATTGAAAACATTGTCGAAATACATCTAAGATGATTGGAGCATTTCAGAAATTAAAGTTCCTACTAAATAGAACACCAGTTTTTCTTCAGGATTTGCTCCTACCTGTAGGCAAGTTACGAGTTAAAAAACTCGAATAATTTTAGCCAACCATGTACAAGACAGAGGTACTCAACATTATCTTTTATTCCATCAGCAGTTAATATGTGGAATAATATTCCCTTAGCTTTTAGAAATTGCGACTCTGTTGCATCATTTAAATCTTATATCCATGTGAAAGAAAAATGTGCACCTAAATACTATTCATATCTCAGTAACGAACCTGTTTCAGGCTCGCCCTACTCTACTCACAAGACAGTGGACTGTTCCATTATACCCGTAGGTGTTACCCAAATTACCCTTCTAGTTCAGTGTCTGTCAACTGACTGTCTGTCAACTGACTGTCTGTTATCTGGGTTTCTGTCAACTGGGTGTCTGTCAACTGACTGTCTGTCAACTGAGTGTCTGTCAACTGGGTGTCTGTCAACTGGGTGTCTGTCAACTGACTGTCTGTCAACTGGGTGTCTGTCAACTGACTGTCTGTCGACTGGGTGTCTGTTAACTGGGTGTCTGTCAACTGGGTGTCTGTCACCTGACTGTCAACTGGGTGTGTCAACTGACTGTCAACTGGGTGTCTGTCAACTGGGTGTCTGTCAACTGGGTGTCTGTCAACTGACTGTCAACTGACTGTCTGTCAACTGGGTGTCTGTCAACTGGGTGTCTGTCACCTGACTGTCAACTGACTGTCAACTGGGGGTCTGTCAACTGACTGTCTGTCAACTGATTGTCTGTTAACTGACTGTCAACTGGGTGTCTGTTAACTGACTGTCAACTGGGTGTCTGTCAACTGACTGTCTGTCAACTGGGTGTTTGTTAACTGGGTGTCTGTCAACTGGGTGTCTGTCAACTGACTGTCTGTCAACTGACTGTCAACTGGGTGTCTGTCAACTGTCTGTCAACTGACTGTCTGTCAACTGGGTGTCTGTCAAATGACTGTCAACTGGGGGTCTGTCAACTGGGGGTCTGTCAACTGACTGTCTGTCAACTGGGTGTCTGTCAACTGACTGTCTGTCAACTGGGTGTCTGTCAACTGACTGTCTGTCAACTGACTGTCTTTCAACTGGGTGTCTGTCAACTGGGTGTCTGTCAACTGGGTGTCTGTCGACTGACTGTCAACTGGGTGTCTGTCAACTGACTGTCTGTCAACTAGGTGTCTGTCAACTGACTGTCTGTCAACTAGATGTCTGTCAACTAGATGTCTGTCAACTGACTGTCAACTGACTGTCAACTGGGTGTCTGTCAACTGGGTGCCTCTCAACTGACTGTCAACTGGGTGTCTGTCAACTGGGTGTCTGTCACCTGACTGACTGTCAACTGGGAGATAACCATGACTGTTATCAGTTTATCAATGAAACACTTTCACATCAATTATATAATGATCATTCTACCATGACTTCCGTAAACACTGGATTGTGTTTGGTTAATCCATAGTCATTCAGAGGTATATAATCACGTTATATACCTCTGATTTTCCAACACACTATGTATTTGTTTTAATATTAATAACACTGTTATGGTAGAATGGAGATTAACGTACTGTGTTGGAAAATCAGAGGTATATAACGAAATTATAATAGCTCTAAAGTTTTTATTTAAAACTTCATGCTACATGTTCGGTCTTAAATGAAATTTAGAGCTATTATAATTCCGCTATACCTCTGATTTTCCAACACAGTATGTTAATCTCCAAATCATCTGATACGAGTTTTAAAGTTTTGATATTCTGTATGATTTTGTATCTTATTACGTCTTTGGCTGTTGCCAGGAACCATAGTTTGGCGGAGGTGGCGTTGGTGATGGTCTCCTGGGTGGTGAAGGTCTGGAAAACAGAGACAGTAAATGTTGGTTAACGCTACAGGCATAGCTTCCAAATTTTCAAGCCAGTCAGGCTAGCTATGCCTGAAAGTTACTAGCCCACAAAATAATTTTCTAGTCCGAAATTTGAATGTAGAAACTAAGCAAAAGATTACAAAAATAGATGAGAATAAGATATTGTCGTCATGACACGGGTTTCATCATTAAGCTGCTAATATGATGAACAAGTTTATCAGGCCATAATCCTACATGATTTAAAGAGTATTACAACTTAACAAGTCCTCGAGAGTGATATATTTACAAAATGACCCCATGAAAATTCACTTGCCAGTTGGACTGTAGAGATCTACTGGCCTGACTGGATTTTTAGTAGACAAGGGCTAGCGGGCCAGTGGCTATTCTGCAAACTGTTATTCAAGATTAAATCAAATCAAACTTTTTCACAGTTCATTATCAATGAGTGGTTTATGTTTTACACTTTGTATAACATTTTTTAGAGACAAAAATCTAGTCGTTCACTTCATTTTCAGTAGTCTTGGTTTAGTGAACAAGTGCTCAAGTCTAATCCTGGAAACTATTCCTGTAAACCAGAGTCCTGAACTTTGATCCACATCATTAGAGAACAATGGCATGTAATAAGTCTGAGAGTCTCACAAACCAACAATCTGATGAAGTGAGTGAGTTTAGGTTAGCGCCAATTTTATCAACATTCCAGCAATATCTCAGTGGGCTTCAAACATTGTACCTATGTGGGGAATAAAACCCAGGGCCTGGCATGACAAGCAAACACTTTAACCACTAGGCCACCCAACCTCCCGTTATCAGTTGAAGAGGCAGCAGTAGCCCTGTAACAAAAGTTGTTATCGATACTGCAGCCTGACTGAAACTAAAACTGAAACCTAGCCCTGTACCATGTATAATGGGGAGGGAGGAGGAGGAGGAGAGGCAACAGCTGGATGCTATTGTTCAAAGCAACCTGAGCTCTACAACTGTCGGAAATCTATGGTAAGTTATGGTAGTTATGATCACTTTAACTAACGAACAGCTGGGTGCCATTGTACACAACAACCTTAGCACTACGACTGTCGTAAGTCTATGATAAGGTACAGGAGTTACGATCACCTTAACCGGTGATCAGCTGGGTGCCATTGTACAAAACAACCTTAGCACTACGACTGTCGTAAGTCTGTGATAAGGTACAGGAGTTATGATCACCTTAACTGACGAACAGCTGTGTACCATTGTACAAAACAACCTTAGCACTACGGCTGTCGTAAGTCTATGATAAGGTACAGGAGTTACGATCACCTTAACCGGTGATCAGCTGGGTGCCATTGTACAAAACAACCTTAGCACTACGACTGTCGTAAGTCTATGATAAGGTACAGGAGTTACGATCACCTTAACCGGTGATCAGCTGGGTGCCATTGTACAAAACAACCTTAGCACTACGACTGTCGTAAGTCTATGATAAGGTACAGGAGTTACGATCACCTTAACTGACGAACAGCTGTGTACCATTGTACAAAACAACCTTAGCACTACGACTGTCGTAAGTCTATGATAAGGTACAGGAGTTACGATCACCTTAACTGATAAACAGCTCAGTGTCAACCTTAGCACTATGGCCGTTGTAAGTCTATGGTAAAGTACAGTAGTTATGATCGCTTTAACTGAGGAACAGCTGGGTGTCTTTGTGAAAAGCAACCTTAGTGCTACGACTCTTAAGTCTACGTTAAGGTACAGTAGTTAAGATCAATTTCTCAGGAACAGCTGGGCATCACTTGGCAAAGCAAAATGAGCACCACAACTGTCGAAAGTCTATGGTAAGGTAAAGTTGTAATAATCGCTTTGACTGAGGAACAGACAGGCAACATTGTACAAAGCAACCTTAGCACTACGACTGTCGTAAGTCTATGTTAAAGTACAGTAGTTACGATTGCTTCAACTGAGGTAGAGACGGGTGTCATTGTACAAAGGAACATGAGTGCTACAACTGTCACAAGTCTACTTTGAGGAACAGTATTTACGATCGCTTTAACTGAGTAATAGCCAGTACACAGAGGATGCAGCTTACCTTGGAGGCGATGATGAACAGAGTTGTTTCTGGGTTCAGTTTCTGGACAGTTTCACTCAGGTGAGTACCATCAATGTTGGACACGAAGTGGACATTGGGGCCGATCTTAAATGGCTTCAGAGCCTCATAGGCCATCAAGGGACCCTGGACATAAATAACATCACTTACAGGTCAATCCTACCACAACCACATATACTTTCCTCCATTGCAAAATCACAAAGTCATCCATGATAATAAGAGTCATGTCTAAAGGTGAGTGCTGAATATTTAATATTCAGTAATGGTGTTTTGAAACCAGGACTTGTTAAAAGGAGCCAGGAGCTTAATTACTATTATCATACCTTTATGTAAAATACTTTAATTTCATTGGTCAATGATGCTTTGACAAGTTTCTGTGTCATTCCTCCAAAGAGGGTGGCAACTACCCACTGCCACGATCACCGCCAAACTCTCAGCAGAGCAGATGTATCGTAACAATCATATGATGTCATAATAAGATGCATGCCATGCACGGAGTTAGAAAAACGTCACATTAGCTGTTTTTGAGTTCAGGACGTAGACATTTATTTCACCGAGTTTCACTGCTTTATTTAAACTATTTATACATTAAATCGTTTGCACACTGAATTTAAACTATTAACCATTTTTATAGCAGTTTTAAGCTTGTCAGAACATGTTTCACAGATTTTAAAATCCAGGCAAGAGGCAGAGGCCATTTGGTTTACATGTCATATAGTCGGTAGCGAGCTTATCGATCTTCAAAACAAAATAAAATGATACTTTGTACATTTAACATGGCGGTATGATAAATACGTTGTAAACTTCTCCCTCAGGTAATATGGTCTGATGTACGCCTTTTTGTAGCAGTGTCATCCCTCGCCTAAGACAGGCCTACCAAAGAAAACTTTCCCACTGTGCAGAAAAACGCAGAAAAGCTCACATTAATCGTGGAAATAGCAACATAAACATAATACCTCGCTACTGAAACAGTAAAAACGGCAACTTTAAATCGCTAACACTGCATCATAAAACGAGGAGCCCGCAACTTCGATTTTGCGCATGCGCACATGGAAGAGGAAGTCTCGACCGCATGTTGACATTTTCCAGCTTGGACAAAAGTTACAATCCTTTTTAAGTATTTCTGTTGTGTTATTTGGCATTTATCATCATGATACTTGTGTGCACACTTGTTAAGTTTATTTTCCATTCGTATTTAATATTTAATTCATATTTAATATTTTTTCTACACGAGGCGATTCACTGTTGCTCGGAAATTGAAAAGAAGCCCGGATCGTAATGCGCATGCTCAATAAAGGTCAAAAGTTCGCTGATATAAAAACGTTGCAGTTTCATAGTTTTTCGTTGCCGTTTTTACTGTTTCAGTAGCGAGGTAATGCGTTAATGTTGCTATTTCCACGATTAATGTGGGCTTTTCTGCACAGTGGGAAAGTTTTCTTTGGTAGGCCTGTAAGAGGCATACATCAGACCGTATTACCTTCGACATAAGCATAGATCTTATAGTGTCACTGACATGGAAACAATGAAATGGAGACACAGACACAGAAACTACAATATCAGGAACTAAAAACTGTATTGTTCAAATTTAAGCTATGCTAAAACTATTTCCTTCCAAGCCAACACATTTGTAATTGCTTATGAATACGTTTTCTATAAACATACAAGTCATGACATCATCATAACTATAGTAATACATACTGTAAACGTACTTATTTTCGCGTGGTGCAATTTGCGCGGAATTGACAGTTTAGACTACATCGCGCGGTCAATTATTCACGCAATCAGTAATTGCCGGAACTGCCAGCTATCTCTTTGGCCGCCACTAATAGCAGTGAAAACAAACAGAGTGGCTTAACCTGTCAGGCGGCGTTTATTGCTTACTCACAGGAAATCCCTATCTGTGCGATATACTAGTACACAGTACCGTTAATCCGTTTACTCCCGGAAGAGATGAAAAACACATCAGTCTTATGTTCCGAATTCTACGATTTGACGAATTAACTTATACTGTATATGAAGCTCTTTGTGATTTCAAACAAGCCGGGTTGTTGTGAATGAGATGATTGAGTGTTAGTGACTATTCACTTCATGATGTACTGGTGAATAAAATCTTAATGAATAAATAAAATACTGCTGTATTATTTCTTTCCGAGTCGTTTCACGGGTAATCTGTTTTGTATCAAACCATGTCATGTGACCAATTTCCATGGCCGCCACAACACACATTGCTGTTTTTGCTAATTCGGCAATGGGATTTGGCTCATTATTTAATTATGTTTTGGGAAATCCATTACATCGACAGTTAAGTATGATCAGTCGTCATTTTAAAATTCCCGTTGATTTCTGTCTTCAAACGTGATGTGTTATGGTAACAACTCAGGGGCGAGCGTGGCTAGACTGAATGAATGACAGTTTTATTCGCAGTGTATAATTTTTCGCGCTAAAATGTTTTGCGCAAAAAGCGCGAAAATAAAACCTGCGCGAAATATAATACGTTTACAGTAAATGACAACGGTCTGTAAATAATTGAATCAGGACCAGACAATCCAGTGATCAGCAGCATGAGCTTAGATCTATGCAATTAGGATACATAACATGAAGAAACAAAATCAGCAAATCTGACGGGATCCTGTCACCTCTTATGACTAGCATGGGTTACTGAAGACCAATTCTAACCCAGATCTTCATGGGTCAGTCTCCCTTTATAACAGATTATTTACACACTGTTGTCACATAGCTAGAATATTGCTGAGTGCAGTGTTAAACAACAAAGAAACGGTCTCAGACAAAGTATAGGAAGAGTGTTCTATCCAAGCCTCACCAGATCCGATCCACCAATGCCAATGTTGACCACATCAGTGATAGACTTCCCTGTGTAGCCCTTCCACTGGCCAGAGATCACCTCGGTGGTAAACTCACGCATGTGCTTCAACACTGCATTCACCTCAGGCATCACCTGAAAATGATCACAATAACTGTTACCATGGTTAAAAAGGCACAAAAGGAGGGCGACTGCTGTGGATGGATTTATTGCTTTTTCAACATGTCCACATTTCATAAAGTTATCTTAGCACAGTAACTGTCATAAGCTAATGTTAAAGTGTGGGACTTATGAAAATCTTTACATTAAGATGGGTCGTGGAACAAGACTTAGTTTTCGTATATATCCATGTCATCACAGCGATGCAACAGTGGGATGACAGACGAAGGGATGCATGCCTTTGAGTTTTACCACATCTTACAATGCAGCCACAGTAGACAACCAATCCCCAATGAGCTTCTAATGGGAACCTATTTTGCCATGGAATCTTAAGAATCGCTTTTAAGCCGTTTTCAGCAAAATCACGACGGGGACACCAGAAATGGGATACACACATTGTACCCATGTGGGAAATCGAACCCAGGTCTTCGGCATGACGAGCGAACGCTTTAACCACTAGGCTACCCCACCTCCCCTTCAAATCTAAGAATGTGAGTGGAAAGTCAAATCAAATTAAACTTCATAAATAATTTGAATCATGTTTAGACTACGACATCTCAAACCCTGTAGGATTGTTTTACTGCCACTAAAAGATGGTTTCCAACATAGTGCTGGAATCCCTGTCAAAAGTACTTTGATGAAATCTTTAAAACAAATGGTGTTGTTTCACAGGATTTTCAAGTCAACTCACATCTTTGCCATCCACCATGATTGGTGTGTTGGATCTGTTTCGGAGAGCGATGTGCAAGACTGCCCTGTTCTCGGTGAAGTTGATCTTCTCCCCACCGAACATGGCAGTTCTCATTTTCTCCACTTGTCGATCTCGCGCCTAGGAAACAGACATCGTCTTGAGCATTCATAGACAATCAATATGTTGTGCTAATATAACAACAACATTAACATTAAGTTTTGAATTCTCAAATAGCAAAACTTTTAACCTAATCACATCACTTCCAGTCTGATGACATCAGTTCCAGTCAAATGACATCTAATCACATCAGTTCCAGTCAAATGACATCTAATCACTTCCAGTTTCATCACGTCCCTCCCTAATGACATCACTTCCAGTATAATGACATCACTTCCAGCTTCTTCACAACCATTCCAGTCTAATGACATCTAATGACCTCACTTCCCAGTTTCATCACGTCCCTCCCGGTCTAATGACATCATTTCCAGTCTAATGACATCACTTCCAGTCTAATGAAATCACTTCCAGTTTTTCACAATTCCAGTCTGATGACATCTGATCACTTCTAACGTCCAGTTTCATCACGTCCCTCCCTGTCTAATGACATCAATTCCAGTCTAATGACATCTAATGACATCACTTCCAGTTTCTTCACAACCATTCCAGTCTGATGACATCACTTCAAGTCTAATAACATCTCTTCCAGTCTAATGACATCACTTCCAGTATAATAACATCTAATGACCTCACTTCCCAGTTTCATCACGTCCCTCCCTGTCTTATGACATCACTTCCAGTCAAATGACATCACTTCAAGTCTAATGACATCATTTACAGTCTAATAACATCAAATCCAGTCTGATGATATCTAATGACATCACTTCCAGTTTATTCACAACCATTCCAGTCTGATGACATCACTTCAAGTCAAATGGCATCACTTCCAGTGTAATGACATCACTTCCAGTCTAATGACATCTAATGACCTAACTTCCCAGTTTCATCACATCCTTCACTGTCTAATGACATCACTTCCAGTCTTATGACATCTAATGACATCACTTCCAGTTTCATCACATCCCTCCCTGTCTAATGACATCACTTCAAGTCAAATGACATCACTTCAAGTCTAATGACATCACTTCCAGTCTAATAACATCTAATGACCTCACTTCCCAGTTTCATCACGTCCCTCCCTGTCTAATGACATCACTTCCAGTCAAATGACATCACTTCAAGTCTAATGACATCACTTCCAGTCTAACGACATCTAATGACATCACTTCCCAGTCTCATCACGTCCCTCCCTAATGACATCACTTCCAGTATAATGACATCACTTCGAGTCTAATGACATCAAATCCAGTCTAATGACATCTAATCACATCACGTCCAGTTTCATCACGTCCCTCCCTAATGACATCACTTCAAGTCTAATGACATCACTTCCAGTCTAACGACATCTAATGACATCACTTCCCAGTCTCATCACGTCCCTCCCTAATGACATCACTTCCAGTATAATGACATCACTTCGAGTCTAGTAACATCAAATCCAGTCTAATGATATCTAATGACATCACTTCCAGTTTCTTCACAACCATTCCAGTCTGATGAAATCACTTCCAGTCTAATGACATCTTATGACCTCATTTCCATGTTTCATCACATCCCTCCCTGTCTAATGACATCACTTCCAGTCAAATGACATCACTTCCAGTCTAATGACATCTAATGACCTCACTTCCAGTCTAATGACATCACTTCCAATGACCTCACTTCCCAGTTTCTTCACGTCCCTCCTTGTCTAATGACATCATTTCCAGTCTAATGACATCACTTCCAGTCTAATGACATCACTTCCAGTCTAACGACATCTAATGACATCACTTACCAGTCTCATCACGTCCCTCCCTAATGACATCACTTCCAGTATGACATCACTTCGAGTCTAATGACATCAAATCCAGTCTAATGACATCTAATCACATCACGTCCAGTTTCATCACGTCCCTCCCTGTCTAATGACATCACTTCCAATCTAACGATATCTAATGACATCACTTCCCAGTCTCATCACATCACTTCCAGTCTAATGACATCTTATGACCTCATTTCCATGTTTCATCACATCCCTCCCTGTCTAATGACATCACTTCAAGTCTAATGACATCACTTACAGTCTAATAACATCAAATCCAGTCTAATGATATCTAATGACATCACTTCCAGTTTCTTCACAACTATTCCAGTCTGATGACATCACTTCAAGTTTAATGACATCACTTCCAGTCAAATGACATCTAATGACCTCACTTCCCAGTTTCTTCACGTCCTGCCTTGTCTAATGACATCATTTCCAGTCTAATGATATCACTTCCAGTATAATGACATCACTTCCAGTCTAATGACATCTAATGACATCACTTCCAGTTTTTCACAACCATTCTAGTCTGATGACATCTAATGACCTCACTTCCCAGTCTCATCAAGTCCCTCGCTGTCTAATGACATCACTTCCAGTCAAATGACATCACTTGCAGTCTAATCACATCTAATCACATCACTTCCAGTTTATCATGTCCCTCCCTGTCTGATCACATCACTTCCAGTCTAATGACATCAAATCCAGTCTAATGACAACAGATCCAGTCTAATGATATCTAATGACATTACTTCAAGTCTCATCACAACCATTCCACTTCCAGTCTGATGGCATCACTTCAAGTATCATGATGTCACTTTATTATCTACTGTAGATATAACAGGCTGGTAACAAATGTTGTAATGTGACACTTTTAACACACTACATTTAATTGATTTAGAGGAACAGGTTTTATGGATTGACAACTTCTTTACTGCAGTAGATGTGACATTTCAGTGTAGATGCTAACACCGCTATCAAGCAAGTGATACACTACATTATGCGCAAATGGAATATATTCAGGAAGGATATTTGAGTTTACACACTTGAAGAGGTTGATATACAGTGTGATGACATTACTAATACTATGAATAAACTGCCCTTTAGAAAGTGGTAATGTTTACGATCAAGGTCATCTTCAAGGTCATAGCAAGTCATTGGAGCATGGAGCTCTTCATCAAACCAACTTCTAAATGCCATTTTAACACGTTGACTGCCACCACGTGTATACTCGTGGTATCAATGTCTGACCGAATTAGCCACTTCGAGTTATCTTGTAGCTACATCAATGGTATTTTGAAACAAGTTTCACATGTTGGCAAAACAGGCACAAGAAGCAATTGTCTCCTGGCGGTAACAAAGAATGCCAGCAGACGTTTATTTCTTGTACCTATTTTGCCAACATGTGAAACATGTTTCAAAATACCATTTTACCACTACAAGATAACTCCAGAGTTGATACTACGAGTATACTCGTGATAGGCAATCAACGTGTTAAGAAGCTTAATTGATTTCACCTGTAGAACATGTTGATTAATTAAACAGAATTGAAAAACATGGATATCAGCTTTCTTTCTTACCTCAATCTGATGTCACAGAACATAAGACAGTCATAATAATTTCATGTGAAATCATTTCTGCAAATGTCCTCATTACGTAAGCATGTTCAGATTACTTTAAAGATCTTACCAACTGCAGAAGTTGTTGAAAGACTTCATCATTAATCAAGTTCTTGGAAAAGTCCAAAAGGAGATCCCCTTCTTTGGTTCCTAGAGTAATGCTGAAATTAAAATGGTGCATTATGTTCACAGCAATCAGTCATTAAATAGATACACAATTTCATGGAAACATTTTGAAGGAACATTTTCAAAAATAATTTTTTTCATGATTTCATGACTTCCATTTGTATATAAAAAGGGTCTTCAGCACTGTTGCCTTCTGAATTAAATGTGGATTTGGTGGTTATAATTGACAAACTGGCAGCTTCTTCATATCTTGGTTTACAGAATGGCTGACCATACTTTTACGTCTGGTTAAGAATTTAATTAGTATTTCAAACTAATTTAGTGTATTTGTGAATTTTAACACTGCATGCATTGAAAAAAGGTCAATTTAAGCATTGTTACTGTACTGTAATCAGTGAAATACAAGTCACACTACTAGGTCATGAACATGGAGGAATATTATGAATTGGAAATTTTATCATTTCAATTTGGGAATGTCCATTGGTATTTCTCCAAAATGGATGTGCTCAATTCGACATTCATATTTTAATTAGGCTTAACAGAAAAGAAAACAAACACTAAGTCTGACTGGGAAAAAAAGGGCAAACACTTTGAAAACATAACAGATCGGTGATTCCACTGAAATTAAAAAACACCACGGAAAGTCAAAGGAGCTACTTATAGTTATTATCATCTTCTTATTTATTACTTAAATATTAATCCACATAACAGATCATGAATAGAAAAAACAAAGAATAATATAACAAAGTTGGCACATGAAATTCATCATGAATCTTGGACGTCTCCTTGAAGTACAATATATAGTAATAACACAGGTATCAAATTTCAGATATGAATATAAAGAGCATAAGGAGGATGTATCATAAGTTACTCTATGACCAGCATTAGCAGGATGTCAGCTGACAATCTAATTTACTTCCCTGTATCAAATTTTAATGAATATGCATGAAACAAGCTTAACAGGCAATTCATCATATCAGAACATAATAGATCACAAGCCATATTTTATAAACTTCTTGCTATGACACTGATGTCCAGTGCATGCTTTGGAGTGGGCTGTACCATAATATCCACTGAGAGGGGTTAAAGTTTCAGTTAATATAGATCTTCCAGCCTTAAAGTTATTGTTCAAATATTGCAATCATAATCATGTTGATAACAATTTGCCAGAAGGGTTTAAGAAATCAAACCATGGACATTGTCAACATTTGACTTCAGAAATTATTTTGGCCATCCCATAATCATGATAAAAATGTTGCATAAGAGTAGCCCCACACATGGATTTTTCTAGATCTACTCGGATGCATATAGTCAGCATTACATCTGAAGTGTGTCAACAAAATGTCCATGCTTAAATTTAAAATTTGCCCTGTCATGGTGTTTAAGTGATTTGTATGACTGACATTATTGCTTTTAAGAGGTGACTTGCATTTTACTGAAAAAATGGCCAGTGAACAAGATTTCATGTTGCATCGAAAAAAACTTGAAAATATCTTTGGTTAAGGATAATTAAGAAAACTACAATAATCCTAATAATAATATCCATAATTATGGGTATTGCAAAGTTTGTATGAAAAGGGTATAGTCAAGGGTAGTAAGCTCGGAATCATAGGTAAATCCATGCTATGTGTATCATAAAGGTAAATCTATGTAGCTTAAACACACAAACTCTACACGTTTATCATTGTACAAACTCCATAACATATGTCCACAGTGGACTTAGGAAAGACAAAATGCTAAGTCAAGAAGGCGACTTTTTTGCAAAGTCATTCATAGTATGGCCAAATGTTGAAAGTAAAATCTACTTTTAATGTTTAACAGTATCTAAGAATACCTTTAATTGGATCTAAAACTTCACAGAAATGAAAATTAACCAAAAAAGTATATAAGCTGAAGCAATTTATACATGCATTGGATGAATTGAAAGAGTAATAACTCAAACGTTCAAAAATCATGACACTTTGACAGGTGCAGAGATGCATGTCATACAAATGAGATCGATAGAAATTGTTTGAGAGTCAAATACTGTCATGCATGTACCTGTATTTCTTAAATCTGTCCGAATCCTGCTTGAACATCTGCGGCATGCTGATACTTGAGCCATTTTTACTGTAAGTCTCCTGCAATGCTTTCCAAGCAGCAGAGCTTGACAGAAACTCTCTTTGCAGATCAGCCATTTTCTACGACCTTCACCTTGACTTTGAACGTGTCCTTGAGCATTTGTACAACTTCCGTCTCATGCGGGGCGGGGGTGGACTTCCGGTTTCAATGTCGACAGCTTACGAAAATGTATGCCAATGTTTACCATTTGAAAACGTATGTATGTATTTGATCATGGTTCAACTTCATCTAAGTTCCTCCGCAGAAACAATTTCTTCAAGATAATTAAACCGACATGGAGTCTGTCCAACATTTAAGCAATTTGGGGATATATTGGTAATCTGTGTTCAGACACGAAATCGTGTGATGAATTCGCGTTATCGATAAAACGCGTGAGTCAGGACTTTGTATAAATTGCGTTTCTATTGATTTCTGTATACCACAGCTGTGTTGTGCTAGTGCGTCACACGAAATACATTACTTAGTCTGCTCTGAAAAATGTCAGGGATAAACAATATCATCATGCTCTCTGCAAATATATCGACAACTGAAGTTTGTTCTATTGACTGTGTCGTGCGTCATTCTCTCAGCAGTATAGAACCAGATTTGACGGTGTGTCATCCTAAGCAAGATTATACGCTGACAATATTCTTTCCATATACGTATTCAAGATGAATTAGAGACGTGTATGTCCACTTGGACTCATACAACATTTGGCCGCTCAACCGTCAAAGCCAAACCAATATTTGGGTCTGTATTTTGGAGCAATATGTTTTTCGTAAGCAATTATGTATTGTTATGTATTGTTATCTTCATATTATGATGACTAACCTATACGTTATTGAATATGGTTCAGTTGATTTATATGTTGCATAACAACATTACACAGTATTAGACAGTTTTCTTCAGATAAAGTCGGATTACTTCATAAGGTGATTACCAACACCATATCATTGAAGTGATTACCATGATTACATTACAATGATACCTGTCAATGCCTGTCTTGTGTTATATCTGATACACTGTGAAATTTGATTTTATTGTTTTGCAGATTGTATTCATAGTGAGCACGACAACAGTAAGGATGTATCCATAGGGTTACATCATGCTGCATCATGTGAAGATGCATCCCCTATCTGGCTATAGTGGGACGTAGTATGACTGCTGAAGAACAATCTGATAGCACTGGCTGGTTCAGTGCTTTCAATCACAGCTGGAACTGTATAAAAGTTTGTGTCTAATACATATAGTGCTGACCAATATAATTATTGCCATAACTCCTAATTATTTTGGTACCATCCCTGCTGGACAGAAGAAATTAATAATCTGATGTGTCTTCCTTGATTCTATCAAAAGCTAATCTTTCATATTTTCAAAACCAGTTTTGGTGTTTATACAAAGTTTACACATATTTTTGACATTGTCCATTCAATGTTGATGTTATCTCCTCATCAAGAAACAATATTGTGTACACTTTATTCATAGCAACAAGAATAGTAACCAGTCTGTCTAAATGGAAAATTTGAAGAAACATCTTTTCCCCAGTAGCCGGCCTGCTGTGGGGTCCGAAACTAGATCAGTCTTTCATATCGATAATAATAGTAACGACCATTTGAGCAAAGAAGTACAGGAATGTTTTGAGAGTGTTGAAGAGTTTAAAAATGCTGTCAAGAATTTGGATGGAGCTGGAACTCACCTGACAGAGTCACTGACGAAGGCGTTAAAGGAGACGCAACACAAGAGTATTGCAGAGGATTGTGGTGTTGCATTCAGGGAGGTCTATGCCTGTGATCAGACTGCATTTGTGTCTCAACAGTTACAGGACATGAGCTCTGCTCTATATGACTTGAAAGCAAAGATGGAGGATACCACTGCGGATGATCTGTCTGCTGAATATGCTCAGGTAAAGAGAACAACACTTTTGATATCAGTCTTAACAAATAGATGTGTCTGATATGATTATGTTCATAGGTACAAGTTATGCATGATAAGCATGGTTAAGCTTTAATTTGAAATCGGCATGTTTTGTGAGAAGGACTGGTCACTGTGTGCTGGTAATTAAGTACCTGACTCTGGATGGGATTCGACCCTCAAAAGTACTAGAATCTGTTCTTTACTGAGAAAGTGTAATCCCAAATATAACATGTGAGTGAGTGAGTATGGTTTTACGCAACTTTTAGCAATATACCAGCAATATCACGGCAGGGGACACTAGAAATGGGCTTCACACATTGTACCCATGTGGGGAATCGAACCCGGGCCTTCGGCGTGACGAGGCTAATCACCCTTGTAGGTTAAATGCAGTGGATTATTTCCAAGTGAAATTTGAAATTGACGGGATGTTAAAAATTGTGGAAATTTAAAGGTCCATTCACGTAACATGTTTGAATATGTGTCATGCGTATGTGTTTATGATGGATATGTATTAGTTTTACTCTATTTATCATGTTTATGATTAATACATGTCATGTTTTTTTCTGAAGGTTGATAAGCATTTGCTGTTTTTCTTTGTGGTTGATGTTAATAAGTTTTTTCTGTTTATGATTGATATTCTGTGGGAATTCTACATTTGTAATTGATATTGTTTGGTTATTTCCTATAAACTCCTATAAATTATTTATTCTCACTATTATTGATATGCATTGTTTATTCTTTCTTGATACAATATGAGACCTGGTTATTGTTAAGTTTGAATCGACGGGCTGTGAAGGACATTTGATTCATTTAGAACACTGCTTTGTTAGGGATGTATTTTGGTATATTTAGGTATTTGGCAAATGGGCCCCTATTATCATAAGCTTGTCGTAAGTTGATTTCATGGATATCTGTACTTCTAGTCATCTGTGGTAGTTCAAAATTATGTAAGTAAACTGTACAGTTTCCCCGTCCATCAATCACTTTAGCATCAGCTCCAAAATACTTCCAGTTCCATACTTCCAGTCCCATACTTCCAAACTGGAATGGCAGATGGACCAGTAGAGCAGGACATGCTAGCCCTTTTCACAAACACCTGGATCCGGTTGTATCATTGCTTCATTAACTAATGGCAACATTAAACCCTAATGATATATTAAATCCTTAATGCATCATTAGTTAATGGCAACATTAAAAACGGTTGTATCAAACACTTATTAGCGTATCATTATCTAATAGTATCCTAATGTAAATATTTTCATTAAATCCGGGGATTCCCCTAAATATTTGCCACAATTCACCGACGTAAACACGTAAGCATTACTCTCGGTCGTCTGTCAAAATGGCATCTTTACGGCTAAACCTCGGAACAATAACAAACATTTCAACAGCTGTGAAGAAACACATCTCAATAATTCTGAAACGTCGCCGATAAACCTAGAATCTATTGGGATGTTTTAGAAAATACACGAACACGAACGCCGAAGTGAGCTTTCCGCCATATTGGATAGTGTTTACAAAATCAAGTTTCGCTGAGGCCGGTCATACTCATAGGATGCCTATTACATCATGTATATTTCATATTCAGTAGTGACAAATGCATCGCTGAATTCCTCATACATTTTAGAATCAAATTCCAAATGGTCTTTGTCACTAAAACTAAGTGTCTAAGAAAAAACTAAACATATTGGGTGTGAAAACGGAACATTGTGCTCATAACACAGCGCTTGCTAGAAATATAAATAAAGCAAAAATCAGATTTTATAGTGCGCAGCATTTTCTCAATTTTTTAGACATCAGTTCGTCTATTCGTAGCATGCATTAGCTCAATATTTTTAGAAAATGCACAGAAAGAGTATCGTAGCAAGAACTAGAAAATTAAAAACAGATACAATAGAGTTAATTTGATATATTCATACGAAAGTTCTGTGCAGCGTGTGACTTCGCCAGACACAAAATCATGGAGAATGACATTGGCAATTATCAGCATTTCTGGCTGTTTCAGTGAAAACAATAAATACAAAGAATCACACGTAGATAGTCAGAATATTTCTGATTACTTACATCATACATTTATGGACAAAGGTTCCCTCGCGAAAATCGTAGGCACCCATATCCATGAAGCCACCATTTCATGAGAAATTGGTCATCGGTAGTGATGTCAATATTATTGTTGTACATAGTGGGCAATATCTTTGAGGCGAAGTCGATTGAATAAGAGTATCACAATCACACTGTCCTGCGGATTACACTGTTTGTATTAATGTATAATTTGCACATCGTTCAGATAAGTTTTCATGAAACTAATTTCATTATCAACATTTAGTATTTTACACCTAAGTAAAACTGACAAAATAGATCAAAATGATTTATTTATTTCATGAAATGTATATGCACACATTTTTAAAGGAATTGTCTTGTTCATTAAATTTGTTTATGTTGTTTTATAAACAAAACAATGGCATATAATCATTGGCCAGGTGCGCTTTTGTCTCAAATGTTTCGACTATCATTGTTTTTGATAATTCCGTGAACAAAACATCACAAACATATTGTGTCCTTATCCACAGCAAATTCTCTCCAAGTGATCTGAGTTACAATGACTTAGTGTTAAGCATAGCAGAGTGATGCCCCCTTATCTTTATAGTATGACCTATTTACAGTCATTGACTTCATAGAGGAAAATCCATTTTCAACACATATTGCGAGTCATTTTTTTAGATTGAGATTGCGTTATACATAAGTACACAAACCAATTTAATATATACTTATGTCGTTCAGATATCAGACAGTATTTTGTCCGTTCACACTTTCCGTAAACATGCCAAATTAATAATATAGTAGCACAGTACTTTTATCAGTGCATGATAAAAAGCAGATGAATTTACTGTTTTTAGCGCATAACAAAATGCTGGATAACATATACAGCCTAAGTATTTGCACTTGAATTTACACTATGGGATAGGCAATTTAATATTCTACATTTCTGTGTAATTTTATAGCTGTAGGGAGATCCAGTGAAATGAAATTTAACGTGAACTTTTTCGGAAGTTAATGACGCTCTAATGATACCCCAGAACCTTCATTAAGTAAATGACGCACTAAGGACAACACAGCGTCATTAAAATCTTAGTACAACAGAAGTTAATGACACATTACTTAATGAACGTTTAATGGCACGCTAATGCGTCATTAAAGTTTGATACAACTGGGCCCAGGTGTCGTCACTGATTTTCAGTTATCCATATAATTTTCACAGCTATTTTTCCCTTTACTCCAAACGGAATCTGTTTCTGAGGTTAGTTAAGGTTGGGTATTCTGTTGCATTGGGATTTTTATTGGAATTGATCTTAAGCAACCTATCTGGTTTTAAGTGTCAAAGTTGACTTGGTAAATTGTGTGTCCTCATACCCTGCATGTGTGGTTAGTTGCTCATGATATACTTCACTGGATTGTGTGGTTCAAGCCAGATTATTTACATAATACCTTCTACTCATGAAGGTCCGGGTTAGAATTCATCTTCATTCTGAATGACATTATTTATTTATTAAATCCTATTTCGTTTCCTCACACCGAATCATTTTCCACTCTTCAGTTACAGTTTTAAGTTCTTCAATTCTTAGTTTTCCATATAACCTTATCTTCCTGTCCATGCTCATTCAAAAACATTACTTTTTACCAGTAACCCGTGCTTGTTGAAAGAGCAATGAATAAACAGTTTTGCCAAGTAACCTTGTCTTCAGTCAGGCTTGCTGACTTGGTTGACACATGTCATCATATCCCAAATTGTGTAGATTGATGCTTATGATGTTGATCACTGGCTTGTCTGGTCGAGATTCGATTATTTACAGACCGCTGCCATATAGCTGTAATATTGCTGAGTGTGGCGTTAAACAACAACCAAACCAAACATGCTACCTTCCTACAACTGGAATAGTGCTGTATTAAACAGCAAACATACGAGATGACTAAAGAGGGAATGACGTTGGGTGGAGGTCCATCACATGTTGTATCTTTGTACCTCAGATACATCAGTTGGTCGTGACTTTAATCACTGGTTCATCTGGTCCATGTCATTTCCGAACCAGAGTGACAGCTGGAATATTGCTGACTGTTGGTGTCGAACAACATTGGCAGGGTTTTACACAGACTTACACAGTCATGGTGACTCATAATATTTATTTTTAGGAGTCATTTTCAATATTTGGGAGTCATGAAAATTTTAATATTTCTTTGTGGTAATCATTCTCAGTATGTACCTCATCACTAACTGTTTTTGTCACACCACCAAATTAAACTACAGTGTTCAATTCAAACAGCCAGGATTACTGTCTCCTCTGAGTTCTCTGGAATAATCTGACAGCTCTGTAAAAGGCAAACTATCATCGAACAATACCATTTTTTGCTAATCAAATCGATTTTATTGAACTGAATTGTGAGGGCCACCCATAAAACTTGCGTGAAGCTTGACTCATATGATAATATTTTGAGAGTCGTTTACAAAATTGTTGCGTCAAATATGCAGGAATCACGCATCATGTAAAACCCTGCATGAGTGAGTGAGTGAATTTAGCTTTACGTCATACTCAGCAATATTCCAGCTATATGGCGGCGGCCAAACAACATGAACTTGCTGAGGACTGCAAGTCCAGTATTTATATTTAACATTTGTTTATATGTTTTTCAGACCTTGTGTAAAGTGTTGCTGGTATTCTTGAAAACCCAGCAAACATACCACAAGCTTTGCAGTGACAGGATGATGGATTTGGTTCAGAAACTAAGCATGTCAAAAGGAATCCAAAATCAAGGGGAGATAACCAAACACTTTATGGCTTTGCTGACCACTAATATGGACAAATCACAGAACAAAATCCATCTCAAGAATGGCAGCAGTCCATCGCAATCACCCAAAGGGAGTCCCAAGACAAAGAAAGCCATGAAAGGTCCGGATTCACCAAAACCTTTAGCCAAACAAACATTTAAGTCTTCGTTACTTTCTCTGTTTGATCGAAAACCTTCACCAGAAGAAGGTAAAAGTGCCTTTTATGTAGATGTTGCAGCAGGCTGCCCGACTAAGGATGAGCTGGACTCGACTCAGACTGCAGGCAGCTCCGAGTCAGTACAAGGGAGGCCAGATCAAGCAGGAGCAAATACAGAACAAATCTCTGCCTCGAAAGAAGTTCCACAAGCTAACCTTCTTGGCCTTGACCTTGATGGACCTGCTCAAGGGCACAGGAAACTGGAAGCCTCAGCTCAAGGTCACCCAAGGCTTGACAATACAAGTCTTGGCTTATCAAAGTTAGCTCTCATGGGTCAAGGTCATGTTCCAAATACCATAGGTCAAGGTCATCATCCAAGTGCTACAGGTCAAGGCCAACCATTAGTTGAACTGATTGGGCTGCCTGAATCATGTGATCCCAAGTTGGCTGCAGGCAGTCTTTTGAAACCCCATCTGATGGGCCTGGACCCTGGTCATCAGTCTCATTTGAATCCAGTGGTTGATCCACGAAACTTACACTTACATGGGCTTCAGCCCCCACCAGGTATTGTAACTCTAGTTAACAGTTTGGGCCACATATCTCAAAGCAATGTTAAAACTTTGAAGACACATTTTCACACATTTTTGACAATATTTTGGCCTATATTATACATATTGGGTCATATGCACTCACTTTAGCTCCCTATTGATGCAATAATAGACTTATTATCCCTTAAGACTTGCCTGATATTGATAATTGAAACTTCGAGGTGAACAACTTCCAAACAGACAACACTTGCCATATGGAATGTAAACAATTGCTCCATACATCAAAAACTGTCGCACGCAGTGTTGTCGGTGTTTGCTGTTAAAAGGCATAAAACTAAACTCACTCAATTGGCGGATTGTTGCTAACTTTCACTGCCTGGGGGGGTAGGTGGGTTCGGTTTATGTTCCAGATGTCCCATTTTGATGAAGATTTCCAGGATCACCCTCAGCTTATCTCCAGTCAGTATTGATATTTGCGATACAGAAACACAATTGGCTGAGCTTTATACAGTTTAATTTAATACAGGTGTTCGTATTTCAGGTGTGGGTCTAATGCAGGTGAACTGTCAGTTGGCTTCGGAGGAGGAGCTGGAGAGTGTTATCAACCTGCTGTCCGGCGTCAACTGCTCCAACTCACCTATGCAAGCGATCCCCGAGAACCAGGTTCAAGGTCAAGTTCAGCTGACAGTGCCCCAGATATATCGCATGCCAAGTCCTGCCTCCGACTCTAATGTTGAAGAGATGAAACATCCCAAGTACCAGATGCACCGACGCTCTGAAGGATGTCTGGATCTGTCTGGTGTCCGTGGAAACACCTGGCCTCACCAACATAGAGCTAGTCTCCCTGCCGTTCAGTCATTCCCCCAGCGGCAAATGATGGATCCCTCTCGTGATGCGACCATGCACATGCGTCAGTGCTCACAGGACATGCACATGCCGTATCGTCCGAACCCAGGGTACATAGCTGCCGGCCCTGGACCCGGGCCGATTATGTCCACGTCACAGTGGTCTTTCCCTGGCAGTGGAACATGGCCGGCCATGAACACCCATGGAGGGTAGGTACATTTATCAAACAGTTTCCCTCGTGGTGATTCCAGGTTAGAATAGGCCAGCACACTATGTGAGAGCAGACTTCGTAGGGCAGGTGATCAAGCTAGGTCATTAAGTTTGGTGTGTCGTAGTAGTCGAATGTATAAATCCTTGCTCCTTACATCAGTCACTTGATTGTTTGGTCCTGATGTGACTAGTTAGAGGTCACTATCATACAGTGAGTGAGTGAGTGAGTGTGTATGGTTTTATACTGCTTTTAGTAATATTCCAGCTATATCACTACAGGGGTCATCGGAAATGGGCTTCACACATTGTACCCATGTGGGGAATCGAACCCGGGTCTTCAGTGTGACAAGCAAATGCTTTAACCACAAGGCTACTCCACTGCCCCTTTAATATCTGATAGCTTCATTAGCCATCTCTGTGGTGTAGTGGTTGGAGCGTCCGCCCAGAGGTTGGATGTTCGTGGGTTGGATCCCCATCCATGTCATACAAAAGATGTTAAAAAATGGTACTTGTTGGTCCCTGCTTGGCGCTCAGCATTAATGGGTACTACAAGGACTGCTTGGCTCGGAGTCAGTATAATATGTCTTAGTTTGTTATTCATGCTTAACTGCGGGCATGGTATCTCTGAGCTAGCAGTAGCACTATAAAGCCAGCTTAAATCTGGGCTAGTACAAGCAACCACGCATACACATGCATGCACATCGTCATATGAGCGAAATATAGTTAAGTAAGACGTTAATCCCCATTTCACCTCACCTATTGCTTCATGGGTTTGAAGCGTGGTCTTACAAAAAGTGGATGCTTGTTCTGAAAGTGCATTTTCATTATGTTGTTATAAACATTTTGTTTTATATTTTTCAAGACTTAAAGAGATGTTATCCAAGAGTACAGTACAATCAGCAGACAAGTTACACATCACTGGCTCATATTGTCTGGTTATGTTGGAGAAAAACATGTCGTGATTATACCATTCCAGTTCTTGTATATGCTACAGTACATGATGAAACTTACGGCATTTTAGGTCCGACACGATGAACAGCAGCTGGTCCGGTGTCCAGGACTCGAGTGACCTAAGTGATGATTCGTCCAGTGGGGAACAGTTCTATGCTGTCGGCCGGGACCTGGTGCAGGCCATCGACTCCAAGTGAGTAGTCCTACACTATGTTTCCCAAAAAACTGGAGATAGGATAGACCTCAACGTTCCCCATTGTAATACTAGAGGTAGGATAGTCCCTCACAACACTACCTCAACGTTCCCCATTGTAATACTAGAGGTAGGATAGTCCCTCACAACACTACCTCAATGTTCCCCATTGTAATACTAGAGGTAGTATAGTCCCTCACAACACTACCTCAACGTTCCCCATTGTAATACTAGAGGTAGTATAGTCCCTCACAACACTACCTCAACGTTCCCCATTGTAATACTAGAGGTAGGATAGTCCCTCACAACACTACCTCAACGTTCCCCATTGTAATACTAGAGGTAGTATAGTCCCTCACAACACTACCTCAACGTTCCCCATTGTAATACTAGAGGTAGGATAGTCCCTCACAACACTACCTCAACGTTCCCCATTGTAATACTAGAGGTAGTATAGTCCCTCACAACACTACCCCAACGTTCCCCATTGTAATACTAGAGGTAGGATAGTCCCTCACAACTCTACCTCAACGTTCCCCATTGTAATACTGGAGGTACGATAGTCCCTCACAGCACTACCTCAATGTTCCCCATTGTAATACTGGAGGTACTATAGTCCCTCAACACTAGTCCCTCACAACACTACCTCAATGTTCCCCATTGTAATACTGGAGGTAGGAGAGTCCCTCACAACACTTCCCCAATGTTCCCCTTTGTAATACTAGAGGTAGGAGAGTCCCTCACAACACTATCCCAACGTTCCCCATTGTAATACTAGAGGTAGTATAGTCCCTCACAACACTTCCTCAACGTTCCCCATTGTAATACTGGATTAGGAGAGTCCCTCACAACACTACCTCAATGTTCCCCATTGTAATACTGGATTAGGAGAGTCCCTCACAACACTACCTCAATGTTCTCCATTGTAATACTGGAGGTAAGATAGTCCCTCACAGCACTACCTCAATGTTCCCCATTGTAATACTGGAGGTACGATAGTCCCTCACAACACTACCTCAATGTTCCCCATTGTAATACTGGAGGTAGGAGAGTCCCTCACAACACTTCCCCAATGTTCCCCATTGTAATACTAGAGGTAGGATAGTCCCTCACAACACTACCCCAACGTTCCCCATTGTAATACTAGAGGTAGTATAGTCCCTCACAACACTTCCTCAACGTTCCCCATTGTAATACTGGATTAGGAGAGTCCCTCACAACACTACCTCAATGTTCCCCATTGTAATACATTGGAAGTAGGATAGTCCCTCCCAACACTTCCTCTTTTCAACAGTGGTGACATTAGGATAGACAAATGTGATTTAGGTCATTCCATGGCACCCTAATGATCGATCAGAATACTTGATAAATTGTCTGTGACAGCTTTTCGTATGATCCTAACTTGTCTTAAATTATCCCACAGTATGAACATGATGAAGATTAGCTTTTATTTAGGTACATGCATGTGACCTGAATGGATTATGTCAAGGACCACATGTGGGTCAGTGTTGTCCTGGTAACAGGGCCCATAGAAATAAGAGGATTTTAAAATTAATATCTAGGACAACTACACCAGGAAGTGACTTTTATCCCACCGGCATGTAATGCGATGGGATATAGTCGTCGCCTCGTCCGTCCGTTCGTCCGTCCGTTATCATTTTGTTTCCGGAGCATAACTCAAAGACCGTTCAATATTTTTCAACAAAAATTGGTAGATATGTCAAACATAACCTAAGATGGTGCCTTTTGCTATTTTACAGATTATTGTCCTTTTTATTTTTCTCGGTTTCCATGGAAACGTTTTGGACTTAGTCTTAAAGAGGGGTGGGCTTCGTTTCCTGATCCTAAAGTTGTGCCTTTTGCTATTTGAAGATTTTTGGCATTTTATTTGGCATTTTATTTTTCCGGTTTCCATGGAAACGATTCGGACTTCGTCCCAAAAGTGAGGGGTGGGCTTCGTTTCCGGAGCATAACTCAAAACCGTTAAATATTTTTCAACAAAACTTGGTAGATATATCAAACAGAACTTTAAGTGGTGCCTTTGCTATTTGCAGATATTTGGCATTTTTATTTTTCTCGGTTGCCATGGAAACGATTCGGACTTAGTCCCAAAAGGAGGGGTGGGTTTTCGTTTCCAGAGCACAACTCGAAAACTTCTCAATATCTTTCAGCAAAACGTGGCAGATATGTGAGGCAGATCTTGAAGTGGTGCCTTTTGCTATTTGCAGATTTTTGTCATTTATTTTTTTCATGATTTCCATGGAAACGATTTGCACTTAGTCTAAAATCAAGCTCGACTTTAAGTAACTGTCAAATGATTTGTTCTTTCAAAGATGTGGGGGCCCGGGGGGATATGTCATATTCTGATGACTCTTGTTTTGTATATGTTGTAATGGTATGACATGAAGTGATGAAAAGATTGAGCAATGGACATTTTGTTTTTCCCCAGAGAGGACAGCAGTGATGACGATTGTGACAGAAGGCGGGGCTCCCAAAAGTACCATGGGGCTATGGCACCGGACCCTCATGTACGTATACCTCACTCACACCTGGCACAACCCGAGAAGACCCGGGTTAAACTTTGTCATCAGCACCCCATGCTTGTCATAAGAGCAACTAATGGAATTGGGTGGTGAGGCTTGCTGACTTGGTTGACACATGTCATCGGTTCCCATTTGCGCAGATCGATGCTCATGTTGTTGATCACTGGATTGTCTGGTCCAGACTCGATTATTTACAAACCACCGCCATATAGCTGGAATATTGCTGAGTGTGGCGTAAAACTAAACTCACTCACTAAATCACTCTTTGCTGAGAAAGTATAATCCCAAATATTACATATGTAAACTTCTCAGTGTTACCTGGTTCTTGTAGAATCATATCAAGACTTGTCTTCATCCTGCCTTTGCTAACATTGGTTTGACTGTTCCCTTCAGGATGCATCGTCCATGCACACCTGGCCTCCCAAACAGCAATGGAGCCACTCTAACCTGTATCTCAGCTCTGGTGTGGAGCATCTGGAGCCTCCGGACAACAGCCAGTTCCCGCACAGACCCGTCCAGATGCAGTGGAGTGACCCCATGTCATCTCGCAGTATGTGGCCGGCTGGACCCCCGCCTCTTGGTGAGTGGTCATCATCTTCATCACCTGTGCATCACCACATTGGCAGTTCTATTCACGGACACCCAGGTGGTGAACTTTGCCATGAAGAGCTATATACCTTGGGTCTGCCTGACACCCATAAACCTGCATCAAACCCTGTTTGTGATATGTTTCTATATTTGTAAGCACAATACCTTTGATTATGTTTTTTTTAAAAGTGGTAATTGTCCTTGACCTATATCACCTCTGGCTTTCTAGGACCAGACTGGTTCTAGCGATAAGACTGACATAGCCATGTGTGGTTATACTGTGTATTGATCATAGCTAAAACCAATGGGAATTCCCAAGTGGAAATTAAACCCTGTGGGAATTCCGAAGTTGAAATAAAAAAAGCAATGGGAATTCCCTTGTTGAATTAAAAAACAATGGGAATTCCTAAGTAGGATTAAAAACTAATGGGAATTCCCAACTAGAAAATAAAAACCAATGAAAATTCCAAGTGTAATTAGACAGACAGACATATTTATTTGTATATGTGGCCCTGAGGCCAATAGTACATGTGTACAATAATAACAGTGCATTTATGCTCAACCTGTAAATACACGAGTTATAGGAACATCAATAAATCCATAAACACCCATTCACAATTTACATTTTTTCTCTCAACATAAGTATGTGGTACAACACAAGGGCTACCTTAAACAACAAGTCAATATTTTCTGTGCAAAAGTAGCATACAGAATTTTTGTCTCGACAGTTGGTTATAGAAAAATAAGGCAAATATGTTTCTCTTAATTCTAAATATTTCGGGCATACAAGTAATACATGGTACTCATCTTCTTGCGATAAATTGCAGAATGGACATTGGATATCTATTGCATTTGAAGTTTTGGCAAATCGCGCCGCTTGGACTTTGAAGTTGTAAGCGTTACATCTAACTTTAGTAAGCGAACACTTAAGTTGTGGTGATTTAATCTTTGAAAGGTAAATTTTTGTATTAATACAATATTTATATTCTGAATAAAAGTTGACACAGGTTGATGACATTATTTCATTATACCAGTCCTGTTGATAAATGTCTTTGCATCTCTGCTTGAATAATTTGATGAAATATTGTGTATTACTTACATTTTGAGCGAGCCATACATTTCCAAAGCCATGACTAAAAAGAATAGTTCTAACGAAGGAAACCCAATTAATATCTCCGGTATCATCTAGTGTTTTAAGCATTTCATAACTACATCTTGAATATCGTGAAATTGGTTGTCTCATCAATCTTAGCCAATATGAAATAACCCGACATCGGGCGTTAATAAACAGCGGAAAACGTCCACATTCACCTAAAATAACCTTGTTCGCAGTTCTGTAGCCAACATGCAACAAAAACTTACAGAACTTTGAATGGACCTTTTCAATATTCTTGTTTATGTTAATGCCCCATATTTCAGAGCCGTACAACAAAATTGATTAAATTTTTCCATCAAACAGTTTAAATGATGCATGGATCGGTAATTCTTTATATTTGCATATGAATTTCTTTATGACATGTAGGGCTCGTTCAGCTTGCATAGATAATGTTTCACAGGCTCTGGACAATATATTTCTACACGAAAATATAATACCTAAATATTTGTAATATGATACCACCTCCAATTTTTGTCCATTAAGGAACCATTTTTCACTTTTAGAGATTTTACCCCCATTTTTAAAAACCATTACTTTAGTTTTACTAATATTTATCTGAAGATCCCATTTCAAACAATATTCATTTAGAGTATCTATCTTGCATTGTAACTGGACAACAGAATTGGCAAGAATCACGACATCATCTGCAAATAGCATTATTGCAAGATCTCTGATATGTTCGTTAATAAATACACCTCTCGTATCATTTAACTCTTTCAACACCAGTCAACCAGAGGCATTTAGTGCCATGACACCGAGTTCCCAGAGACTCTGAGGTCACAGATGAAGCCTATGTTTATGAAGGAAATTATAAGCTTGTAAAACGTTATTGCTACTACATCCCATACACCATTTAAAAGATCTAATCCTACTGTTGATAAATATGACGTTTATTTTTATAATATTATTCAAATAATACAACTACAACTTAAATAAAATATTTTTTTAATGAAAATGCAAGCTTACATTTATAACCTCCCGATAAACCACGAAGGAAGCAAAAACTATGGCGATTATTTTCAATTTGTGACATGTCATAACATGTCCGTGCCTTTTCTTTCATATTTTCATTTTCACGTAATCAGAAAATTATTATAAAAGATTTCTTAAATAATATGTATGGTCGCCTATTTCCCTATATCTGTGGCTTTCCGCTCGGTAACATGACATAACAACGGAAAATACCTCCGTTTTCGAAGCTTCAGTGATGAAAAACATGGGAGGCGAATCGTTTGATGTCGGGTATCGTTAAAAGCTCTGAACCTCAACAACATCACTGAACCCTTGCCGAGAGTATTTTCACAGTTGTAAGAAGCGATTTTATTGGATAAAAATTGGTTTCTAATGGCGCTTTTCGCTACAGTCTGCTTTAAGGGTCGTGATTGGTCAAAATCAGACCGCGTGACATGAGGCAGCCAATCATATTACGGCAATGGATACCGCCCTAAATAACGAAAATCTCCAGATTTAGGCGAAAGTTTTGGGTAAAATAACGCTATTTTGAACATATTAAGCAAGAAATCGCTACATATCGTAAATTATGGAACCTATTGGACGTGTCGTGCTAGGTTATGACCTATGACAAAAATGCTTCATGTACATATTTTCGCATTAAACATCGTGTGTCCGGCGTGAAGATTGAGGCGAGAGCCGAGATGTCAGTTGTCAGTGACTTGACTTACATTACATGATCGCACAAAAGATGGAAATAGTAATTTTATATGTACGTTTGACAACTTTTATGAATGCTATTGTTGATTTTATTCATTAGTTTATTCAATTTATTTAATGAATTCCTCGAAACATCTTTACTTTGCTCTTTGACAACGTTATTGTGGACCCGCTGCGAAGCATGTGTCCGAGAATCGTTGTTTTCAATAACATTCGCGAAAAATAGTTTATAATTTTAATTCTGCTGATAATATATGATAAATTGAAATTTAATAAGTGTTTTCAGACATTGTGAAATGTGATAGATATAATATATGAATCATAAGTCAGGTAGGTTCCTGAAATTATGTCTGATTTTGACGTGACTACTGCCTGGCCGCTTAAGCGGCCTGCGGTGTCTGGGGACTCATAACGTTGTGGCCGCTTAAGCGGCCTGCGGTGTTGAAAGGGTTAATAACATTTCCGTAACAAGTTCTTCAACATATAACAGGAAAAGTACAGGTGATAGAATGCAACCTTGCCTCACTCCGGCATATGTATCAAATATATCACTCATTTGAAATTTACTGGTTCTAACAGATGCTCTCACATTGGTGTATATATTAGGTAAAAGACGTTGGAGTTTGCCATGTATACCTGACTGTAGTAGTACATATAACAGTTTTGATCTATTAACGAAATCAAACGCTTTCTTGAAATCTACGAAAAGACAATAAAACTTTCCCCCTTTCTTCCGCAGATATTTATGGATAATACTGTTGAGAGTAAATATATGGTCCGTAGTTGAATACTCTTCTCGAAATCCCGCATGGCAATCAGATAAAAGTTCACGAGTGGATATCCAAGCCTTAATGCAATTATCTAATATAGTGGTAAATATTTTGTTTAGTGTATTCAATAATGCAATACCTCTATAATTGTTTGGATCACCCCTTTCACCCAACTTATGCAGAGGTACAATCAATCCTACATTCCAGGAATCTGGAAAAAGTAAGTGTAATTAAAAACCAATGGGAATTCCCAAGTAGAAATAAGAAAACAATAGGAATTTCTTAGTGGAATTAACAACCAATGGGAATTCTCAAGTGGAAAAACCCATGGGAATTCCTTAGTGGAATTAAAACCAAGTGGAAATAAAAGCCAATGGGAATTCCCGAGTGGAATGTATCCCTTGCTTTCCTTGCTTGTCAAACACCATTGACTTACAGTGAAATGTCACAATCCAGATCGTGTTAAAGTTGTGAATCTGAGAACCCTGCATTTGACTATGGTTGTTTGGAGTGGTTATTTACAATTTATACAAATAACAGATTCTAATGATTTATTGTTCTCTTATAGGTATCCCTCCACAACGTACCTCTCAAAGTATGCAGGGCTTTGGGACTCTCCAGTGACCTTGACCTTTGTAGGTGGCCTTGACATTTCATCACACTCACATCTCCATCAAGAGTTCCAGGACTGCATAATAATTCAGTTTTGTGTGAATGCTAAAAGCATGGAATTCAAATGCTAAGTTAAAAAATGATTTATTGTGGTGCTGTATCTTAGCTCATCAGCAGTGTGCATACTAGGAATCTGAATCCAGGGCTCCATTAAAGTTGTAGAAGACAGGCACTAAAGCAAACTGTTATAACAAAATTAAACCCCATATATGTGTGTGTGTGTGTGCACCAAGTGCATGTTAAACATTTTTGGAAAGACTTCCGCCCGTATCACCACTTTAATTTCATTTTGCAAGACTAACCCTAACCCTATCCAGATAATTTAATGTCTTTATGCACAATGTCATTTTTAAACTTATTTTGTGGCTTCTGGTCAAATCATATAACCTGAATATAAATATATCTTTTTCATCATCGTTAAAATTCCCGGGAGATACGGGCGGAATCTTACCAAAATTTCAAATTTGTGTCTTGACAAACCCATTAATACTTGTCCACACATTATCAATCTTTGAACACCCTCAATACATCAAGGCTGTATTTACCATACTACATCACTGATTCATGTGTAATTCCTCATGCTTTCGTGGGCTTTATGTCATCAAACTGTGAGTACTTCAGGAACAGGTAATTTACTCGAGCTTTATCAATCACAGGTTGACCACTATTGTGATAGTTTCTTTTCCCAACTGTATGGGTGCAATGTGTGAAGCCCATTTCTGGTGTCTCCCACCTTGATATTGCTTCAACATTGCTAAAAGCAGTGTAAAACTCAACTCACTCACTCACTATTTCCAATCTGGTAATAATCATTACGCATTTTATATGCCATTGATGATATTGCCACATACCCTCTCAGTATGTACCAACCGAAAAAGTTATCAGCCTGATAACAGAGGTTCTGTTTAGGCCTAAAAAAGAATGTTGTGGTTTCGATTACCCGACCGACCCTTGAATCCTGGTGCTGACCCTATTTTTTTTAAGCGCTATGAATATGATAAGCTTTCAGATACCATTGCTTTTTCCCGGCACCGACAGACATCTGTCATTCTGATAGAGAAAGTCGACATGATGGCCACAAGCTTGATTAAATAAACAATTACACATTGATAAATGTGTTATTAGTTTGTACTTTACGTCTAAAAAACATGTAAAAAAGAAATAATTCCTACCTACCTACCCTAAATTTTAAAGAGGTGTAATCGGAACGACAATATTTATCTACACAAAGTTCATACATCGACTTTGATAACAATAAAGAACTAGGGTGCATCTTTGTTTTCCCTCATGCTTCTTGGTTGTCATGGAAAATCAAGCTCCTTTAATCGAGCCCTGGAGTCCCTTTGTTTGTTATTAAGGTTCAAAGCCTTAAAAATGTGCTTCTATTCATCTGTAACAAGACAAGCTGTCATGACAGACATTGTTGTAATAAGCGACTAGGTGTGTCCTTGGTCGAAGTAAGACTTTTCAAACTGCAGACATTCATGCTGTGATATTTGATGGTAGCTTTAGAAAAGAGGAAATCCATCATTCGTAATTGTTTTCACAAAAATGTTTGTTAATTTTACTAAACTGTGGAATCACATTAATGAATCATATGTCCGCTGTGTTTAAGCCTTGTCAAGATTCAAGGTAAGATTATGTCCCCAGCAACCTCTGTTAGTCGTGACAGGTGACCAAATGGTCCCTAGTGGTCAGACTCCATGGCTTGCTTGATAGTGTGTCATCGTACCATGATCATGGTTATTGTTCATATTATCAATCAAGGGATTGTCTGGTCCAGATTATTATTCAAAAGCCATTGACTGCAGTGTAAACACCAGAGTTATATTACTTGTTAATATAATGGCAGACACTTAAGAATCTTGAATGTGATGAACATATATATATAAGTTGTTTGGAGTTTTTAAGGTGACAAAAGACATCATGAATTAGGCACTTGGTTATTCAGTGAATTACTTGTAGTATAAAACTCAACAATAAGATACATGGTGTATTCTGTATAATACATATCTTTCCACAAATATTTTCATAATTTGCACTTTAGATTTATGTAAAGTGCATATTTTTAATTCACTTATCCTTCAAAGTGATCTCTCAGGGCAAAAAATTATAAATTAAGCATGAAAAATATGTTTCAATTTTGAGTGGTGCAGTAAATTTGGACTAGCAAGAGGTAAAGCATGCAAATTCCCCAAAAAGAACAAAACAGTCAAGCAGAAATTAATCTGACAAAAAAATATGTAAATACAATAATCAATATTTTGACAAAGTTCCATTAATGATAGTTCCAGGTTAGAATTGGTTTTCGGCAACCCATTCTTGTCACAAGAGGCGACTAATGAGATCAGGTGGTCAGACTCGCTGACTTGGTTGACACATGTCATCGTATCGCAATTACGTAGATCAATGCTCATGATGTTGATTACTGGATTGTCTGGTCCAAACCCGGTTATTTACAGACCTTCTTCATATAGCTGGAATATTGCTGAGTGCAGCATTAAATAGCCAAACAAATTCTCGGGATTGTATTTTTCGCTTTTTTGCTTGAGATGATTATTTTTGACACAGAACTGTTGTTGTTGTTGTTGTTGTTGTTGTACATGTTGTTCATTAGTAAAGTAGACAGTTATAGATAGTAATGTAACAACTGTCCAACCTGGATCAAGATAAGAATGTCATATCAGACGTCTTCTGTCACTACAAAATGATGAACATATATAAAGGCTGTACAGATATGCAATAATCATGGTACCGGATTAGATGCCATCAACAAATGAAGCAATTAAAAATATCTGAGATATCAGGCGTCTCAAATTAATGTAATTCTTACAAATACTACAAATCTACCCTATCATTTACAAAATCCTGTGATTCCTGTAAAATTCAGCAGAAGTCCTCTTCACTGTCAACTATACATAAATAGTTGTAACCATATCAGCACATAGCTGCCTGAGGTTCTGTGCAAGAGAGGAAACCTCACATGTTTCTAAGATTTGTACATCCACAGTGAGGATGTAACAGGGTCTCAATTAATGTTTTTATTTGTATTTTTAAATGAATTTTTTTCTTATCATCAGAGGACTCAAAATCTATAAATGTTCTAGGCAAATCAATATAATTGATCATTAGTCAGTCATTATGCGACAGTTGTTGCAAGGCTAAAAAATGGCATTGTTATATTTTTTGTGATTTATGTCACGCCATTGTATTAATCTGGTGGAAAATGTTGAAATAATTTTGTCCAAATTGTAAAGGACGGTTGCTCTGAGATATCTCCTTACGTCTCATAGAAAATTATATTCTGAAAGTGTGTGAAATGAACTCAAATTATTGCTATCAAACCTTTAAAGTTGCTAGCCTATTTCAAACGTTATTACCTTAAATATGGGACAGTTTTTTTCCCCGAAATTTCATTCTGCAAAGGTACCCAATCCCAAGTCACAAATCATGGGGCAAATTTAAGAAGGGAGATAACTCTGATCTCACAACCTCAAAGTCTTATATATGAAAGATAATAATTTCAATTTTAACAGTTGTATTGATGCACAGAAATGGGGAACGTGTTTATATTTTGATTAGAATTAATTAATTAAGCAGCATTGAGACTGTTTTGCCCAGGTGAAATTTGGCATACCGTGGACTTAGTCAGGCTGTGATATTTTGCACAGGAACTAACATTTGAGCAGATGTTACACAATGAAAAAACAAAGGATGTTTGATTGCAAATTTTGAACATTATTACTGATTTGTATAGATTGATTATCGTGTTCATTTGTCATAAGAATCATTACACATTTTTGAAATATTATGTCTGCAGACCAAAATTATTTTGAAGTTAAGCGTGTGTAATCTTAAAGACAAAGACATCACTATGTACATGTTATAATTTGTTTGAAAACTTTGTCACCTTAATAATATTACAGATTCTTCGATTTTACTATCTTTAGGCATGGTGTTGATACCCCCTTTTTTCAATTTAATCATTTCCACTTCCCATATTTAAAAAAATGCATATTTAGTTCCAAACAGCTTTATGGTGAAGCTAAGTTATATTTTCAGTGAGTGAGTGAGTTTAGTTTTACGCCGCTCTCAGCAATATTCCAGCTATAAATGCGGCAGTCCGTAAATAATGGAGTCTGGCCATGCAGTGATCAACACTGATGACATGTGTCAACCAAGTCAGCGAGCCTGACCACCCGATCCCGTTAGTCGCCGCTTACGACAAGCATGGGTACATTCAAACCTGGACCTTCACGGGTGTTATATTTTCAAGGTGTTTGTACCTTGTGCTGTTCCCAATTACGCAGATCGATGCTCATCCTGTTGATCACTGGATTGTCTGGTCCAGACTCGATTATTTACAGGTCGACGCCATATAGCTGGAATATTGCTGAGTGCGGCCTAAAACTAAACTCACTCACTCACTTGTACCTTATGTTTATTGTCAGCCAATCAAACATTGAGTAATATTCCTTCAGTAGATCAGAGCTGTCTACTTTCATGCCTTCATGTTACATTCATAGTTTTTCCTGTTGGTGTTTATGATGTTACAAGTCATTGTTTTTCCTGTATTTGTGTTACATGTTAAATCATTATATCGGAATTAGTTGACTAAATCAAGCAATGGTGATATTATAACAGTCCTAAGTCTATGTTAAATAGTGGTGTTCCGATTAATTGAAATAATCGAAGATTGGTCGCAGTGACTAAACGACCAAGCAATCGATCACATTTTCTCATAATCGAACATAAACGATTTTGGAACTACTGTTTTAGTCGTTGAAATACTTGACAATGGAACATATCTTAGAACATGTCAGGGCCTGAAAACGTGTTTAATTCTTAGAAAACTCACTTCACTAACTGAAAAGCCCCCATGACTGAATATTTCTCTAAGACTCCAGGAAGTTTATGTTCATAATATATTAGTCATCACTTTAAAGTAGCAAGTTGCATCATGTTATACATATCTGCAATAACAACCTGGATAGGAAAATCTGAAAAATGACGCTAACCAATTTTTTTCGATGATTGTTCGTAGGTAATGAATCAATCATCAATTGTGAGATTTCAACCAATTCCCAACACTAATGTTAAACCAGCTGCGAAATTGCTTTTACTATGCAACATGCACTAATCACTAATATGTACCTACGATTGGCACCTTCACCTTGGACTAAAGTCTCCCCTTGACTGAGCTTCTCAGACTTCGTCAGAGCGTCAGTTAAATAATGTCATGAAAATGTGTATAATTAATTTTTCCAATACCTTTCACCTTTGAACAGCCTGAGAAATTTACCTATTTTAAGACTGCAGTCTGTATTTCACTGGTCCAAGTAGATCTGCCTGAACAGGGGTGGTGGGGCAGCTTAGCGGTTAGAGCTCGTCACAGCAAAGACCCGGGTTTGATTCCCCTCATGGGTACAATGTTTGAAGCCCATTTCTGGTGTCCCACGCCGTGATATTACTGGAATATTGTTAAATATGGTGTAAAACGAACTCACTCGCTCACACCTGCCTGAACAAGAAGAAATGATTGATGTGTAGTTCTAACATCTACAATTAGTTCTGTGTTCTAGTCCCCAAATGCTAAGCATCAATGGGGACTACTTTCATTGGATCTTCATTTGTCTTCTGCTCAAATTAGTCATCTTGGACTTGCAGACTTACCTGAATTTGAAATGTTGTTTGAATACAGCAAAACTTTGACAAGTACTAAGTACTAAAGTAGTGTAGTAAAGGTTAAATGTATAAGTTAGACACTTTTCAGTTGGTTACCATAGTTACATCAGGTTACCATGGTTACTGAATTAGTATGAACAAATGCACTACTTACATATTTACCTGAATAAGCTTGTAAGACATTTATATCTGGTTGAGAAAAGGGGAAATCTATGTCTTTGATGGACATTAATGGCTAGATATTTGTCAGATAGACATTAAGTCACAGGACCCAGTCAGCTAGGAATCTGGTCGTCAGTGTAACCTCGTCACAAGATCTAAGTCAGTACAGGTGCTAAATGTGACAGCCAAAGTGTGTTCAACGTCAGTGTCTCTGTCCTGGACTTGGTGAGAGTTAACAGGTCATGTGTCTCCAACATTGCCATTAATACTAAACATGGACCGCCATGTGTCTCAACTAAGTCGGCTAAACTGGTTGAAAAATATTCTCGAAAATATCAGATAATCAGATGATAATCAAATTATTAAAAATATTTTGGATTTTCTAAACAAGAAATCATTTCCTTTCATATAATGGCACCTGTGATTGGTGATAAGGAAGATTTTGGTCTTGAAAGAGATCAATATTTTCTTTTATTAATTGATTAGGGAATTCATGCAATAAATTTACTGGGGTTTAATAATGTACAGCCGGAGACAGAAAATATAATTCAGACAAATTACTGTTTTTTAGGGTGTTGTCATAATGTACTGTCATGCAGGTTTGTAGGACTTAAGGGCTTCATGCTAAATCACACAGGGTTCACTAACCATTTAGTACTTACTAGTGGTGGTCCGATTAATTGAAATAATCGAAGATTGGTCGCAGTGACTAAACGACCAAGCAATCGATCATGTTTTCTCATAATCGAACACAAACAATTCTGGAACACTTGTTTTCATCAACAATATTTTTCACAAGGTTGGTTTTGTCTGTTACATTTCATAAGCACTACAAGCTTGTTCCAAGTCATCAATGAATTTATCTTAAAGACATCAAGAAATTTATGTTCCTAACATACTCGTCATCCTTTAAAGATGTGAACTTTTGCCCCCAAAACCCCCAAAATAAGTACATGTTTTTTTTCTTATATGTTTGTGCATTAACAAATTTTATAAATGACGCTAACCAATTATTTTCAATGATTGATCGGTGGTAATGAACCAATCATCAATTATGACATTTTAACCAATTCCCAACACTAGTACTTACCATACTTCCTCTGTTGGGGGGGCGGTGGGGTAGCCTAGTGGTTAAGGCGTTCGCTCGTCACGCCGAAGACCCGGGTTCGATTCCCCACATGGGTACAATGTGTTAAGCCCATTTCTGGTGTCCCCCGCCGTGATATTGCTGGAATATTGCTAAAAGCGGCGTAAAACCAAACTCATTCATTCATTCCTCTGTTGGGGGTCAGGCCTCCAGGCTATGCTGGCTTCTAACTGAATCCTGGATGTATTCTCAGTCCACAAGATAGAACCTGTATCTCCTGTGTTTCTTATAACCTCCATTGATTAATTATAGTGAACTATCTTTATAAAGAACACACATGTAACAAACTGACGGATGTAACAAGCTGCTTGTTGGTCCCAGTCACATGCATTATATTTTAGTTGGAATATGGTACTGAACTACAGTTATAACAAAGGGAAAGTACACTGTGAGTTGGTTATAATCAGACTTTACGATATGTCAGTGCAGAATGCTGAAATCAGTGCCCAAGATAACAGTATCTTATTGCATACTGTGATATTTTCCTGCAAACTTACTGTCTCTGTGTAAAGAATTTCGGAGTCCGTAAAGCAGTGAGTTATGTTTAGATTTGACAGTTCTGTTTGACAACACAGGGCTATCTAACACCTGCAATAAAATGTCTTGCTTATCAACATATAATGTTGTTTTATACTTGGTGCTTAACTATCTGGAGTGTGTTTAAGTCAAGTGTGTTATATAAGGTGAGTAATAACAAGATGGAAGTAGATAGATTTGATTTTTGTCTCCGTAGATGAAACTGTTACATCAAAGTAATGGTAATTTATTCAAAGTAATACTTTTAGCATGAACTAATCCCTGCTGGGGCTCGTTCATTGATGATGATGATGATGATGATGATGATGATGATGATGATGATTACATTATGAGTATTTCGCACACGGCCTGCCATTAGGGATCAGTCATTGTTTAGAGGTCACAGGATTCGGAGGGAGACTAATAAATATGACATATGAAGGTCATAAAAATATTGAACAAATGCAAGGATCATGAAGGATTTTCAAATTATATGAAGAAAATTTAAAAAATTGTTTTGTCGTGTCATGAAATAATTGTACAAGGATGTGGGATGGGTCATCCAAATGCATCACATGTATTAGGGAAACGTCATTGATGCTATAATATAATATATAATGTATTATTCATTAATCATTATGACGTAATGTTACAATGGTACATTAGAAACATCTGCTCTAATCCTTGTGATCAATGACCTGTCCTTTGTACAGGTTGTGTTAAACTGAAAAATGTATTGCATGGTATTATGTCATAATGACATCATCGTTTGCTTATAACAGCTTGCAGTGTTGTAAAGGTGATCGACTCTCTCAAAGGTACAAGACAAACTATAATATTTTTATCACCATTTTGTGTAAGTTAAGGGATGAAAAGAAGACAATGTATTTGTAACAACTTCTTTATTTTATTGTAGCAGTGACGTTTCGGTATAGATCCTTGTGATGTCAAGACTTGTAGACAATGGCGGAAGGATCGTTTCTGAAACATCACTACTACACTAATTTAAAGAGGCCATCCATATATCGTGTCTACTTTGATCCATGTTATAGTCAGTGTCTGGTTAAGCAGGTCTTGGCTGAGAATCTGTCATTTGTCATGGTATAAGTCCATAGTGGTAGCTTCAGGGTATGTTAGGGGCGGTGGGGTAGCTTAATGGTTAAAGCGTTCGCTCGTCACACCAAAGACCCGGGTTCGATTCCCCACATAGGCAAAATGTGTGAAGCCCCTTTCTGGTGTCCCCTGCCGTGATATTGCTGGAATAATGCTAAAAGCGGCGTAAAACTAAACTGAGCCAGTCAGTAAGGGTATGTTATTGATGAACAATACAAAGCACAACAGGAAGTGAGGTCAGGTGAAATTGGGTTTTAACGTCGTGCTTGAGAATATTTCGCTCATTAAGGATATGCAGGCTTGTGTATGTGTATGTGCGGCTGCTTGTACTAGCCCAGACTGAAGCTGGTTTTATAGAGCTAGCCCACTGGGATACCATGCCGCAGTGAAGCATGAATACCCCACTCAGACACATTATACTGACTCTGAACCGACCAGTCCTTGTTGTACCCATTAATGCCAAGCGCCAGGCAGGGACCATCAAGTACCATATTTTAACGTCTTTTGGTATGACGCGGTCGGGGATCGAAACCCGCGACCTTCCGCTCTCCGGGCGGACGCTCTAACCACTACACCACAGAGGCGGTCTCAACAAGAAGTAATAGAGATTGACTCTATGACATTATCAATGTGTTTCCTCAATACTGAAAGATGTAATCAAGTGATTCAAAAGCCAGTACATTATTCTTCACCAGGATGTTGAATATGATATGAAAATCATCTATATTTTCCTCGTATGATTTAGGAAGGGAATTATCTATATTTATTTGTATGCACCTGTCTCTTTCCCCCCTGTTTTGTAACGAGCCTGACAGGTTTTTGGCTTTGTTGTGGGAATTGTTCCTTATCTCAAATATCATCACATACAGAGAACGGAAAGCTTTTTTGTAAAGCTGTTTTGTGGTAACCATGACTACAAGCTAAATATATTTTTACCTTTGGTACTGCGTAACAGAAAACAGTAATAGAGGATGTGACACAAAAGGCTAACTTCTGTAATAATTATTCCGTTATAACCTGGACGCGGATGAAGAATGAGAGTTTTTGTTTTTGTATTTCGATACATTTTGACAGTATTTCATTATAATGTCAGAGTTAAAAATTTTGCAACCATGGTTTAATATGCTCTGTTCTGTCATGTTAAATAATAATTATTTAGATGCGGCCTATAATATTATCTGATTCTGAAACATTCTGTGCAATGGGTACTTGGTATTCATTTTAAATGGGACAGCAGGCACTTGTATAAATGTTAAAACATTCTCCGGTTTACCCGAGTGAAAAACATAATGTCAATGGCCTCATCTAATGTAAGAGTCAGTGGGACAGTGTTAATGTGTTTGCTCATCTCGCCTAATCCCCAGTTTCATTCCCAACGGGTATATCATGTGAAGCCCATCCCAGATGTTGTGCTGTTATGTTCCTGGAATATTGCTTTTTGAGAAGCAGTAAAACCATACTCGCTCACTAATGCCATGAACATTTTGTTTAAAAACTGTTATGATTTTCATACGACAGGACGTTATTTGTAATCCATGCCATGGTTCTGACCATGCCAATAGCACTCAAATGCAATGAATGTTTAATGTAGAATTTGTGAGCTGGAGAATGACTTGGGAAAACCTTCAATGTCTACTGATCATTGATGAAAGATGGACAAAAAATATATCATGTCTTTTGTTTTTTGATTAATGATGGCAGGTAACCTGCAGCCAGCCTCATCCAGATTAGGTATGAAATAATAAGCTGAAACAAGGCTGTGGATTTTTTACAGGGTGACACAATTTTGCACTGCAGAGTTACTTCCCTTGCCATGTCAAGAAACTTTTAATGTAACATTTGAATCCAATATTCTGTCTGCAACATTTCAAGCTTTCCTCTCATATTAAGCTTTAACACTTTGCTATAAAACATAACGCTGTAAACGTATTGCAGTAAACTATAGTTATACCCAGTGTTGCTCTTGTTGATGATGGTGCTATTATACATGGTAGATGATGTTGTTCAGTGCATGGTGTCAGGTAGAATTGTAGAGGGAATATATGCTTCATTGCTAACCACAATACATTTATGTTTCAATAAGGACTTTTGTGATTACTTTCCCTTGTAATAAAAGGTCTGTGTGAACATCTTGCATTCTGTGGGCAGGCCGTCATGGTTTAATTGGTATGATGAATGTTTGACATTTATGATAAAATTTTGTAATTTCCCTTATTTCTTTCAGTTGTTTAACCTTGCAGATTTAAAAGGTTATCATATGAATACTTTCTTAAACTGTTTCTAGAACTATAGCTTTATCAGTGATGTTTCTGCTAAATGTCCATATTAATCAAGGTTGTTATTGAGATTTGAAACCTCTAATTTTCCAATCAGAATAATGTCCTTCCTATGTTTGTCCATGTTAACATACTAAAGTTATCATTGTATTAGAATGGTTGCCAAGTGATTGCTTCATTACTCACTTTAAAAAGAAGTTGAAAATCAGATGCTTGTAAGCAGCTGTCATCGGATTGAGTCATTCTGTCGTCAATTACCATACATAGATCAAGGCAGGTTCCTTGATAGTAACCAGTGTTATCATGATGATGTGTCATGTCTATTTCATCCATCGGCTCCCTCTTGTTTACTGAATTCCCATATCCCAGGTTGTCCCATATCTTTCAAATATTGTTGATGTTGATTATGCAATTTGTTTTGAATGTTGTTGTATATTTGATTATTTTGATTAAAATTCATGTTCTAACATAAATAAGGAATTCAGGTTAGGCCTTTGTTAAAGACATGTTGATTGTGAATATTTCAGATATCGAAAAGTATGTTAAAAATAGCAATGTACTTTTCAGAGAAGAGTTGCCTCCCTTGAGCCAGTGGGAAGCTATCATCATGGGTTCAAATAGTCATTATTATATTCCTATGAGTGAAAGCAATATATATTTGCACATTGTGAATATTGGTAAATCTTAAAGACTACCGGTACTTTCTTCCCATATCAATCACTATAATGTTACTGGAATTCTGTTCAAAGCAGCATTGAAACCTAACTTACTAACTCACTTGAAAACTTGAGCCTTGTTATGATGTTAATATTGTTTGAATCATGGAATGACAAGAATGTACACTGGTATAGGACATTTCCACTTTTTGCATCACCCAGGTGTCTAAAGTGTGGATTGGATGCTCATCCTAAGGTCTTAAGTGTGGATTGGGTGTTCACCATAGTGACCTAATTGTGAAGTTGATGTAGGAGACCAACTGTTTCATATTCTGGGGAGGGTCTGGGGGTTTCAAAACTAATGTTTGAAAATATACAAAATTATTTTGTCTCAAAAGTGTCACCTGACATTATGGGTGACATTTTTCAGTACCTCCCTCACGAGAAAAAAGCAATTGTATGTCATGAAGACAAATAAGTTTATTCTGTGTCTTTTCAAAAACAGCTCCATCAGAATATTGAACTGTTGGTCCCCAATGATCATCTGTCTGTAACACTTCTCCACTATTTTCTCTGGGGCGGTGGGGTAACCTAGTGGTTAAAGTGTTCGCTTGTCACGCCGAAAACCCGGGTTCAATTCCCTACATGGGTACAATGTGTGAAGCCCATTTCTGGTGTCCCCCCGCTGTGATATTGCTGGAATATTGCTAAAAGTGGCGTAAAACTATACTCACTCACTATTTTCTCTGCAACAAGAAACATTGTCCTGAGACACCCTGCTTTCTAGCTGATGCAGTGATAGAGACTCGTGTTTTGTTACACAACTTACAGTGACATTGATTCCAGGTGAATACTTTCAGTATTGTATGCAGAATAAAAATATGTCAATGAAATGGAAAATATTTTATCTTTTTGTCACACGTACTGTCATTAGTAATTTGTGAGATTTGGAAATATTTTTGGATGCCAGTACATCCAATGTGTATTATGATCATTGCCATTTGGGACTGTATGATTTTTCTTTAAAAATTGTCAACTGGTCATGTTTTATATTTCTTTTGAGTTTCTGATTTCATTATATCTATAAACCACTTTAATTAAATACTTTTTTGCTTTTATTATTTTTTTATACTGATCATAAAATATGTGTCGTAAATAAGACAGAAAAATACCCATGCATATTAATACTGACTGAGTTTGGTTTTACGCCGCTTTTAGCAATATTCCAGCAACATCACGGCGGGGAACACCAGAAATGGGCTTCACACATTGTACCCATGTGGGGAATCGAACCCGGTCTTCGGCGTGACGAGCGAACGCTTTAACCACTAGGCTACCCCACCGCCCCTGCATATTAATCTATCGTAAAAATTATGAAGATGAAGTGATTTCTTTAAGTGTTTCTAGTACAAAATACCCTGATAAGGGGTGCAACAATGATATAGTTTGCCAACATATAAGTATTGTATCCTTGGATTGTGTATTGATAAACACAATACATTGTATGAAAATGATTCATAATTTGTTTTGATCTGAATGTTCTCATGAGTTTTGAATTCATGGTTAATCATGTAACTAGTTTACTGTTCTGATTGAAATTCAGATTGTATCGATATAAAAGTGATATTTCAGCTATATGACTGTGGTCTGTAATAATAAATCCTGGACCAGATAATCCAGTGATAGACATGTCAATCCGCTGAACCGGAAACTGTTATGACCTGAAATCTCAAGGCCACTATGCCTTACCTTCACCTTTTGTAACAAGAACAGGTTGATGCCAGTCAACATTTCACCCAGAATTCCACAGTTGGCTCTTGTATGACACACTTACCGATGGTAGTGTTAAGTATGGAACCCTCCAAATGACCCACTTAAGGGAGACTGCATTAACATGATGTTTACTTATACAAAGGTTGAGCAGAAAGTGATTGCCTCTCAAGTACACTTGATTAGGAGTTAAACTGTATGCCACGGTATTAGTAGAACCGTGTATTTTGCCTTCAGTTCTGTGTAATGTAATGCAATCCCAAAATTTGGTATTTTCGGTTTTCGTACCATCATTTTATTAACCTTTTTAAACATTTTCTAAAATGTCTAGAAATGGAATCATTTTATCAAAATCTATCTAGGTTTGGCTCTTGTCATTTTTTGCATCATTGTCATATCTCATAAACCGAAGGGGCGGTGGGGTAGCTCAGTGGTTAAAGCGTTCGCTCGTCACGCCGAAGACCCGGGTTCGATTCCCCACATGGTTACAATGTGTGAAGCCCATTTCTGAAGTCCCCCGCCGTGATATTGCTGGAATATTGCTAAAAGCAGCGTAAAACCATACTCACTCACTCACTCACTCATAAACCGAACCGAAACGGACTGAACCGAAGGCCTTGTACTGCAATACGTACCGTAACATTGTAAGAGTGTACAGTTCCACCCCTACATTTGATGTGACATCCAAGATGCCAGAAATGGTGGTGATTTGTAAAGAACAAATAGTGTTTCCAGTTTAAAGGCACAATGTCACACATCTTCGACAATATTTTGGCCTATGTTTTATATATTGGGGGCATATGCACTCACTTTGGCTTCCTATTGATGCAATAAAAGACGTTATCCCTTACGATTTGTCTGAAATCGATAACTGAAACTTCGTGATGAACAGCTTCCAAATAAAGAATGCTTGAGACGATTTAATGCAAAGTTGCATTAATTCATTCGAACGTTTTAATCTATTGTTGTAATCTAAATACGTAATTGTTTTTGGAATAAATTAGATGGTAACTTCCCTGAGGGTTGATAGGTAGTATTATTGAGAGAAGTGCATTATGTATTTTTAGGGAAATGGTGTGACATTGTGCCTTTAACTGCAATATCTGGAACTCATCCATGTTGTTGGCTCCCGAAATGGTCATCACAGACCATAGTTCCTCCAATAAGCACCCAGGGGTTTTGTTGACTGCCTTGAGATTTTTCTCGTACAAACTACTGTGGTGGTTGATGGTTTTCTACTCTATATAAAAGAGAGAATAAGTTAAAATTATAAAATCCAATGTTAAAGACCGGAGACTTACAATACAGCAAATGGTTATTAGAGCAAATGTATAGCTATTTCCATTCCCACCCCAAATCACAACCCCCTTACACCAACTCCCCTCTTCCCCAGACTCACCCTACCTACTACCCCAACCCACCCACCCTACCCCACCCAAATTGTCAACATAATCAGAGCTAGATTTGTACAGTGTTTGTGTGTTGATGTTTATGTGTTTGAGTTGAAGCTGGTTGATACCCGACAATAGAGATGGTGTAGCATAGTTTGTGGTTACCATGGTTACGTAGCATTTGTTCATTGTTTTGTTGCTACCATTGAGATGGAACATTGAGGGAAAACATAAACATTAGCTCTCCATAATCATGCAAGGGTGGAAATAACTTTAAAATTGATAGTGTACTCCGGTACAGTGGCACATGTAAACTCACTTTCCCTGATAATTTTTCCACTATACCGGCCGTTTTCTTGTTGATGTTTTAAATAAACAACATTATTAACGTTGGAAAGTCAACTGGACACCGGTATGTACAGTGTGATATACAAATTTGCTTGCCCAACAGAATAAAACACTGGACTTGTACGTCGGGCAATGGGTTATTTCCACCCCTGTCATGTATTTGTTTTACTGGGTATCATCATTCTGTTGCCATGGTTACTCTGATATGTAACTTGAACGTTCATCTTTTGTAATTTGCATTGAAATTTAAGTTAACACAATGTGCATTAAATGCATGTGGGTTTTATAAAAAGCATGGTTATGACAAACGGACAGGTGTAACAAATAGGCTTTTTTGGGGCATAAAATGACCTGCGGTTATAACAACAACAAAAATGTGGACTCTTTGAGTTTGTTATGATCATAGTTGACTGTATGTTACATTGCAGTGCAGTGCTGCATTCATTCTGGAATATGATACTTTTCCATTTCACTGTGACATAGTCTACCTTAAGCCTACCAAAATATGATGACCTTTGTTAAACTTCTCCCTGATTCACGGATTGTCAGTAACTTACTCATCCACATCATATGAAGTGGACACGCCATGATATACTGAAGGAAATAAATAAGGGAACACCTCTCAATGGCAGTGTTCCTTTATTATTCTCAGATTTCCTTCCTCAGCTCTATTCAAAGCTGGAGCGGTGGGGTAGCCTAATGATTAAGGCGTTCGCTCGACACGCTGAACACCCGGGTTCTATTCCCCACATGGGTGCATTGTATGAAGCCCATTTCTGGTGTCCCCCGCCGTGATATTGGAATATTGCTAAAAGTGGCGTAAAACCCAACTCACTCACTCACTCAAAACTGGTGATGAAAACTGGAAAATATTATAGTAACGCTTGAATTTTCCTGTGTTCCTTTATTTGTTTCTCTCAGTATATAACTGATATACCTCTCAAAGCATTATTGTTATATGAAATATAATATTTCAAGAAGTCTCAACTTCACAAATAACTTTGTCTACCAGATCTTAATATTTGGAACATCTGACTGTTTCACCCAATGTAAACGACAGGTCAGTAAACATTGTTCCTAGTTAAAGAGACAGATTATCCATTTTCTCAGGTAAGTCATGTTTAAATAGGCCGTAGCTCTTTTGAACAAGTGGGGATAGCTGGATAATAACTGGATTTGGGGAAAGGACAACTTGTTCGTCTAGTTTTCATGAGTCTCAGACAGGTTTAGCGGCAAATAACTTCATCGTACCCCTTTATTAAGTTCATTCACCCATGTAAGGAGCTTGTCCGATTCATTTGCCAGCCTCAAACCAACATAATTAATGCAGCATTACATACGACGGTGTTCACTGAAAACTGAATTTGAGGAGAAACTTGGTACTGTTTCCTCATCCCTCACACATTTTGTAGGTTTAATCAAGATCAACTCTACTGAAAATAATTCTTGTAACTGAAATGATTAGAGTTATCTCCCCTGTCATCAAGGGATGTGCACAGAGTTATGTCCCTTTGGCATGCTCAAGGTGAGGTGAGATGAAATTGGGTATGTCGTCGTGCTTGAGAATATTTCGCTCATATGACGACATGCATGCGTGTGTATGTGCGGCTGCTTGTACTAGCCTAAATGGTTAAAGCGTTGGCTTGTCACGCCGAAGACCCGGGTTCGAATCCCCACATGGGTACAATGTGTGAAGCCCATTTCTGGTGTCCCCTGCCGTGATATTGCTGGAATATTGCTAAAAGCGGCGTAAAACCAAACTCAGTCAGTCAGTCCTCCTACGTCAAGCTGACATGACCTGATGTAACTGGGCAGCTGTTAAAATCACCACTGAAAACAACTCACTTTCTGTTTGCAACAGGCCATTGTGAATACCCGATCATTTAATGATAACTAGAGTCAGAATATTGCAGGTGTACCAGAGCTCTGTGTAACAGGTGACATTTATGAAATCTTTACAGACTACTGTCATAGTGTAGGAATATATACTGAGGGAAACAAATAAGGTAACACCACTTCATCGCAGAGTTCCGCTATTTATTCTCAGATTCTCACCCAGTGTGTCACAAAGCTTGTGAAGAAACCTGGAAAAGAATAAAGATACACTTGTGCTTTCATGTGTTCCCTTATTTGTTTCCTTCAGTATATGTGTGTGCACACTGGCACGTTATTTCCAGGCTCCATTGGAGTCTGCAGTCCGGTCATGTGGGTGCAAGGGTTGCACTTCACTGGAGGGATACATGCTGATCAAAAGTGACTAACTTTTGAAATTAAATGTGTAAAAAAATGGTTATTAAACACTTGATCACAAGATTAGATTC